TTTAGATACTAATACATTTTCTTCATTCACTATATTTAATCATTTTTTATATCAGCTTCAAATGTGAAGTGGTTAATTATTTCAAATTCAAACAATTAAAGGTATTTGAGAGGAAGAAATTTTGAAAAATCGGGATTTAAGCCCTGTCCGGTTGCATCTGTGAGGATAAAACCTACCTTAAATTAAAAACCACTTAATACTAATAATATACTGCCCTAGTGAGTTTATTCAAAATCTTTAGGGCCTTTTGAGAAAATCATAAAAATGTGTTAAATCAATGATATGAAGTACAACTTCCGGCTTGTCGATTTTGATGAAAAAGTTGTTGTAATGTCCCAGGCATATACAAACCTTAAATAAGCAATTTTAGTTTTGTAAGCCTTTTTGTTATTGAAATAAGCTGTTCACATACATACACACACAGACCATTTCGTTAGACTTGATTATTTGGATTCAGGGGATCTCAAAATGTATATTTCCATTGAAAACCCTGATTCAAAATTTTTTACAATCACGATACTTACCCTTACTAAATATTACATAGAAAAAACGAGAAACATCAAAAGCTCAGCGGGGAACTAAAACAAGAAAAGGTGTTGCCCTTCATCATTTCAAACAACGGATTAGTCTCAGGGAAAATGATAAAAACTTAAAAACTCTTGTGACTTACAGATTATATACTTGAAGGTCAGAAAGCTGTGCTACTGGGGACAGCCAGTATAGTCAGGAAATTTTTTAATATTTCTTAAACAGAGTCTAACCCTAGACTCATTGAGTCTGGCTAGCTGAATATTACAAGCAATGACTAAGGAATTGCGAAATTCTGAAAATAATAGTAATAAATAATAATGAACCTCTTTAACAGCAATTATAAAGGATAGTAAGGAGCTTCCTGAATATACAATAGATCATTGAACTGCAAAAATTTACAGGAAGTGGTTGGAGTTAATTGTTTTCCACTCCAAGGAAATACCTGTTTTTTAAGTATTAAAAAAAAAAGAGATAATAATAATAAAAATAAATATAATTTATTTATTTTTAATTTGTTACTTGTGACCGAACACACCAACCAACTTCTTTTCTATATATATAATTTTGCTTGAAACATTTTTTATTTAAAACTTTTCAATATTTATGTAGTCAATATTTTTTTAATCTACTATTATCATCAATTATAAATCATCACATTTCAGTCTCACATCCTGTATAAAGCTATTTCATTTCTGAAAGGATTTTATTATTGTTTCTGATTCTTGGAGTATTATAACTCTGGATTATAATATTGGGCCATTTGTCCTATATAATCTCATTATTTTAAAAATTAGGCAATGTAAGTCATGCCAAATGGTTCAATATTTTTGAAGGTCATCTTTTTTCTCGATTTTATGATCAAATTATCTTACGATTCAAGTAGAAAGCAAATGGATATTTACGAGTTTTTAGTACCTAATTAAATAGACAAAGTTTGCCCTCCCCTATTGATTGTAAACGTCCTAATTCCAAGAGATATAATAACATTTCATAAATAAAATAGTTGTAGGTTACGATGAGATGAAACCATTTACAAAGTTTCAGGCGGATGTTAATAATTCGATAAAAAGGGTCTGTACCACGGACTATATAAGCTATCTGTTGAAAAGATGCAGAAATATATCATTTGTTCCCAACCATCTAATGATTTTTCCCTCAGAGCTGTTTAACTTTCTTAACTGTAAGAGATGGTTCTATATTTTTCACTTCGATGCCAATAGATCAGTACAGATTGCCTAACTACTTTGTATTACTTCAATTTTAAAATAACCTAAAATCATCAAATTTGGATGTGCTTAGTATTTTATGTTATGCACCAACAATTAAATCAAGATGTATAATATAAATATTGTTAAAATTCTTGTCATATCTTGCTTTAAATGTCTCTTTTATGACTGCTTTTGTATCTATTTCTGTATGTTTTACATTTATTACACGGAATTTAATCATTATGGATGCATATCTTTTGGCTTAGTTTTCTTTTAACAGTGAATGTATTATGTTGTATATTGTATTATTATAATGGTCACAGTTATTATAATTGTTATGACAGGAAAAAGTTACTGCAATGTGAAGCTTAACTATTTACATCAAGTTCTTGTAGCCTAAATTGGGCTAAGACTGGGTTAATTCACTTGTCTTCAATTTAATTGTAGAGGCAGCATTTACTAAAATTGAGTCTAGTTCATATGAAATATTTTTTAATGTGTGAAATAGCATATAGCTTTTAATTAGAAGAAGTACACACGTTATGCACATATATTATGATATACCTACTAATCATTGAGAGAACTGTTTATTATTTATTATCAAGCAGTTTAAAAATTGTTCTTTATAAACTTACTATAAAAATGAATATAAAGTATAATGAAAATGAATGAGAAAACATTTCCATCCAATAAAATCCAATAAAAACTAATATAAATCTAAAAATAATAATGTGATTGCAATCACATTAAATTCAAAGATGAACATAAAGAACAACACGTAAAAAATAAATAAATAGATTTAAGTGACTTGGACATATAGAAAGGATGTTAGTCACTAACTGCCCTAATGAGGGCTCAAGGCTATGAGAGCAATATGTTTTGAAAGATCAGCTTCAACAGTTTCATGAAAGTTTACTAAGATATCACTTATTCAATAACAAACCTGTTAAAATTTATTTTAACTGGCATAGACCATAATTTACATAAATAACTATAGATACACAACTGAGAAATACACTAATTACAGAAATACAGTTTGACAGATACATAGTCAATTGGTGTTAAGTATTGAGATAAAAGAAATATTTGAACATACTTGGTAGTCTATATTACAAATAATTTTACTTTCAGTTAATACTCAATTTAGGAAATTTATTGTTACAACAGATCTATTATGACAGAAAAATAACCATGTTCTCCTTAAGATACTTCCTTGGAACCAATATTGTAGAATACTTTTAAATACTTAATCAATAATTGACAATAATATACATAAAATTTGTACTATATGTTGATGTTTTATGGCTTTTAGTGGATTAAAGACTATTCTGCAAACTGTGAAATACAAGAAACCTAAAAATGTTAAGATTTTTGTGTTTGTAACATCAAACAAGCATGAAAAAATAAATTGGTAATATTCAGTGGAAAAGATTGGAAGAAACATTTCCCTGCTAGAAATTAGACTGATTAAAAAAATATATTAAGCTGTACCAAACAATTCTATAAGAGTATTTAGATCAAAGATAAACTTCAGTAAATTTGAATGCTTCTCAGCTTTGTAATTATAAAGATTTGCAAGTTATATCAAAATGTTTCATAAAGCCAACTTCTTTTTTAGGACTGAAATATTAACATAGACATAAGAAAAACAAGATGTATCATTAAGAGTTGGAGACTTTGCTATAAAAAATTTAAAAAAACATTGAAACATATAAAATGAGCTTAATATCAGAATATATATACAGACTAGGCGAACATTTCCAAGCAATGCACAACACAAGGATAAATAATTAAAATATATTTAGAAACCAATTAAAATTCAATTACCAAAACATAGTTTTTCAAACAACTATGACAAAAAATAAGAGACATGCTATTGCACTAAATATATATACCTATACTTATACATATATATAGGTTTTCGCAATATTTCTCCAATTCTTCTTCGGTGCATACTATTTATTTTCAAGTTTATTTATTATCAGCTATTTTACACCAATTTTCAAAATTTTTGTCAACTTAATGACTACACATCTAATTACGACATTTTCAAGTCTACAATTTTTTTTACAATTTACAGTCATATTTAAAACATTACTTACTTCAACATATCGAGATTCTTTTTATATACCTAAATACCAATCATGTACCTGTCCTTTTCACTTATAAAAATTTTGAAAATTGGTGTAAAATGGCTGATAATAAATAAACTTGAAAATATATATAGGTTGTATTAGTTCTTAATGGCCAAATTCAGAGGAGCAATTCTAGACAAAATTTCCAACAAAAATTTTTATTTGATGCATTGGCCGATTTCGGAAGGAAAAGGAGTTAAGACCAGTTTTGTATGATCACGTTTTTTATTGAATAAGAAGGAATTCCTCAAAAACTGTTCAAGATAATAAAATTCTAAGTACATCATTGTAGATATTTTTTTATTTATTTTTTTTGTTGAGAAAACAGTGATCAAATTTACTAAGGTCAATAATTAAAGGGACTTTCAGGAGGTCTGATAGTACATCAATAATATCAGACCACCTAAAAGTTCTTTTTATACTGATAAAAAGGTCAATGGACCTTAGTAAATTTAAAGTCTCTTTTATCATTGAATAAATTTAATCAGTTTTGTCAACAAAAAATGTCTGCTTTGCGATAGTATACTTAGGAATTTAATTATCTTGAACAGTTTTTGAGCAATTCCTTCTTATTCAATTAAAAACGTTATCACACAAAATTGTTCTTAATTCTTTTCGGTTCAGAATCAATGAAATAATACTAAAGAATAAATGAAATGAACATTTTTGTTTGAAATTTTGTTTGGAATCACCCCTCAGAGTTTGGTCAATAAGAACTGGGACACCCTCTAAGATTAAAACTTGAGTTGTAAATAAATACAAAATACAATTTATATATTGTATTTATATATTTTATATATGTATTTATATATTTACAAAATACAATAAAATACATAAATACAAAACATAATTTATTGAGAACACTTTATTTAATTTAAAGAGGTCAACAGGCCAGTTACACAAACTGATTAATTGACTGAAGAACTGCTTCAATGATATTTGTTATTCTCGATGTAGCACCAACATTTACTATTTATATAATCTTCTCTCCTCCCTTTTTTTTTTTTAAACTATTATAAATAATAACATAAGCCCACGAATCCTAGAAATATTTCATTTATATTTTATTAAGTATTTTACTTTAAAAATGTATGTTATATATTATTATTTTTTTTCTTTTTTGTAGGGAATATCTTGGTCGTCAGTTGGAGAAGGAACAAAGCGCCAATGCTGGAAAAACTCCATCAGTTTTAAATGCAAAAGCCTAGTTTGGTAGTTTCCAACAGTCTTACTTTATTTTATTTTTTCTTAAGGAAATGGGTAATAATAATTCAGTTTTCAAAATGAATTACAAAAACTGTGAAAGTTTAATAATTATTTTAGGCAAGACTACAATATTTATACATTCCGCTGATCCAAATTGTTTCTTGTTATTTCCTGAGTTGTATATTGTATAGTAGTTGTAAATATTTTTAAAAAAGAATCCTTCATCCTCTTTCCAATTAATGGCTTTCACAGGATTGTTTTAAAACAAAATAATGAATAGTAATACTTTGTGGCTTTGTAAAAAATGTATAAATTTATGTGAGCACTTGGTATTTACTGTAGCTTCATTAAGAAGTATATTTTACTTTTAATTTGTTTAAATCTATTGTAATAACATATTAAAACTTGTTAAGATTTATAAATATATATATAAATGCATTAAAATTGATATTAATAAATATTCTAAAATGTTCTTTGGCTTAAGTTTCTTAATATATTTATTATATAAGAATGTCTTCATCAGTTAAAAAAAATAGACATAAAGGAGGAAAGTACAGTAATAGAATTGCATTGAATGCAATATTATGCAGGTAAGTTTAACATTTATAATATGAAATAATCGCATTAGCAGTTTAATAGCAACTATTAGTGGTGTGTTGAGCAATTCAGCTGGTCTCGGAAAACTTCAAGTTGCAGGTGCAAAAAATATGACAAATTTAAAATATTTCATGTAGTTGATCCACTAGTCACAGATCAGAATATTTCTGGTGTTCATTTTTTTCCCAGGTCGTAAGAAAGGACACTCACATTTTAGCATATTATATCATAATGGATTAGAAGCATGTATTTTTCTCTGTTAATATTTATTTAAACTGTTTGAAATACAATATTTTGTAAATTTAAGTTTAATTTTATTATTTTAAGAAATAATTTAACGAAGTAAATGTCAAGTTGTTTTTAACTCGAGTTTAGATCAGTGGTGTAAATATCAAGGAGGCACAAGCAGAAAAACTTTGTGGCCACTCAAGATTTGAAGGCTATATGTTTTTTTATGTATTTAAAGTTCGAAGAAAATTAATTAGGAATTAGTGAGCAATGAAGCCACTGACGATAATAAAAATATAAGTAATACTGGATTTATCAAACATAAGAAGATAATTCTTAATGAATAAATAATTTAATATCAAAATAAAAAGATCCTTTACAATGAATTATATCTCAAAATTTACAGAAAATATGAAAGAAATATTTAAATCATATGACCTCTATGATTTAAAATTTGGTCTAAATAATAATAATAAAACTGAATTCTGAAGAGAAAAATTATAGATGAAAAGGAGAGCCTTATATATCACTAGTTTATTGCAAGAAGTTATGTTGCTAAGTCCATTTATGATGATGCAAAAAATGTTTTTGTGAATTTCAATATAAAAAAAAAAAAAAATTGCATCAAATTGACAGAAACCCTTTTATATAATAAAAAAATACTATGTAATAAAAAAAAATATATAATAAAAAAAAGTATGTGAAAATAAAATAATTGACGCTGTATGCTTAAGACCACACGATAGAAATACATACATCATTAAGACGGACTAAATAATATGTAACACGAATCTTTTTTTTGTTCTATATTTAAAAAGTAATAACAATTACAATACATACAATTATAATTTTGTTTAAATTACTCTAGTGAACTTTGCTCTGACTGGTTATGCTAAGTCAGTATCATAAAAATGATAACAATGACAACAATAGGTTTATGATAACTAAAATATATGATGATCGTATATGCTCATTATTTTTGTATGATTCGTCATATTTAATATAACAATATATAGTATGGAATTCGTTCTGATTTGGTTTTTGACACTATATTTCTCCTGTTTTGGCTCTCTAATATGGCGTCAAGTTAATATACAAATTTTAATAATAGATCATTACAACGATGATGAAATGATGAACATTTCACTCACAGTATGCAAATCCGATTTTTAGTTTCTGAGATATTTTTCAAAAACACTTCAATTAGTCGACTCCAGCTGACTTTACCCGAGCGTTACACATCAGAAATCTGATGGCTCAATCTAATTCACTCTACTTAAAAAAGAGCAAGACACGCCTAAAGAAGTTATCTATCACTTCAAAAATTGCATTATATGCGCAATGTTCTGATTACACAGAGAGAAAATTCATCAAATTACTAAGCATATTAAATTTATGAAATGCTGCTTAATGACTTTTTGTAATAAATCCACATCATATCAAAGATGGATTTCTGTCATTTTTAAAAATTTGAGAAAAAGCCGATTTGCTTTAACATAGCTTCAAATTAAACCTCAGTTAAACCTATGAAACAAAAATTGACTTTTTCTCCAGTTTCTGAAAATGACAGATGACCATCTTTTATATTTAAAATTCTTTTTGAATATAAGTTTAAAACATTCTCATAAGAAAAATCCATGTACAAGAAAGTTATTTTACACCATCGATTTTTAAATTAAAATAAAATTATTCTATTGTTAAATTGTAACTACAATCCTCAGAACAAGACAGATTGAATTATTTTTCTTTATTTTTTAAAAATTACCCCGGATACGTAAAAAGGCTGACAGTTTACTGACTGATCATTATGGACTCCTTATTGATTTGACCTATCTACTCTGGGATATTGATATCCTCCATACATTTTTTTTCGAACGGATGCCTAATCCTTTCATTTTGAGATCCACTTGGATCCAAAGGAGGAGCTGTATTAATAACATCAGGAGATTCTTCCATCGCTAGTAGTTCTGTTACTTTATCTCTTACTGCTTTCTCTTTTTCCAAGATAGTCGTTGTTTTTATGTCAGGTTTTTTAGGACCCTCTTCTTCATCTTCACTTTCCTCTTCTTGCTCCTGGTCTTGGGGTTTCAGAGATATTTTAAGATCATCTTCCATCCATTCCTCAGTCGGTTCCTCTTCATAAACAGAGTCATCATAAGGAACTACTTTAGGTGGGTCATATCGTGGTGTTTCTTCTAAGAACTCCTTTAATTGTTCTTTGAAATATTCATCCTCACTGTCATCGAAGTCTTCTTCATCTGAAACCAAATTATCACTTTTTAAGGACATATCAGGTGATGAGGCCGAAGTAGAAATTGGACCTAGTATAGATTCATAAGAATAGGAGGATAAATCATCGATGTCAATGAATTCTTCCCCCCTCATTTTTTTTTCTTTCACAAGCCTACGTAAATCTTCCAGCCCATGATAACGCCCAGTAATATCTTCTTTTTCAAAATCTATTTCTTTTTTAGTCTTCTTTCCTGCTTCTTTTGCTCCAATAGAGGCTCTTTTTGTATGCTCAGTAAATCTCACTGAACTTTTAGACTTATCCACTGATTCTTTGCATGATTCTTTCCCTTCTTCTTTTTCTACATTATCTTTTGAAGTAGAGCTGCTACTGCTTTCAGATTCTTCGGAATCACTGTCATTCACTGGGGGTGCTATTTTAAAAACCGAATTTTTCAAATTTTCAGCTTCTGCTTGATAATCCGGTTCTATTTCTTCTAAATTTGTTGGAGCCTTACTTGACGAACTATCACTGGTAACAGACATCTCAGACTCACCTAGTTTATCTTTGAACCTTTTTGCACGACTATAAACACGTTCTTCGTATGGTGTTGGTTTTTCCCAAGGGATATTCTTTTCAGGTGGCATGTACTTTCTATAAAAACTTCCTTGAGGAAGAACAACATTAACCTCACGTAGTGGGTGCTTTGAAGAGGATCTTTCTGGATTGACTTTGAAAACATCTACGTACTCATTAAATTGTTGTTTTGTTCCTGATTTGGCTTCACTCGATTCTGATATTTTTTTGCTCCTACTACCATATTTATCATGTAAATCCCAGTAAGGGTCATAATCTTCACCATACATTTTTTTAAGCTGTTCAATGTTTTCTATTCTTCGTTCGTATTTTTTTTTAAGGTAAGATTCTTCGTGACTAACATAGCAAGAATACTCACAACCAGCTTTATCAAGTTCTTCTGCTATCAATTCTCTTGACCATCTGAAAAAATAAAAAATCTTAATATATAATATGGGCTGGTTGCTGAATCAAGGATTAATTTATTTCAATTTTAACTTAATCTGAACTACTCTAGGATTTTAGTATTCCGAGAATATAAATTTGTATTTTCAGTTTCTGTAAAGCTTCAAAGTAAATTTGATCTTAGTTGATTTTATTCATGAGCTAATCCTATCCTAAAACCAGTCTATTATAAAATAAGGTCAAACAAAGGACACAGCAACCGGTCCTGAAAGTTAAATAAAAAATTATTTATAATAAAACATTCCATTACTATAATGTAATTCATAAAAAGGTTTTTGAATTTTATGAGCCATAGAATATAAACACAGGTAGTATCGAAAACAGCAGTTTGTACTGAAGTTAATATAAATTAATAAACTAAAACTTAGAAAAGGGAAGATTTTGTCAATAAAAATAAATGCAGTAAATGTTAATCTCCTCTGATTCATGTATGAATCAACTGTTAGCCTGTTTGGATTTTATGCAATAGATTGTGGATAGCTGTTTGTGAGTCAACCAAAAAACCTGCTTTTTGGAGGTAAAGCTATCTTTTCCAGTTCTACTGCGATAGCATGCATTACTCCAACTTCTTCATCGTAACTGATTAGGGGACACCTACAGCTATAATTTATATCAAACTACTATTATAATTAGTTTCAATAAAGTTAGGTAACTTCTTACTGTTGTTCTTTTTTCAGAAGCGCTCTTCTGTCATTCCATGCATCCCTAATATGTTGGTTCTTTTCACACAGTTCAGCAAAAGTCCATTCTTTAGTTATTGGGTTCATGTCTACAAACCTACTCAATTCTTCCTCAGTTTTTTCATAGGATTTGCCAAAATAAAGATCTATTGCTTCCATAGCATCTTCAAGTTCACCAAAATTCATCTTTTCGATTTCTAAAGATACTTGGGATTGATTTTGCTGAAAACAAATTTTAATAGTATATTTGATATATATTTTCTTATTTTCTACAAGTTATGGCTTAGTATAGGGAGTGAGGTAGCTCAGTGGTAGGGTACTGATCTACAATGCTAAAGGTCCCAGGTTCGAATCCCGGCTCATGGAAGAAAATTTATTTATCTGTTTCATTGGCCGTGGGGCGACCCTGGGTAGGTGGACCCTCCTGGGGCACACCCAGCCTCAATAAAGTGGGTACCCTTAATTAAATAATTAACTAAGGGGGAAAACCTGGCGGTTGAGCGTGATATTGGTCAAATCACCTCCTTGCACAACCGTTGACCTAGAAACAGTGCTTACCCTAAATAGTACTGAGCCCAAGACCCTTCATGGATTGTAGTGTTGCAGGTATTTTTTTTTTTTTTTTGGCTCAGTATAATTTTTATCAATAAAATAAAAGTCGTAAATATATTTGATTATTAAAAAATATATTAAATACTATAATAATGATCTTTTTTAAATTACTGAAATAACTAGTAAGTATAGATCAAATGAATTAATTTTGCGTGTAAATAGATTTTATTGAATAATAATTCATCCTAATTTTGATAGGACAGCATTATGAATACAGATCTCAATTTTTATTTTTTAGCATTCTAAAACCATTATTGATGTAGTGTAATATTTATAAAATATAGAAATCTTAAAAGCTGAGAGTTTTGTCTTATTTAAATTTAATCAAACAATAAATTAAAAGTGTTAATAAAATTATACTTACATAGTTCCTAACTAATACCAATTCCTGAACTTCTTTTTTAAATATGTCATCAGCCATTTCCAGGATATCAAGTATTTTTACAGCAACATCTCTTGATTGTTTCTCTTTTTTATAAAGAGGTTCTATGGCGTCATCCAGTTCTTGAAGGTTTATGTTTTTATTTTTGAGAATAGTCTGAAAAAAGGTGTATTAAAAAAAAAACTAAATAATGAATATAATCTTTAAATGAGTGTAAATCTGAACTATTCTCAATTCAACTAATTAATAATATTAATTAAGCCCTAGTCAGTTTAAAATAACAAAAATTGAGAATATCAGTATTCTTGAGGCACTTGTAAAATAATGCATAATGAATTTCCTAGAAGTACTCATTTAATATATATAAAGAATAGTGCACACTAGTATATATTGTACCGTGATTTGTCTATAGACCATCTAGAGACAGCCTCGAGATACGGTCTATAGACTCCGTTTTTTGTCTCATCTAGTGTCCTAGGAAGTGAATTTCTCAGTCTCATCTTAGCAGCTCACCATGGAGAAGTTAGTTTTGTGTGGAATGAGATCCTGCTTAGTGCTGATTACAAGTGAAAGAACGCAGAAGGACCTAGGTTCAGTTATGTACTATTAAATAAATTAAGATTGGGAAACGTCACCTTGATCATCAATTCATTTTAAAACTTTTTCAATAAATTCTCAAAAGAACTGTAAAACTTTGGAAAATAACTGTAAACAGCCAAACCAATCACTCGTTAGCTGGAGGTAGATTGGGACGTGCCTCGTCTCTAGACGCCGAGTGATGTCCACACTTTCAAAATGTTGCGCATTTTGAACATGTCTAACATTGCATAATGTCTCCCATTCCATTCGGGAGACTTTAGACCTGCAATTTTTGGTCTCTTAACAGGCCTACAGACGGGGACTGGTCTATAGACATGTCTACGTAGACAAACTGAGACATGTCTCAGAGACCAAAATCGGGCAACATGTCTACTAGTGTGGACATTTTTTTTTTTTTTTTATCCTCCTACCCGGCCATTTTTGGCATACGGGGTTCGGTGACAGTAGGGTAGTGCGCCTGAGATTTGCGCATGCCACTGCCACCAATAAATTCTTTTGTTTTATGCCACCGCCACCAATAAACTCTTTTGTTTTATTTCATATCTCTTTATTTATATACATGCTTTCTGGATTTTTATTTTTGGGAACAATTCTGGTTAACCTGTGGTGTAGCCCAGCGTGTATTAGTCTTTTTAATATTTTATTTATCTTAAAGTGAGCTATTTTATTCAATGAAATTAAAAAATTTTGGACCTCGGCTCTTTTTGATGAAAAGTACGGACATAATTTGTGTATGAAAGAAAAAAAACATATCTCATATATGTTTATAATTGAATTTATCTTATAGATAAATTCAATAGCACAAAAAAATCATTATTATGACACAATAAACATTTGAGAGATGAAAAAAAAAAAAATGTCTGTTTTGAGTTGAAATTTTAGTATGATGAATCATGAACTCCAGTAGCAACACCTCATCTTCTAATGAGCTACTGGATTCCTGTCAACAATCTGATGGATTATTAACTAGTAACATTGAAGAAATAATTCTTAATTAAATAAAAAATCCTTATAAAAGTAATATTTTGTAATAATGATTCTAAAAAATAACATGGCACTCAAAGTTAAAATAAATTTTATTATTTCATTCTGGATTCAAGAACTATTTTTTGTTAACACACACCTTCTCCACTGAGTGTGGACACTCTGTTACACATTAGTTACATAATCTATAAGGTGTTTTCTTTACAAGCGAAAAGACGCTATTATTTATTCCTATTTATTTATTTATTCCTCCCTTCCTTGCCTTTCAGCTACACAGGATTTTGCAGGGATGGCATATCACAAATGAGCATGCCATTCCTGCAATTAAGTGACAAATACAGTATCAATTTTGTTTTGTTTTTTCAAAAATTCTTCTTTTTTAATTATTTTATTTTCACCATATTAGTCTGGCGGCCATTATCAGATTCTCTTCTTCATACATTAAAGTGTGAGGGTCCCAGAGCAGCTTTCCACCCGTACACAAAATCTTACGGGTAGTTCTCCTCTGCCACTAACTGGGGAAATTCATCCTCTGAGAGTTCATAGACTCCAATTTTTCTCATCATTTCAGCCTTTAGTCCATCAAAGGCAGTGCAGTTGACTATGACGTGCTCAGCCATCTTTGGTACTCCGCAAGTGGGGATCTATGTTTTTTCCAAAACTATGCAACTTAGCACGAAAACCCCCATGCCCAGTAAGGAATTGAGAGACCCAGTAGTCTGGGAGAACCCACTTCGCATTCAAGCGACTTTGAACATCACTCCCAGAAGCCCAGAAGACTGTAAAATATGCTAGGTATTTGCTTGAGTATACTAAAGAATGGGAGGATGGGATGGTCGAGCATGTTGGAGTGTGGGTCCCAGAGTGCCCGGTCCTGAACTTGGGTTCGATTCCCGCTTGGGTCAGTTACTTTTCATTTCTCGGCGGCCCCGGTGAGATTCCTACTCTGGGAAGTACTCGGCGGCAACCTTACGGTATTCGTTAGGGGTTGGCAAAAAGGACCACAATAGGCCCACTTGCTGGACTAATTTCCTCCACCAGTACCAGTATCCTAAGAATACGGCCTAAAGAATGAGAGAAGTCATCCTTCCTGATACTTATACTTAGTTTCCATTGCATAAAAATTTTAATCCCTATCTTGGCTATTTTAGTATTTCCATCATACATATATTAATAAATAATTATTAATTATAAATTATAACAAATCGTCGGCACCAGGTTAATGTTAAAGTAACGAATGTGAAACATTAGGCAGATCAACATGTTTCATTACTTTAATATGTACAATCAATTTAATACCTTTATCATATATTCCTGTTCTTTAAGAAACCATTTTTTTTCACCTTCATCTAACCAGGCTGCATTCTTGCCTCTTCTTCTTAGATACCATCTAAAAATAGAGAAGTTAAAAGTCTCTGATTATACCAGATATCCCATAATCCAGAAGATATTAAAAAAGTTAATTAGAATTTAGTAAACTATAAATTAAATTGAGAGAGGGGTATATACAAAAATAATTAAAAGAAACTTTAATTATGTTGGCTACACTGAAATGGTAAAGAGAGCCTTTATTAAATAAAAGGTAAAAACGAAACTTAAAACAAATATTCGTATATATATTTTGTAGTTTAGGATGAAACTATGATTCATAATATAAGGTTTGGCTATATTTATTGCACTATTTTTATTACATTTGCAACATTAACAAAATTAATATATGAATCAACTTATTGACACAATCTCATTAAGAATATGATTTATATAATGTTGGATTTAAAAAATGATTAACGTCACTATCACATTATATTATATATAATTTTTGTATGAATCTAATTGTTAATTAAGTCTTGAAAATGGCGACTTACAGGAACATTGCCAATGTAATAAAAATGGTGGAATGAATATAGTCAAACCTTATATTATGAATCTTTGTGTGTTTGGTTTTAAGAACAACTTATATAGTCTAAAATTATTATTTTTGTTTTCATTAAGTATTTATTGTATATTGTTTTAATTTATAATCCTGAACAGAATTTAATATTAATTTCATTTTTAGAATTCTTATTGGAGTACTACCAATGGGTAGTTTCTCTTCATTTTGTACATGTATGTTACCAATTTCAAATTTACTTGTTGTATTTATTATTAACTTGTAAATTTCAATAAATATATTAATAAAAACAAATATTATTAGAAATCTTAATTTTTAAAAAATATTAATGTACTGTGGTTTGTTTGGTCGTAAAGTACAATAGATAAAGTCTGAGTTTTAATCACAAATAATAAATAATACAAAGATATTTTGTTTTTTACTCAGTTTGTAGGACCAAAATTGCATCAACTTATACTCCATAAAATATTGAAGATAAAATTAAGCTGAAAGAAAAATTTATTTATGAGGGGAAATAGCTACAATTTTTGAATTGTAAATAGAGAACAATTTTTTTTTATTTCACGTAGTCTAAAATAACTATTTTTCATTTTAATTATTTATTGTATGTTTTGATTTATATAATACTGTTCAGAATTTAACAAGAATTTTATAGTCAGCTATACACTGGCCAGTCTAGTCAACATACATTGCTTTCTATATTCCTACATAAATTACATAAAAGATTTAAGCATTAATTACCTTCATTGAACATAAATTTTATTAAATAATAACATTCCACTATGATTTTCATTTAATAAATAACATAATTAATTTATTATTCACTTATATTGCCCAATAATCAAGATTTTATAGGAATCAGAATTATTTTTGATATTATTATTAACTATGACCTTTTATAATGATAATATGACAATTTAACTTACTTGTAAAGTTCATCTTTAAATTTCCGACAACCCAGTAATTCCTTCTTTTTAATAACTTCTTCTGATTCTTTTTCTTTTAGTTCTACTTCTGATACTTCATGTTCTTCTAAATCTTGGGATTTTTCTCCTTCAACATCTTTATCAGCTGTTTTATCCATGAGAAGTTTCCTTTGATGTTCAGCTTCAACTTTATTGAAAAATAGTTCTCTCTGAAACAAAATCAAACAATAATTCTTAATATTTTATTCAAGAGAAAACTCATTCAATCTGTATTCCATTTAAAACAAATAAATATCAAAACATCATTCTAGAGACTACTCATACATCAGAATAAATAATAAAGGTAACCTACATAAGGATGGTTATGATGAAATGTCTCTTGAATGTTGCACACACACACACACACATACATTTTATTATGTAAATATTATATCTTTATTTTTTTGGGCTTATAATGTATAACAGGTTAAACCACAATAGGTTTATTTATACATTCTTACATTCATTTATAGCAGATCTGAATTAACATAAACTAATTAAATAATACTTCCCTAATTAAAGTAGTAGCCTACTCCTAATAGAAAAGAGTCAACTGTATTATTATTGTAAATAGTACTTCAACTGTAAGCAATGGCCACTCAATGGAGGAAGCCTTGTGTTACAAGATTAGTTGACCTGTACTATACTTTTTTTAAGGTGAAATTAGTTTCAAACAACTTTAAAGGATAATCATTTATAATTACCTCATTGTCTCTTGGAAACTGATATTGCCAAGGTATGACATAGAATTTCAAAATACCTCTGTAGTCTGTTATTCCAAAAAGGCCAATAGGTACTGGCAAAATTGGAACAATAAAATCTAAAAAAATAAAACATAAATTAATTGACAGTAAACTTCTATAAAGCAAATGAAATAACAGAAAGAGATCATCTGTTATATATGAGCCTTTCAGTTGACTGAATGGCTAACTCTTCTTCTTTATCTTCTTCTTCGTGCCATTACTAATGTCGAGAAGCCTCTATCCAATGCAGCCATGCCTCTTGGTCCCTACTAAGCCATCTCATTTATTCGAGAGTTTTGCCTCTCTTCTCTCTGGGGTGGTCCCTCGGCCTCCTCCTAGTGGGTCGAGCTTCCAGAACCTTTTGCGGATCTCTCTCCTCCTCCATCCGACAAACATGGCCAGACCACTTCAACTGTCGGTTTTCCAGAAAAGAGTGTGTCCTTGTCCAGTAATATCACTGAAAGTAAGCTTATAGGCCCATAGTTGTCACAATCTGTGGAGCTACCCTTTCTATGAATAGGAACAATTAAACTGAACTTCTAATTCCTTGGGACTATCTTTGTATTCCATATTTTTTGGAGGAATTGTTAGAGAAATTGAATAAATTCCAGTCCTCCAAATTTTATTAATTAGCTATGCCATCCTTGACCTATTTTTATTTTTTGGATGGCATATTCTATGTCATCTTCATCAATGACTTCTAGACTTTCCAGAATGTTATTTTCTACCAGATGTTCTTCTGGGTCAGTGAGTTCTCCTGAAAAGTGTCTCTGATAAAACTCCTTTCACCATTCAAGAATTTTTACTTCTTCGGTGACCATACTGCCACTGGAGTCTTTAACGTTTCTCAGTGGCTTACTTATTTTCCCTCTTAATGGTTTTTTTTTTTTTTCTCCCCTTCCTCACCTTTAAGGCTATATACGGGGGTTTTCCCGGGCCAGGGAGTGTGGGCGGGGATTTAAAAACTCCTTCAGGCACCGGGACGCGAACTCGTGACTATTTTTTTATCAAAGTCTTACGTATCAGGTTGCCGGGCAACGGCGGTGCAGTGCACACGTGTTAGCCCATTCGGCCACCCCGCCCACCCCTCTTAATGTCTTTATTTTATGCCAGAACTTCTCAATACTTCCTCGGTGATCTTCATCTGGAAGCTCGACCCACTAGAAGGAGGCCAAGGGACTGCCCCAGAATTATTGTTAAACAACTTTCTTCCTTATGACTTTTTTGTACAATGAAAAGATAAACAGTTAACGGGTCAAATAATGATAAACAATTTTTAGGCATAAACAATTTTTTTCAAAGTTAGTAAAATAGGACAAATACCTCAGAAGCTATATAATTTTGCAATGAAATAAATTTTATATGGAACATTATTATCGCGAATTTGAAATTCACAGATATGGAGTAACTGACCATCATTTCATGCCTTAAGACAGTAAATACTATAAATTTAAAGGGTTGGTAGCTTTCTACATCTCTAGGCACTTTCTCTATATGAGTTTTCTATATAGTATATAGGGTCTCTGTCTATCTTCACTTGACCACCATTTTGTATTCCAGCAGCTTTATACTGACTGACATGCATTTTTCCTATCAGGTATTTTTCTCAGGATGGGGTTAATTTATAGTGCCAAATCTTAGTATGAAGTAAGACATCTTTTTTGCCACTGATTCCCAGATTACTGTGGATAATAAAAAAATACAAAACATATGAGATAACTTAATTTTAGCCTATTAATAAAGTAACTGAATTAAAGACATATTGAATGAAATACAATTTAAATGTCACTCAATATAAGACAGTCCATAATACAGACCCCTTTTTATCAAATTATTAACACCTGCCTAAAACTGAATTATTATATATATATATACAAAAATTCTTGGAATTGGGCCGTTTTCAATCTGGAGATCGATAAGCTTTGTCTATTTAATTAGGTACAAAAAACCCATGAACACTTATTTGCTTTCCACTTGAATCGTAAGATAATATGATCACAAAATCAATAATAAAGGTGGTGTGCAAAAAAAATATTCAGCAGGCGTGACCTCCACTCCCAACATGTCAAAATAACAAAGTTATATAGGCCAAATGACCCAATATTATTGTAGGCCACCTTTTTTTTATATATATATATATATTTTCTGATCAAATTATATTACGATTCAAGTGGAAGCAAATGGATATTTTTGAGTTTTTAGTACCTAATTAAATTAATTAATATAATGAGAAAACAATCCGTTTCTGAGAATTTTCGTAGATATCAAATTTGTATGTTATGATAAGATGAAGATATTCACGAAGTTTTAGGCAGGAGTTTATAATTTGATAGAACCCCTTTTTTGCCACGGGCTCCTGAACTACGATAAATAGTGTGTGCCCCACTAGGTCAGTGCTCCCAGTCTTATGCTTGGATTGCCCTTACCTAAGGGCAGTGAATAAGTAGAGTTTGAAAGATTGAATAGAAATTGAAATTAGATTTTATGAGAATAAAATATTCACCATACAGGGCTCCAGTTGAAATTTGTACAGTCATTTTCGGTTCATTTCCATTTTCATACATATCCCAAACTTCCATGCAACCATCGGAACGACCAACTCTAAAGGTACTTGGCCTATGTCGGTACCATCCAATAGCAGTTATATAATATTCAGCGTATCTCTTCCACTTCAAGGGTTCTTCCTTGTAAGGAAAATAAACAATGATATGTAGATTGAATTAAATGATAAACAATGAAATATGAACAATGAAATGAAAAAACAATGATATATTGTTGAATTAAATTAAATACGTACATGAGCTAATATAATAAATTTGACAATGTTTTAAAAATAATTATAATTCTGTAAAGCTTGATTATCATAATGATAAGAATATGAGAGCAGAAACTGATAATTCTCACGGATAATTAAAGAAAGTCATTTTCCATTAATAAAGCATCACCAAGCAAAAGCTTCAACATCAACTTTGTTGTAAAGGGATTATTGAAAAGAAAACTACTTTAAAACTGAGGAAGATTGAAAATGTGATCAGTAGGATTTAAGATGATTTGGTATTTAGAGCCTCATATTTATGACCCTGCTCACAGGGAGGGAGGAAAAGGGTAGTAGAGCAACCATGTCCAGTGAATAAGAAGGGAGAGAGACTATGCTGATTCCTAACTGCTCTTGATTATTCTCTAAACAGTCTCAAAAATTAAACCCTGTCTTGTCATGTGGATAATGCAGATGTTCAAAGTGATGTGATGTTACACATACCTGCATAACAACCCAATTATGCAAGTAAAACAGTTTATATATAATAGGTAGACTGTGTATTTTATTTTGAAACATAAAAGAAAACCGTTCCTTTGTTCAGTCTCATTTACAATCGAAATTGAGCCTTCAATGCTCTGCACCACATTTATCCAAAAAATCCATTACATATACATATAGTAAACACAACAAAAAAAATATGTTGGAGTTAGAAATACTGTGGAGGGGAGAACCCAACAATCACTCTGCTCTGCAAGATAAGTCGTCTGTCTGTTACAGGAAGTGCTCCAGTAAACATCTCTACAGCCACATTAGAAAAGATACACCGGATGAAGACCATATTAGTTGATGGGGCAGCCTACACTTGGAGCTACCATAAAGACAGTCCAATTGAACAGTATTTTATACATATATTTATAATAATATACTATATTAACATAAATTCAATTTTATTTTTATTCATTAATTCTTTGTTAATTAAATATAATATTAAGTGTATTGCTGTCGTTTATTTGAACCTTAGAATTCACAGTACATGAACCAATTAAGACCTTAGCATCTAGTAAATTTCATTAATAAATCAAATTTTAATTTTAGATCAGTTTGTAATTTTAATAAAATTACTAACTGATCTAAAATACATCTAAAATACATACATCTAAAATACAACATTGGGCTAGCCGAACGTTAGCAAAAGAAAGAAATTAGTATCATTATTGATTAATTAATTTTAATAAAATCACAAATATATATATATATATATATATATATATATATATATATATATATATACTCAATAATACATTATAATTTCTTATTGTCACATAGGATTCTACAGACGTCTTTCCAACTTAACTCCATCAACTTTGGATGTCGTTCTTTAAAAAAAAAATTGCTAGATTTTCATACTGTGTGTTAAAAAATTGTTACTATTGGAGGAGAGAGGACCATATTTGCCCATACCAGGTCGTACTCGGGGAGTAGAACACCGAAGGCTATGTGTAACATATAAAATATGAATAAATGAAACTGAACGAGGAAAGGGTTCTCTCCTACGTTTCAACAATTAATAATTTAATCCCTTACTGATATAGCTCCTTCTCTATGAGGAGACTGGACACAAATTCATTGAAGTATATATAGTTCTCCTATGTTATAAGCTAAAAGTGAAAAAGCTTAATATCCGTCAGAACATAGAGTTCTGTTTCTTCAGCAGCTTGGCCTTCAATGGCTCAGGCGGTAAAGGCAAGTATTATATGCTGAATGGTCTCTAGTCCCCCATAACTAAGGTATATGAGTTTGATCTTCTTATATTGTCTCACAAGTTTTGTTAAAAAAACCCAAGTACTTTTCTTGCAAGAGAAGGTCGATAAGTATTCCCACTGTAAAGGCTTCCACTGCCTAATGAGATGTTATTCTGTATGACCAGGTGATTTGCAACACAGCAATCTGCCGATATAAACCTGCTCTTCTGGGTGAAAGATTCAGAAACATAAATACCTCAGGAATCCCATAATCACACCTTTATAAACAGTCTGGTATCTAAGGGTATTTAAGAGGTACCAAAAACCATGAAACGACTGATTCAATTAGGGGCCAAGGTCATCATACATCTCAAATAGTCTAAGTGAGACATCACATTTAACTTATATTTAGGTTAACCCAATGAGATTATAGATCAAATCTAATCTCCAATATAAGCATGCAATAAAAATTATATATTTTTTTTTTTCATAAAAAATTATTTAATATACCTGGTCTTTTCTCCAGAGGCCAAAAACATGCCCTCCAGAACTAAGAAAAATTTGGTTGTTGGTAGGATGCCTTCTTATTTTGTTTATTGGACCATCATGAATTTGTTTAAAGAAACAAACAGGTGAACCAGCTGCAATGAAATATTAATAAATATACATTGAATAATGAGTTAAAGTAATTACTAAGTTTATGAAATAGATGAGTATCTTGGAGCAAACATCATTAATACCAAGAGAAACTAGAAGGATGGTATGATCTATCAATAATCATTCTCTAATATTATAATATATATATATATATATATATATATATATATATATATTAGGAATATATATATTTTTTTTATAGTACTTAGAAATTATACAACTTATAAGTATGGAATATAAAAGAATACAAATTTTTAGCCAACTTAGGGAGTGTAAATGTGAAATGATTACACGTATGACAATTTTTTGAGTGCATGGCTCAATAGATTTTTAAATTTGATGGTTTAGTTATTTAGTGAGATTTTGTGGGTGTTTTGAAACAATTTGAACTTATAAATTATTGTCTAAATTTACTTTTATTATTATTAATTTAAATATTACATCTATAATAATTTGAATTTTTGCACGAAAAAAACTTTCTTGTCTTGAAAGATAGATTGTTTTATAAAAAATATAACAATATATTGTTATATTTTGACAATAAATTATTGCTGTATAAGAATCAATTAATTTATATTTTTAAATTACCAAATAACATTATATTATATTTTAATTGTTGTGGACTTATCATTATTATGATAAAATTAAGATTAATCGAGATAGTTAATGTAAGTTTTCAAAGTTATTTAAAACATCACACTGGCAACACTGTTTAGGATATAGAAGTTAGTGTTGGGGTGTAACAAAGATTTTCCGTCACAGCTCCGACAATGATAGCTCTGGGAAAAACTACGACAAATCACAGTGATTTGTCACTACAGTGATTTTTTCCAATGTTAAGTATGCAATGGCTCCTTGGCAACAGCGTCACTGTGAAATCACAGTTTAGGTATTTAAACTTATTTTAAAATAAAAATATATGTTTTTTACTTTTTAACCAATGGAATGTGGTGTTGAGAACAGAGGATAGGAAACGATTAAATATGAACTCTTGTATATTATATAATAATTAAGTAAGATTTCTGTGAAAAATTAAATATTTGAGAGGGGAAAAATATCCCTGGAATACCTTAGCTCCTGTATATAGCCCTGCAGAGAATATTTGAGCTTATTTAATTTGAAATTAATTTTTAATTTATATTGCAACGGTTTATGATTTTTAGAATTCTATCTGATTATAATTGGCTGGTTATTGGTGATTGGTTGATTAGAGGGTAGTAAGGATAATAGGAAAGTAGATTAACAATAGCAATAATTTTATATTATTATATATTTTCACTATTCATAGATTTTGAACTTCTTTCAGAACTGTAATAATTTCAGAAATTTATTATAAGATTTTGAAAAAAATTTAGTTATAAAATAAATGGTAATCAAGCAATAAGTAAAAGAGTGAATGAAAAACTTTCCGTTAATTATTTCAGATCTAACTCATTCAGAAATAACAGCAATGTTTAATTCATCCAAAGTTCAAAGAATATTTATAATAAAATTTGACGAATAACTATTATTTTAGAAATGATTATTTCTCTAATTCATTTATTAAATAAAAGATGTCAACAATGCCCAGATCCCTGGAGTGATAGTTGTGATAAATTGGATTGATCAGAGCTGTGATTTCACAGCGCCAATAGTGATCGTCACCGTTGGAGTACAGTGATTTCACAGCGCCTACAGTGACCGTCACTGTTGGAGCACAGTTATTTCACAGCGCCTACAGTGACTGTCACTGTTGAAACACAGTAATTTCACAGCGCCTACAGTGACCCTCACTGTTGAAACGCAGTAATTCCACAGCACCAATAGTGATCGTCACTGTTGGAGCACAGTGATTTCGCACATTTTTTTTTTATTAGACTCATAATTATTTGAAAATTTACCATATTCCCTAGGAAAAAAAAATCACAAAAATCTGGCCATTATTAACATAGAAATAGTCCATTAGATTCGGTATGCATAATAATTTCTTTCTCTTCGAAGATATTGCATTCAATATTCTACTACTGTTTTTTTCCTCTCTGATATATACTTTATTATTTCTCAAAGACTTTTTTTTGTTGGTAAGTTTTTTATTTATTAATAACTACAATCTCCTGATCGAGGCCTTTTTTAATATGAAAGGTAATATTCAGCATCTATAAATTGGCCCTCGAAAAGATGTTTGTACAAATATTTTGTCCTATTATGTTAAATGCAACGTTGTAATAAGTTCTACTTATTTCTATATTATTTTGCCGTTCCTTCACTAAACAATATATTTTGCAAATTATTCACACAGGCCAACTAGTTAAGTAATAAACAGAATATAGAAAGAAAAACTTTCTGTTAATTATTTCAGAAATAATTCATTAAAAAATATACGGCTTTATTGTAATGAATGTTTAAGTCATCCACAGTTCAAGAAGTAATTCCCAGCATCTATAGTCACTGTCACTGTAGGAGCACAATGATTTCACAGCACCAACAGTGATCGTCACTGTAGGAGTGCAGTGATTTCACAGCACCAACAGTGACTATCACTGTTGGGGCGCAGTGATTTCACAGTGACTAGTTACTGTCACTGTTGGAGCTCAGTGATTTCACAGTACTTGCAGTGACTGTCACTGTGATTTCGGTGTGCCTGTCACTGTGATCACCAGCTCCGGTCCAGTTACTGTGACAGAATCACAGCACCGCCTATATGGCCCCATCACTAATAGCAGTCAGAGATGTAGAGGGGCTAAGTTAGCTGGGATACAATCATACTGTTTAAAACATAAATAAGATTGGGTTACTATTGCCAGGATAATTTAGCCTGATATCAGCTAGACATAATTAATGATTGGAACTAACTTAAATGTCGATCAACCAGTATTTTTTTTTATAATTAAACTCTTCCCAAATTGATTGATCTATTATGAATAGAGTTCTATAGTGATTACTTAATAGCAAAATCACAAAGTTCAATAAATATACTTAATAACCTATTCCTTCTTTTTCATCATATGCTTCTTGGTCTGAACGCTTCCATGTGAATAATATAATACTGCCGTCAATGGTTCCAACCAATGCTTCATACTGCATGGCATCTATGCCCACAGATTCTGAAACATGGCAACTAACTTAAAATCTAGAAATAAAACAGAAATTACAAAAAAAAAAAAAATTATAGTTTATTATAAGATTTAATTTATTTTTATTTTGTTATGCTATAAATATTAAACCAGAAAAGGTAACATTTGTTGTATTGACAAATATACAACACACTTCTGTGAATTACAAAAACTCTCCCTACCTTTTTTAGCAGACAACCACCTTAGGAGGTCCAGCTCTTTTAACACATCTTCATCTGCATGATGAAAACTCATCATTTTACGAACAATCACAACAACCAAATAATTGGTTCTTCTTTGTTTGTTGGGGCTAAAAGGCATATAACTTCAACAGGGTAATACCTGTCTGCCTAATGGCAGATCAAACTCCATTTTACAAATTATACAACTGAGTGGCTTCATATCAAAGATGGGCGTCTGTCAAACATTGAGAAAAAGCCAATTTTTGTTTTGTAGATTCAACTCAAACAGTTTCTGATTATTAAACTTGAGTATTTTTAAATAAAACCATCATAACGAGTTTGAGTTGAAGATATAAAACAAAAATTGACTTTCTCTGCACTTTCAGAAAATTAAAATGTTCATCTTTGATATGAAGCAACTCAACTGTTCATTTAATTACTTATGTGTTAACTCCTGTAACCTCCTACTATCATAATACAACAAACTAAAAACTATCAAGCCTAGAGGGCTGGTCAAAAAAAGTTGAAATCCTGTAAACTCATCTATATGTATGTATATATATATATATATATATATATATATATATATATATATATATATATATATATATATATATATATATATATATACATATATATAGTTAAGCCTAGCGGGCTTAAAATACTTAAAAAAAAGTACTAGGGTTAAGAAATAACACGCATGAAGACGAAATCAAGACTGGTTTATTTCTCCTTCTAATCCTCTATAAATACATTCTGAGATTGTTTACATCACTGCATTTGGTACTAATGCTAATACTGTCCCGCTCCGTACCTTAACTCCCCCCCACCAGTTTACGGACATCCTTCGTAAACTTATGAATAATAATAGATAAAAATAAAAAAAGAAATAAAACACATCCATATCTACAAAAATTCTTACTCCTACTGTAGCAAAGGTACGGAGTGTTCAGTATTTACAATGTAATCAAACAACCAAAAAAAAAATTCCACATACAATAATAAATAACCAAATAAAATACACTTTCCTCCTTGCAAACAAACTACACATTTCACTGCACGTTTCTTCACATATATACACTCTGTCGTGTATGAACGCTATATACACACAATACAAAACAAAAAAAATAAAAGATGATCTTCTGAAATACATGAAAACAAAAAAAAAATTCTCTTTCCAGAGATGAGGGCACTCCAACTCTAGGATTGCTCTGGCTCTGAAATTGGGAGTTTTAATTGTTCTACATGAACCATTCTTCTTTTCCTTGGTTCTTTGACAATCTCAATAGTCACAATGTTATGCTCCCTAATGATTATCACCCTGAATGGCCCCTCATATCTCCGCAATTCCTTCCCCCTGTTAGACCCTATCCTGCGATACAGGATGGACCCGTTCCTCAATTCCCTGTTATCTCCTTTACTTTCAAATTCTCCCACGCCACTCTTTTACGCTTTTCTCCCTCTATCTTTCCTTTAACCTTCTTCCACAGATTGCCCAATTCCATTCTATTGCTAATGATTCCTCTCGTCATTTCCCTTCATTCCTCATTCCTCATCCACAGGTGTGCTTTCCCAGTCCCATTGCCGTCCGCGTAGTCCGAAGAGGATTTCGAATGGAGAGAACCCCGTTACCGTATGGATCGAATGGTTATATGCTGCCACCGCCTTCCGCATTGCCATGTCCGGTTCCAGCCCTTTTTCCACCTGGTATACTCTGAGGTGGTCACTGAGAGTGCTATGCAGTCTCTCTATACTCCCCCTACCCTTAGGGTGCCCTGGAGTGTTGAAATGCCACTTCACCCCTAAGCTCTTCATTTCCTCTCTGATCTTAGCATTGTCGAATTCCCTACCCCCATCGGACGTTATGCGATCGGGCACTCCGTAAAATTGGAACCACGTCTGAAGGGCTCCGAAGACTGTCTCTGCTGATCGGTCCTGCACCAGGTGTGCCATCGCGGCTTTACTAAAGAGGTCTATGAGCGTGACCCACTTGTACCCTTTCCACGTGAACGTATCCACCTGCAAGTCGCTGAGCGGTGCCTCCACTGTGGGTGTCTCCTCCTGCATCGTTCTGGGGGGGTTTCTATCGTATTTCGTACTTAGGCAAATCTCACACGCCCCTATGAGTTCCTCGATTGTTTTCTGCATACCCCACCAAAAATACCTACGACGTAACGCCTGGAATGTCTCTTGCACTCCGCGGTGATTTGTTTTGCCCTGATGGTAAGCAAGAGTCACTTCTTTCTGTCGTTCCTCGTCCCACACCAGTTCCACCATCAACTTACATCGGATGAATGTCCTATCTATCCCTAATCGTTCATCCCGCCATAGCCTTTTTATCTTCTCCCAAATCGTTTCATTCCCCACATATAAACGGTGAATTTTCCTTGCTTTAGACGCGTTTTTCAGAGCTCTGCAGATCTGGTCCACGCTGGCCCCTGGTTGTGACCAAATGGTTGTTATTCGGCTGTTTCCATATTTGCTATATAGTATCTTCATCAGACCCGAATACTGTGAAGTAGCTACCCTGATCTTCATCCATTCATTCAATTGCGTTCGCATGTGCTGTGGCTAAAGTTCCCTGTGGTAATGGAGGGATCTCCAGCACATTCATAGGAGCCGGCTGCCTCAGGTCGAATTCGGGCATCCTCGTAACATTTTTTACTGACTGAGAAAAAAAAACGTACCTCTTTCACCATCCCGGGTTTCGGCACCAGTTAAGCTTAGCGGGCTTGAAACACTTAAAAAAAAGTACTAGGGTTAAGAAATAACACGCATGAAGACGAAATCAAGACTGGTTTATTTCTCCTTCTAATCCTGTATAAATACATTCTGAGATTGTTTACATCACTGCATTTGGTATTAATGCTAATACTGTCTCGCTCCGTACCTTAACTATATATATATATATATATATATATATATATATATATATATATATATTCCTTTCCTTATATTTCTCCCTCATTATCTATGCCTGCTTTTGTTTTCTTTCTTCTGTCCAGGCAACTCCCTTTTTCGAATTTTTCTTTCCCACAAGAACCTTGATTTCCTTCAGTCTTTTTCTATATCTTTCTCTGTCCAGACAGTCCTGGTTCGGTATTCCTAGGCTCTCCGTTTCTTCTTTCATCTGCTTGGTATATCCTTCTGAGCTTTCGTATCCTCAGATTTTCTGGAATATTTCCTTGTTTAGTCTTTTCGGGGTCATTCTTACCATATGTCTGTAGAATTTCAGTCTCTTGATATTTATTTCTGTTTCTAGATCCTTTGTGTCTTTGTAGAGTTCTTGGTTAGGTCTTAGCCTGTATCCTTAATGTCCTATGTCTTTTTGGGGCTGTAGATCCTTCTTAGGATTTTTTGTTCTATTCTCAGTAGTTTTTCCAGACTGTTTAGTTTTTCCTGGTCTGTAGTCATTCTGTGTTTGTTTTTTTTTTGTAAAAGATTTGTAGACCTGTTTTTTTGGCTATTTCTGTCATTGTGTTTATTTGGTCTATCACTTCTTCTTTCGTTTCCGCTGTAACGGAGATCGTCTGCATAGGCAACACACCTTACTTTGACGCGGTTGTTCTTCGTCTTTCATTGGTTCTCCATAGCTCTTTCGTGATCTTATCCAGTACCAAATCGAACAGTGTTGGGGAGAGGCCATCTCCTTGTCTGAGTCTTGTTTTTATTTGTGAAGGTTTGCCGATGGTTCCTTTGAATCTTATCTTGGATTCGGTGTCCGTTAGTGTTAGTGCTATTAGTTTCCTAGTCTTCTGGCCTACTCCATATTCTTTCAGTATTTTCAGTAGTGCCTTTCTATCCACCAAGTTGTACGCTTTCTTAAAGTCAACAAATGAGATGTAGAGGTTTTTCTTAGGTTTGTCTTGTAGTGTTTTATCAATAATTTTGGGCTCAGGATTTGTCCTTGACATGATCTTCCTTTTCTGAAGCCTCCTTGATATTCTCCTATTTATTAGTGAAATAAGTCTTAAAGATTTTTTTTTTCTGATTATTTGTTTATTGATAAATATCACAATCTGTCTCAATAAAGGACGTTTATAATAGAGTTCTGAAAGCAAATTCACTATAACCATATAAGATTTTTTTTAAAAATAAACTTTCATCTTACCAACTTTGTAGTATTGTTCCAACTCAATGCTTATTGTTTTTTTATTGGACATATTTAGATCCTTTTCATAACTATAAATGGTTTGATCATGAGATACAGAGGTGAGTTCAAACCTTTTTACACTAAGATTGTCACGTTGCTCAAGCCTTATCTAGAACAAGGAGGGGTAGATGACAACTCAAAAGATAGCAATTCTAATGGCTAGTACTAAATTCTGAATAAATAATTTAAAGTAATAATCTTGTAAACAAGAGATATAAGGACCTATTTTATCTTAACATCACATTACTTAACAGCATATACATGTTACATCACTTTGAACAATTTTGTTTTTACTTTTTTATATCCCCAGTTTTATGTTTTTGTTGCGTTTGTTTTAATAATAGACTATGATAATAATTTTATTTTTGTTTATGAGAATATTTTAGGTCTGATCTGTCCAGAAACTCTAATTTGTGTATTTTTTTTCTTTTGCACAATAGGAATATGCTTTTCGTTAACTAAATTTATATTTTTTGTTTACCATCCTTATTAATATCTAGGAGATCTTGCACACAATTGGCTCTAGCTGCTGTAGAAATATTCCTATCCTTAACTCCTTCTGTCCGTTTACCAAGCCACCCCTCCTTCTTCCATGACTAATATCCTTCTAACCTGCCACGTCAACGCTCAGTCACTCTTAGCCCATTTTGATGAATTTTACGACTTTTTTCTCCATAACTTCTACCATTTAATTGCCGTATCCGAAACCTGGTTGAAACCCACAATCCCGTCCTCCCAGATCCTTCTACCTAACTATACTCTCCTTCGTCATGACAGAGTAGATCGCACGGGTGGTGGAGTAGGTCTCTTTGTCCATGACAGTCTCAAATCCAAAATTCTTCACTGCTCTTCCATAACCGATTCTCCGCACGTTGAATACCTTTTCGCCGAAATCCTCACCACCTCATCTGCCATTCTGTTTGCTGTCATATATCGCCCTCCTAGAATTCCTTTCGATGAATCACTTGAGACTTTATTGTACAACTTAATCCCTTCCTACTCAAACATCATCCTCTCCGGTGACTTTAACACCAATTTACTGGCACCATCCTCTGATTATTCCTACCTAACAAACCTCTTTAATTCTCTCAGCCTTTACATAGTACCCTACAATCCAACCCATCATACTCAGTATTCAGAGTCCTGGCTCGATCTAATTATCCTGGATTCCTCAGACAAACTCCTTGCCGCATCTCAGCACCCGGTTCCGTTTCTATCTTCCCACGATCTTGTCCAGATCTCTTACAATGTCCCTGTTCCATCCTTTTCTCCCCGAACAATATCCTTCCGAAACCTAGATTATCTCACTCACGAAACATTGTCAGAAGGTCTTGACGATATCCAGTGGGATCCCATCTACTCCTCAAAATCCATAGACACCATGGTAGAAATCCTAACCACTCAACTTCACTCTATCCTCGACCGACATGCTCCTCTTATCACAAAAACCATCCGATATCCTCCAGCTCCTTGGCTTACCCCTGCTTTGAGGGAGTGTATGAGAGAAAGAGATGCTGCAAGGCGACGGTTTAAACGAACTCGACTTCCTGATGATTTTCTCTCCTACAAACAGCTTCGAAATAGCACTCAATCAGCAGTACGCCGTGCTAAATCCCGTTACTACCATCATTCCCTATCCAACTCTCCCAATACCAAGGCTACGTGGGCTATTCTTAGAAAACTGACCATTGGTAATACACCCCAGTCTCAGTCCAATTCCGTTTCTGCTGATAACCTCAACGCTCACTTTGTCTCCTGTCCTCTTGCATCCACATCTCCCACGTCCAGTCTGGCTCCTATGTTCTCTTCCTTTAATCCTGATCACTTCTTTCTTTCCCATATTACACCAGATGAGCTCCTTAAATCCATTCAGAAGTCCCATACCAATGATTACGGTCCCGACAACATCCCAGTCAGACTGATTAAAGCCGCATTGCCATCCATTCTTCCGATCCTTTATCATATATACAATTATTCTCTTCAAAATGCTACCTTCCCTACATCCTGGAAAACCGCCCTAGTACGCCCATTGAAGAAGACTTCAAACCCATCAGTTCCTAATGATTTCCGACCGATTTCCCTCCTTTCAAACCTCTCAAAACCATTAGAGCGGTTAGTCCAATCCCAGCTATCCCATTTTTTAGAGGACAATAATCTCCTAAATCCCTACCAGTCTGGATTCAGGCCTGGTTATTCTACTCAGTCTGCCCTAATCAAAATTTCCCAAGACCTTCACACAGCCATAGATCAGCAGAAACTAACCATCCTTATTCTCCTAGACTTCTCCAAAGCTTTTGATTCAGTAGACCACAACATCCTCCTAACCAAACTTAAAAATATCTCTTTTTCTTCTAGTTCCCTTAATTGGTTCCAATCCTTCCTAACCGGTCGCTCCCAGTACGTTGTAATTCCTAATAACCCACCATCAGAATCTCTACCTCTGACCAGAGGCGTCCCACAAGGCTCTTCCTTATCCCCCACCCTTTTCTCCATCTATATAAATGACCTCCCATCCTCTATCCTGCACTGTCATTACCACCTGTATGCCGACGACATTCAAATTTACCTCTCCTTTAATCCGACAGATATCTCAGATGCCACTCAAAAACTTCAGGAAGATATTGACAGAATAAGTGCTTGGGCAAACCTCAATAGGCTCACTCTGAACGCCGAGAAGACAAAAGCCATCTTGATCGGATCCCCTTCACTCCTCAAATCCTCCCCAGTATCTCCCAATCTCTTCCTGAACAACTCACCTATCTTATTCTACACCACCGTTAAAAACCTAGGTGTTACTTTCGATCAATCCCTATCCTGGAAACCTCACATCTCCCAAATTTCCCGTCGCACTATCTCCACCCTAAAACAGTTCAATCGTCTACGATATCTCCTTCCATATAAGTCCCGTCAACTCCTAGTTTCCTCCCTTGTTTTCCCCCACTTCGACTACGGCTGTATGGTGTACGGTGGACTCCCGGGAGATTCCGAGGCCAAACTTAAACGCCTAATGAATTGCGCACTACGATTTGTTTTCGGAATCTCAAGGGATACGCATATTACCCAGTATTACACTGAGTTGAGGTGGCTCTACCCATCCTATCGCCGTCAGTACTTCCTAGCCACCTTTCTGTACCAAATTATTAGAACCCATCGACCCTCCTACATTTTTCACAGCTTACAATTCAAATATTCCATCCAATCCCGTCCCACCAGATCTCGTACTTCCGACCTCTATCCTCCTCCTCACCGAACTGCTGCGTTTGACAAATCCTTTGCAATACAAGCCGCCTCCCTCTGGAATTCCATCCCACCTGATATTCGACACGCTCAATCAGTTTCCTCGTTTAAACCACTCCTCTTTAAGCACCTACTCCTTTCTCAATCCGAATGATTGTGAAATATATCTAGAGAAATATCTGAGCACCACCAGAGACTACCTCAATTTATTAAGGTTATTTTAGTTTCTCATACATATGTACAATTTACTTGTTCTTTTTTTCTCTTTTCTGTATTTTTATCGTAAGTCAACTTTCATTGTAAATATACAATTCAATTGTAGCCACACAGACATATAATCTGTATTCATATTTTGTTCTTAAGGGACAACAGTCCCAGAATAATAAAACATTTTTTTCATTTCATTTTCATTTCATTATTATTTATACAGTTAACTATAAAATTATAAATATTAATTTAATGTATTGTGTGGTTAAATATATGTGATAGTGATAATAAACATGATTACAGTAAAAACCTAGGAAGTAGGATGTGTACAAATAGTAAAAAAAACAAAAGTTGTCAAGCAGTATTATTATCTCTTCAACATAATTATAAATATGAATCTCATTTTAATAATTCTTTCTATAGTTAGGAAAATTACAAGCTGGTTAGAGATTTACAGATCATTTGTAGAAGTGCAAAGGTAAATCTTAGGTATGATAAGAATAACTCAAGAAAATAGGATCGACTGGTTGATTTGGAAAGGTATAAGGGAGACCCCATAATAAAATTCTGCTCTCCTCGGTGAAATGAAATATCTCTTATGAACAATCATTTAAATCAAACCTCTTAATCAAAGCTGGAGGTGAGTTTTGAAAATTAATTTTCATCAAGTTTTATTATAATATAATGTTTTCCAAAAGCTCATACATATGACCCTTTGTCTTGGCTCTGAGTATTAGGCATCATAACAAAATTATCAATTATATTAAATAAATTAATTTCATAAACACATCTGCTTCCAAAACTTGTGTTGACAAAAATGGATCCCATTAATGTAATAATTTCTTTCTACTGGTTATTCTCCTTTGGTTTATTTTAACGAAAAGTATGGGCACCTAACACTTTTGGTCAAGGTTGAAGTTGCATATAAATTACACAACATAAATTTTACATAGAGCTTCTCGATTCTTGAAAAATTACACAAATTCTCAACCATACCATTCTTAAAAATTATGATTTTTTTTTGCCAATAGTTAGAAATTAAAACCTGTCAGATATTTTATTCTCTGAGCAGAGGACTGGGGAAAGATGTCTAATGACAGCTTATCATTAATAATTTTAATAATGTTGCTTAAGTAAATATTGGGTAAGTAACAAACCTTGTAAAATGGATTCCATCTCAAATACAATTCCTTAAATTTTGATTCAGATCTTCTAGAATTTTTGGGCAATTTGAACTGTCCAGGGCGTTGGAAAGAATACTTATTAATATGAGCTTCAGTAAAAGGTGATGGAGGAGAATTCAAATCCCAACATAGAATCACTCCATCAACAGAAGTTGACAAAAATTGCAAAGAATATCCATCTTTAGCATCAAATTCTTCAAACTTTCCAGAGCTTTGTGAAAGCTAAAAAATAGGGAAATATTTTTTTTTCAAATTACAGGTAAAAAATAAAATTAATATAACAGTCTATGTTAATTACCTTCACATTAGGAGGCAGCCAATTGATATCAACAATCCTATCCATGTGTGAAGTAGCTCTATTGGATATAGCTGTTATGTATAAACGACTTTTGGCTGTCTGATTAGGTCGGATACGCTTAAACCAGCACATAACTCGCTCCTAAAAGTTGTTAATATTATTTGAAGTTATATTTATTTTTAAATACTTTTGATGAAATTCATACATAAATAGATTTATTGCTGTGTTATTGCTGTGTAGGTGTATATATATATATATATATATATATATATATATATATATATATATATGAAAAAACTGTTCTTTGACTATAAGTAATCATTTATGTATGTATGTATGTATATATATATATATATATATATATATATATATATATATATATATATATACATACATACATAAATGATTACTTATAGTCAAAGAACAGTTTTTTCATCTCAAGTAGATTTTCAGTAGATTTTTAAGTCATCAGCAGTCTCCATATTAATAAATATGTTGCAATGGCAATATAAAATATTTCATACAATATCACATTGAAAGATATAGAATAAAAACAAAGCAAATAATTAATTAAATAAATAATAATTATAATACAAGATAAACAATGTTTGTTTCTGTGCAGTGGCATAGTAAGGAATACTGGGGCTTGGGACAAAATCTTGTATTACGCCTTCGCCTCACTGGGGGATTACATAGAGTAATTTTTGCTTCTCTTAAAACAGTAATCGATAAGGCAGTAAAAAGGACAATCAAGAGTTCTACTCTGGGTTCAATCGTCCTACTTAATCAATTTAAACTGAGAATTGACAGAATGCATTGTTGAAGGAAGCACATTGGTTTTCTAATTTCTAATGTTGGCCATGGTGAAGATTACAATGCAACACAGCACAATTGAGCATAATGTGAGAGAATCAAAACTTAAAGCCTTAAGCTTTTTTTTTTCTGAGAAATTTCTCCACATAATAATTTATCTGTCCTAAAATCTCTAAGCTTTTGTTTCTACTTCATTTTATTAAGTGGATATTGTTATTTCCAGTAGGTTGTGAATTCTCAGAAATAATTCTTCTTAACCCTGCCCTCATCAACCGTGGAGCAGTGTGAGAGATTCCTGCGTGTGTAGAGCCTAATCAAAGAGTCTCAATCCTGCATCAGTTGGCTGCGCCTGTTCCAGTTCATTCTTCTCCTATTGAATGCCTCCTGAACTGCTCCTTACCAAATATTTTGCTTACAATGTTACTAGAAATAATTTTAGTAAATAAAAATTCAAACCTGGAACATATAGGATCCCTTGAGCTTAGTGGTGCAGGGCAGACTTGATCTCATATTCTTTAGACTCCTATGAATATGTGTGGGAGTAGGTTGTGGGTGCAAGTGGATAAAGAACTACAATTTATCAATAATGATAATGATGTAATATACCAAGTGTTTGAATCCAATAAGATCAAAGTCACTTCTTTCTTCAATGTTAAATTCTTCATGGTCTAATATACCTTCCAGGTCCCATAATACAACCTGTCCTGTAGTAGTTCCTCCAATCAAATATCTTCCATTATAGGGACAGAAGCTAATACATGTTAATTCAAATGGACTTATAAGTCTTTGCTAAAAAAAAACAAGAAAAAAAAAACTAATAATATAAATAAAGTTAGAAACACAAAGAATCCTTTCTAATTTTAATTTTCTCATGTCATGCAAAAGCTTTTAATCTCATTAACATATTAACAATGAAAAACAGGAAACCTTCTACTAAAACCCATGAATGGTCTTGGGTTTAAAAAATGGGCAATTAGAAAGTTCTGTTTCATGGCCAACTATTAGGCAAGGATATACCATCAGTACCACACACAACTGTAAAGAATATCCATTCCCTCTCTGCAGGTCTCTATCAAGGCTCCTGTCTTTCTTCTACTCTATTTAATCTATACATTTCAGATATCCCTTCCTTCCCTTCAGTAGAACACTCATTATATGCAGATGATACAGCTATTTACACATCTTCTTTCAGAATTGATACCATAGCAAACAGACTACAATCCCACCTTAGAAGACTCATCAAATACTTTGATAAATGAAAGATAAAATTAAATGAACAAAAAATAGAAGCAATAATTTTCACAAAAAACAAACAGATCCCATGGCCCAATTCAGTAAAATATTTAGACCTTGAACTTGATAAGAACCTAAATTTCACCCAGCATGTAAACAACAAATGCAATACAGCAAAAAACATTATTAGCAAAACGTATTTCAATAGATACTCTCAATTATCCTCAAAAAATAAATTAATTCTATATAAAGCAGTTATCCGCCGTATAATTACATATTCTTCCCCAGTATGGAGTTATACTTGTAAGTCGAACTATAGAAAACTAGAAGTGATTCAAAACATACGCATGAGAATCATAAACAAATACCCATGGAATACAAAAATAGCCACCATGTTAAGAGAATTGCAGCTTACAACAATAAAACAACACATTTATCTTAAAACACAGAGATTCTTTGAGCTTATAACAACATCTGATAATCCCAAGATCCAAACAGTAGGAAACTATGACAAGAAATCACTTAAATAGTACACACACAAATGGACAAAACACATACTCCTTACATGACAAAACCCAACTTCACAACATTAAAAATATTGATAAATAAGCAGCAACATACTTCCCACACCAATTATTGAATAATAATTTATAAGATATAAAACATGTGACTGTGTTCTTAGTTTTATGTTATTTATACATTTTAATGCCATTATATGGTTTATTATGATATTTATTCCTTTTTCTAACTTATGTTGGTTTTTTTTTTTCCTACTGTATATATTTCAGCATAAAAAATATCAATCACACCACATTATTGTAACATGTGTAAGGTAATGTTGCCATAAGCATGTAACCATTATAATGACTTGCTGTGTTGTATATATATTGTAAGGTCACGTTCCCTTTGAAAAGTAAACAAAACAATTTCTGAATCAAATTATATTTATTTTAATTAATAATTATTCCTCAGGTTGGGTTACGACAACAAACACACATCCTCAATTATACAATATAAAAGCATACATTATTTGTACATAACATCTATGAATTTCCATTTATTTGTTGGGCTCTAATCTTGGGGCGCTTTTGAACTGTCTATTTATATTTCACTTACCCTGTTCTGCAGTGAATCTTCCTCTGTATTGTTGTGTTTAATTTCTTTCAATCTTCTAATCTTCCTTTGTTGACACTCTCTACTTGTCAAATCATATTTTTTTTTCTCGATCCTCTTTACTAGCCGGCTGGCTCTTCTTCCCCTACCATCTGTCATTCTTTGTCCATTTTTGACAGTAGTTTGTGACGTCACTATCTTCGCGCCACTATTCAAAATCACTATGTAATATTTACATACTATCTATTTATCTGTACTGGCTCTACAACCCGCTTAGCGAGTCATGGCCTCCGCCAACAACATCCGCCAGGTGTCCATGCTTAGTGCTGCCACCATCCAGTCTCAAACTCCTAGCTTCCTGGCATCTCTGTCCCTCCATCTTAACTTTGGTCTTCCTACTCATCGTGCTCCATGCAGGCTTTCAACCAACACCTTCTTTGGGATCATATTGTCTCTCATTCTGGCCGAATGACCTGCCCATCTGAGACGGCCTGCTCTTATAAAATTGACAACGTTGGTCTCATTTAAAGGTAGAGATCTTGATTTTTTCTCCTTCTCCACTCTACATTCACACATACTGAACACATGGTATGAGTCAACACATGAAAAGCACCAGGGTGTGGTGGTATTGACTCATACCATAATAGCAACGGCTGGCCAATAAAATCCTTTTATTTATCTCTGTATCCATCCGGTTATCAATAGTGATCTGCGAGTCCAGGTATGTGAATTCTGATACCTGTTCAAACCTGAAGGGTCCAAAATTTACTCTAGTGCCATGTCCTGGGGTCTCCTGGGTTACCAACTATTTCGTTTTTTCCTCGTTGCCAGTCAGGACGAGTTTCCTCGCTGAAGCCTCCAGGTATGATTGAGCAATCACTTGCTGAGAGCACCCAATAATGTCTATATCATCAGCAAAAGCGATGAGATGAACAGTCCTATTGAAGATCGTGCCAGATGTTTGTATTTGGGACTCACAAACTGCTTTTTCTAGGACCAAGAGAAAGAGGAGGCATGCCAGGGCATCACCCTGTCTTACACACCTTCTCGTAGAAAATTCCTCCGATACGTTGGCCTTTATTTTAACAACACACACCACCTCGTCCATTGTTAACTTGGTCAGCTTGATAAGCTTGGAGGGGTTGTTGAACTGGCATAATGCATCGCACAACCTTGATGGTCGATTGTGTCATAGGCTGATTTAAAATTGACGAAGAGGTGATGGGTTTTGAGCTTATATTCCTGTCTCCTTTCCAGGATAGTCCTCAGACAGAATATCTGGTCGATCAATGACCTACCTCGTCTGAGCCCCCACTGGTACCGTCTAATCTCTCACACTGCAAACAGCAATAGTCTGTGGAACAAGATATTTGATAGAATTTTATTTGCCCACAGGAGTAGAGCAATACCGTGATAGAGCATTTCAATTAGTTTTCCTTCTTGTGGATCGGGCTTATGACTGTCTTCTTCCAGTCTAAAGGCATTATTTACTCAGTCCATGTGCTCACCAATAAGTTGTGAAGGAGCTTGAGAGCTCATTACCTCCAACTCCTGGGGCCTTATTGTTTTTTAGTTTGTTGTTACATTACAATATCTAAATAAAATAATTTTTGATTTTGATTTGATTTACCACACACAATCACTAGATTTTCCTCCGAACATTTAAAAATAATTTACTTATTTTTTCACAAGTGGATTTATTCATTTTATGAAGTCCAGCCTATAACTTTCTGAGAAAAATAAAGATAAGAATAAAAAAAAAATGAATAAGAAATAGTACCACAAGAGCATGTTACAGTTCAAATTATTAGTAGAAATCATACGGAATACATAATGAAGTCCAACCTACTTAAAGACGTCGAAAATGAATTCAATTGATGCAGATCCAATATCAGAACCAAGACAAAACTGAAAAAAGTTTTAAGAAACATACTTTAATTAACAAGTTAAAAAGTTAATGAAAAATATATATGATTACCTCACTCTCATCACATTTCTAATTGTAAATAAATAAAATTTACAATTATTCTATACAGCGCAACTAATGGGAGTGAGAAAGCTGAAATGTAAAACACTGAACTCCTAATTTGTAGACCAAGATATGAGTCTGAAAGTATCAAAACATTTCTTTTTTTTTTTTTTATTGGCCATGGATCGGCTTTGGAACGGGATACCTTCCTGTGGCACAGTAAGGTTCCATAATGTGGATATCTGGTGCTTCAACATGTTCAACCATGATCCTGGCTAGACCACATTCTTCCATAATTGTTGATATGGTCAGAAACAGTACTTCCTACTCATTTTTTAGATTTACAGATCATACATTTTTTACCTAACCAAATATTAAACCAATCAAGTGTTTCAGTGATATAAATATTTATTTTTTTTTATCATCCTTACCATTGGCTTTATATCATTTCCAAGGCTCCAGATAGCAACATGATGGACTAAGTTTAGTTTATCCACTGCCTCTTCATCATCACTATTTTCAATTAATCCGTGTGAACTAGCAACACTTGACATAACCTCAAATGGTCTGTTAACTACTTTTGAGCTCAGACCACTATTTAATTTTGCAACCTCCTCGTCCAAAATTTGTTTTGTCTTTTCATCGAAGTCCCTAAAATAATAATCCAAAATATATTTTGAACTTCCATAAATAATTAGGAATACACAAGAGTAATGAGTAAATACTAGTAAATATATATCAGTCTAGTATCAATGTTCAAAAAACTAAGGGAAGTAAGCAAATTAAAATAAAATAACAAATGTCATTAAAGGCATCGCTGGAGGTAAAACAATTATTATATTTTTGTGCTCCCTAAAAATAAATAGTTTCTCAGACTTAGAACAAAATTACAGATTAAATCATTATAATATTTCTGTGCTCCCTATGAATAAATGGTTTTTACAAGTTAGGCAAAAACTGAATTAGTTTCATCATTCAGTACTTCAAACTGGGCACTTGTAAGTAAAACAAAAAAAAAAAAACCCTGCAAATATGAGCTGAAATAAAATTCAAGTAACAAACAATGCATATGAGATTAAGATTGCACATTTTTAAATTTAAAAAAAAAGGTTCATATTTAGCTAAAAATATATAATAATAGTGTGTCTGGGAGGAGCAGTGGGGGCTGGGAGTAAAACCTGAGTCTACTGTAGTGTGATATGTACAGCTGACAAACACAGTGCTCTCAAACCTCTCTTATAAAATATAATTTAAACTAAATATTTTTACTCAGAGATGACAGGTTAAAAGAAAAATAGAAACATATTTCTTGGATGGTAGTTTTGAAGCTGTAAATACTAATATAAGTATAACATATCCAACGGTATCAGTGAGGCACTGGCAACATCTGACATAGACGTGTCTTCACTCTTATGATGTAGAATTGTTTTTAAACGCTCATTAACTTTGTTGTATCAGAAAAATTCAGGACTATTTGCACTTTTATGGTTATAAGCTAATGTTCTCAGAGGAATAGAAATTTAAAAATCACAGAAGTCCTGAATTCACTTCTATATTCTATATAAATTTAAAAATAACGGCTTTTGTTAAACAAAACTGATAAGGTGGGTTATAAAGAAATAGGAAATTATAATAATCCTATGATGGTTATTTAATTAACCCATTCAGTTCCAATGCTGCATCAATGGTCAGAAATACAAGCTCGACACAATAGTAGGTAGTATTAGTGGCAAGGTAGGAGGAGGATGAACCCTTGACCAAGGAGGAGGTGGAGGAGGAAGCATGTCTCGATGTATTAAATCTTAGTGGAATGAAAATGATTTAGGCTATACGAACCTCTAATACATTAAAATCTAAACCAACAGTTGATGTGAAATCTTCGCACGGATCAACTAGTTTCTTTGTATTAGTAGAGAAAAGTTCATTTTGTTATCAATTTCTCTACAAAAAAATTTTTTTTTACTCCCATAAATGACAATGATATAACTGGCATAATGTTATCTTTGTAATTAAAAGGTAGGAACAGCATTAGGTAATTTGAAGTCCATATATTAAAAAAAAAATTTTGTTCATAATATTTAGGTATATTACGATTATTATCTCAATTACATAAATTCGATTTTTTATGTGATATTATATTAGTAAAAACATCAAAATCCTCACCTACTTTCATCATAAGGGTCATCTAGGACATGTTTGATATTCAAACGAACTTCTTCACCCTCAGAGTCATCTTTGAATTCTATAGTGTTTGGCTTACTTTTTTTAGAATAAATTTCTGATTTACCATTTTGATTGTCTGAAGTAGTGTTCTTATCAGGAAGTATTTTTGATGATCTGTTTGATATTCTACTATGTTCTCGAATACTTTTAATACTTCTGTTTCTATTCATTAGTACTGGTTCTTCATCATCATCATCATCATCATCATCGATACTTTCCGCAGCTGATCTAAATGTCACAGAACTACTTGAAGAACTAAATTTATCCATATGATGTTTCACTTCCATAGTATCGCCAACAAGAACCATATCAGGTTTATTCTCATTATCAGTATGGATTTCAGACTTTACTTTATTTGTAGATTCGCTATTGAAAAATTCATTAAATGGGACCACTGAACTCTCATCATCTTCTTGGTTTCCAGAATTGATGGTAACTTCTGCATTATGTACAGATTTATCATCACATCTCAACTGCTTGATTTTTTCACTTAGATCAATTGGATTTATAACTGTACGAGCACATTTTTTATCATTTTGATACTCATCCACATGTTGAATTTCTGCGGTATCCTGAACACTTCCTTTATCTTTCAATGAATTCTGATCGGTACAAGTTTTATTAACATCAAGAAAATGTCCAACATTATCAATACATTCTTCATCCCAAACAATGTTAGAAACATCAGATTCACTAGTAGTAGTATCTTTATTAATTGAATCTGATTCATTGATGATTTTTTCTGATTCTTGTAAAAATAAGTCATATCCATCTAAATCCTTGTTCTCACTATTTTCGACACTGCCACACTGATCACAATATAATCTCTTGGCTCTTGAATCTTTAAGGTAATCTGGTAACAATTTCCTAAATAAACAACCATTTTCAGAGCTACAAAATGGCAATTCAAATTCATCTTCAAATGTTTCATTGTCCTCTTCATTTTTTTTCTTCTTCTTTTGCAGTACTACTTTATCTTCTTTTTTTTCAAAACTGCCATGTACATGTTCATAAGGTAAAGCAATAACTTTTTCAACTTCATTAGGATTATCTTCATTCATAATTATCTTAAGGCAAATATGATCTATTCCTTCCTTCTTCATGATATTATTAATGATATATGGGCAATGGCCACAGTCTTTACGATTGCACAAAAAGTATTGCAGATTGACATGTTCATATACTACATCGTACAATGGCATATTTCTTAAAAATAAAAATCCAAATGCATCTTCAACATCACTTTCATCTGATTCAGGGAGATCGCATTCTTCATCTTCATCAGGGGACTGTACATTATTTTCCTCACAGCGTTTACAATGTTCGACCCAGGCATCCATCCATTGCCATGGATTCCTTAAAGAAGATTAAAAAATGAAAAATTCAAAGAAATAATGAATGTTACTATACTACACGTATCTTATTTGATTTAAAGTACAATTTTCATTTAGTTGCTTTATTCCCTTTTTCAAAAACAATATTGTAAAACGAACTTAGATTAAATAATATTTTTATTAAGTTATTGATAGATTATTATGAGGAAGAAATAAAAAATAAATAAAACAATTGCAGTGTTGGACAGGAAGAAAAAAATGCAATAATAAAAGGAGACCCTGAACTAAAAAAATGTTTTTTGGATTAATAATTACTGAAGAAATTAACACTGATATTTGTTGAATTCTATTTTGATAAGGAAGGTAGATGAATCATTAATGAAACAAAATCAAAAGAAAGAATTCAAAGTAATGCAAACGATGAAAACCACAAGGGCATAATTTGAAGATTAGATGATATAAGAAGATAATAATGATATATTAATATTAATGATGATAGTATTTAGCCGGCTCTTTAGTTTTTTGGCAATTATGTTTAGCTTTTCTGAAATTTTTTTGGTTTGATAAACAGTCTGTTATTGATGTTGAATATTCATTTATGGATACCATTCAGATGCTTATAATAACATTTCTGAGATCTTTTAATGGTGATAAAATATATAATATAAATAAACCACAAAGTCATAACGTTACATAGCAAAAAAGAACAAAAATCAATGAAGTTCAAATTTTCAGTTTGATTTAAACACAAACTTGAATTTCGTTGATTGGCTGAAAAAATAAATATGAATAACATTTAAAAAAGATCATAAAATGTTACAATTGGTTAGAATGAGGTCCAGCTGAGCCAAAAGTATAAGCAAGAAGAACACTTAGAACAAACAACATGCCTTCAGAGCTTGTAACATATAGTACTATGGAAAAGTGCTAATGAACAAACTACAAATCTAAATGAGGCAGAGCCCAAAAGGTCCAGGAGTTATTAAATAAAAAAATGAAGTTCTTAATTATAATGACAAAATTGATTTCTTATTTTAGCCTCTTTCAAATTAGTCACTGATACCATAAAAAATGGAAGAATTCTTGTAAGTTCGCCATATGTCACAGTATTGAAAACCTCTTACTATTCTTAATTCTGAAAAATCACTAATATTTCCAACAAAAAGTTCTTCAAAAGCCCAAAATGAAATTAATCTTTCAGTCTTTTGTACAGGTCAAGGGTAAGATGTTAGTGAAGGATATCATCTAGGTGTATCACCTTATTAAAAGAACAGTGAAATGGAATGTGGTATTTTTCATAAAACACATAATGTGGCATAACACACGTTGAGAATGAAGTGGTCAAGCAAGAAGTTAAAATTCTAATATTAAAAACAATATTGCTGTACTACAAAAAACACTGAATCCTTACTAATATTTAACTTAACAGGATAACATAAAAAAAAAAAAAGAAAAGAAATTTCTTCAGAAAACTGTCAGCAAAAAGTCAGAAATAGGGTAATCAGAGAGAAATTGAAAATGTATCAAAATCAGAAGATTAAGTTGCAACAAGATAACAAACATAATGAAGTATAAGCCAAAGGAAAGCTGGGTCAGAGTAAACACTAGCAATAAGTACGTGAAGAGACCACAAAAAATCAGAAGGAATAATCTTAACACATGGCGAAGCACTTTGCTTGGACAGGACTGACTTCATTCATTGCAATTTATCAATCATCACCAGCATCCATAAGTATCATTACAAAATTTAAAAACCATAATAACCCAATTATTTATGATGCAAATATCAATAATGTTAGTTGAATTTAAAGCCTTTTAGCAAATGCATCTATTTTACACAATGTCAGAATAACATATAATTAGGAACATACATTTAGGAACTACCAGTAGTAGAGAAAAGAAATTAAGAAAAGGAAAGTAAAAAAGATATGGAATAAGAAATTAGGTTAAATATTGTTAAAAGTTTTATTAATATGATTTCATAGACATAAAATGTGCAGTGGTAACATTGAGGTAGGTTACAATATGTGTTGTGATGTATAGAATGTGACCAGATATTTTCTGACCTGAAGCAGGGAGTAGAAAAATGTCCAGCTAGTGATATTCTTTGTGATGTCTAATAAAAAAGTATATATTTTATGGTTGACTATAGGAAAGGTCATTAAATGATTAAAAAAATACTTTAGAATATTAGACTTACAATAGTGAAGAAATCACAAATTATCTGTATTGAACTTTCCACCGAAAAGGGTTGGGTAAGAAAGTTGTATGAGTGGTCATAACAAATACATTAGACATATAACTTTTTTGAATATTTTTGCTTCCTCACTACAGAAGGTAGGAAAGCATTGTATTTGTGTTAAAAAAAATTAGGTTAAAAAAATTGTGCTCGGAATCGAAAATTTCTACTTGTGTTTTATGTTTTAGACATCAAGGATAAAATTTGGTTCAGTGTCCGTCTGTAGTAAAATTGATGTAATGGTCATATCACCTACTACCATTTATCCAATTTTCATGAAATTTTCAGACATTCTGCAGGTTGATGTCTAGATGGTCCCATATCAATTTTATTAAATTCCATCCAGCACTTCCACTTACACATGCGCAACCGCATTTTTGTAGATATGCCAATATTTCAGAAACGGCGTGTTTGATTTGGCTCAAAGTAGGATAAAGGTAGATATTGGTGAAAAAATAATGTAGCATCAATTTTATTGAACTCTGTCCAGTATTTTCTCTTATATATGAGCAAACATGTTTTTCTTGATGTCTATATCTCTAAAACCACTCGTTCGATTTGGCTCAAATTTGGAAGGAAGTTAGGGATTGGTAAATAGATAATTAAGTACTTATGAATTTTATCAAATTCTATCCACTATTCCAAAAAAAAACTTCCGCTTTCAGATCAGGAAATCTATTATTTGACAGGCCCGTAGTTTAAAAACTACTTTAACTTTCGATTTGACCCAAACTTGAAGGAAATTTGGAGAATATTATAGAAATAACCTAGTATCAATTTCATTGAATTCCATTTAATAATTAAAATTAATATAAATAATTGTTAACAATATAATATAATGGCTGCGAAATGTGGAAGCATTGATCATATGGAGTAGGACTATGGGTTAAGACAATATTTTTATAGGGTTATAAAGTTGTAAGTTTTATTCAACAGTTAATTTATACTGTATTGTTTGATCGGATTAGCATGTTACTGGCATGATACTTATGTCCATTACTCAAATTTCGTGTAATTTTTGGTAAATTTAAATTAAGTTTTACTCTGAGTTTATAAAAAAAAAAGTCTGTTTTGTGATTTTGTTTATTTATATTCAAGTACAACCAGTTCCCATGGTCTTGATTTTCTCCTTTAAAGTTTGAAATGAAAATAGATTTTTATTATCCTGGGACTTTTGTCCCTTTAGGACAAATTATAGATACAGAGAAAATACCTGTGTGGCTATATAAAATTAAATTAAATATTTACAATGCTCATTAAAATATAAATATTGGAGGAAAAATAAAATAAAATCAAAAACAATAAATACAAACAGATATATATATATATATATATATATATATATATATATATTATATATATATATATATATAATACAAACATGTGAAAATAAAATAACATAATTAAACAAAATCATTTCTGGGTGAACTTAAAAAGTTCTCTTATCTACTTTTCATGATCAATCAGGTTGGGAAAGAAGTAGGTGCTTAAAAAGGAGAGATTTAAATGAGGAAACTGATTGCGCATGTCGGATGTCGGGAGGGATGGTATTCCAGATGGAGACGGCTTGAATTATAAAGTATTTGTCAAACACAGCAGTTCGGTGAGAAGGCGGATAGAGGTCAGAAGTACGGGGTCTAGTGGGACGGGATTGAATGGAAAATTTAAATTGTAGGCTGTGAAAAATATAGGAAGGTTGCTGAGTTCTGATGGCTTGGTATAAAAAGGTAGCAAGGAAGTACAGACGGTGGTTGGATGGATAGAGCCACTTCAACTTGATGTAATACTGGGTTATATGTGTATCTCTTGAGATTCCGAAAACAAAACGTATTTCGCAGTTCATCAGGCGTTATTTCATTTCATTTTAAAAAAACGGCTTAGAACACGGCCCACAGTAGACCCTTTTGGTCGTGGTGCATTATGCCAACAATAAAAGAAAAAAAATTGTAGTGTAATGTAACATGCTCAAAAAATAAAGTAGACAAAAGCAGATAAGATAGTATTTGTTATAAGATGTCCGCCTAATATTGGAAGCTTCAGTTTCTTTGCTTTGTTTTTTAAATGCTTTAGACAAACCCAGCCTATGATCAGCTGTAGTATAATCAAATTAGTTATAAAACTTTCCCTTCGAAAAGTTTCACAATAGATATTTTATTTAATCAGAAGGTATCAGTTACAAGTTAAACTCACATTTCAAGGGTATAATCAATGTTGCTTTCAACTTTGTATCCAGGGAGGAATACTTTTGATTCAGGTACAGTTGGTGTTCCTAAAGCCATAAGAGCAGATTCTCTAAAATCCCTAAAATAAAGATAAATTGAACAGTCAGTTTATAGTTTAAAAAAAAATTCATGAATGAAACACCACATTTTATATTTAACTTACTTATTAACTTCTATAGCTTCATATTTCAAATCATCACCAAAAAACCAGGTTTCACCCCATATCACAGGAAAAAGAAAAGTCCTGACAAATTTTTCGGGAACTGTACCTCCCCTCATCGTTATCAGTAGATCTACTGGGTTAATTATTTCACTGCAAAGTAAAAATATAATAAATACAAATTGAAAAACTCATATTGGTAAACAATAAAATATAGCATAACAAGATAAAATACAACATAGACACAAATAAAAATATTGCAATCGCTATTATTAGTTAGGTTCAGCAAAAGTATGTAATAAACTGTAAAGTACATAATTAAAATCTGCTACATTGTTAATACACCAGAAAATAAGAAACAAAATCAATAGTTTTTCACTTCCCTTGGAACAAGAACTTTTTTCCAAGTAAAGGTTTTACAGAACCTTTATTTTCAAAAACTTTTATTTAAAAGTTCCATCGATTTCCCTAATAAGTCAATCTAAAATATGACTTTTATTCATAGCTACTCAAACAAACAGCACATCAGAATCATGTGCAATTCATTTATGTCAAATTCTAATTCTAATCTAAGCCCTGTTGGTGTTTATTTTTCATTTAACAGAACTTTTTTTAACTACTTAAATAAATACAAGTTAAATTTTTACTATAAGCCTGAAATTTTATAATAAAAAACTTTTCAAAACTTTTATTTTAAGAATTTTTTTCCTAAAAAGATTCACAGAAACTGTTGAAATGGAAAATTTTCACAAAAACTGTAAAATGGAACTTTTTAGAAATGTTTCAACCCCTAATTTTACATCGTAACACATCTTAAGAAACATTTCAGCCTACAAGTTCATTCCAATGCTATTAATAATGGATTAGCTACAGATTATAGGAGATAAGACCTACTTATCATGCAATCACAATCCACAATGACAGTATACCGGTCTTTAGTGTGTTTGAAAAAATCCTTAGGAATCCAAGAAATTTGAACCATACCTTGGTTCTTAGATAACTACACTACAGGTAACACCTTCAATTGTTCCATAAAGTTTTTCTGTATGATGTAAATCATCAATTTATCTGTATGAAATCAATAAAAAGAATGGATGGTACCTAATTTTCTTAACTAATCAGTAGGCTCCTTGAAACCAATAAAGTTCTTCCAATGAAAATATTTTTTAATTCTCTTTTCATAAAGTTCTGAGCCTGGAAGGAAATAAGTTGCTGGTAATAAGTATATCACTGATTCATATGGTGGATGCTTAAAAACTCTCTGCCTTAAGTCTTAGAAGTTCCACAAGGTCACAGTACAGTTGTTAAGAAGGAGCATGGGCGTATGCTTACAAGTTAAACTTAGATTCTCCTTTAATTAATAAACTATAATTCATAACACTCATAAAAATGAAATTTCATATACGTAACAAAATAGAAAAAATATATATCTCAGGCTTGTACAAATGTCTAAGTAAATAGTTTTGATTTCCAAGGTTTCAATTTGAAACACCTATCAATGAAAGTTTGCATGCAAATAAATGATTCTTAAGTGTGAAAAAACAACTGAAAAACAAAATTTAAAATATTAGAGAAAAAATAAATGAATCAGTACAATGAATATGAAGAAACTATGGAAAACGCACCAATTATCTCTATTTTAAATTTCATTGTCATTTTTTAAAACTTGTACCATACATTTAACAGTAACACATGCTAAAAATATTATAATTAATAATGAAGTTAATATATAAACTGTGGGAGGATTTTTTTTAAAATGTTGTTAATTAAAGATATGCAAATTTCAAAGAAATAAATCTATTAAAACCATGCGTTTAAAAATAGCAATATATTACGTTAAATCATTCAATAACTTACTCAGCCATCTTTAATTTCCAATGAAAATTTCCTGAAATAGACCACTATTATTAATGAAAAAGTAATCTGTATTAATAATTCCAAGGACTATTCAGTTTATATCAATATCTTAATGGATTAACTTGATGGTTATTTAAAAAAAATAATTACAAGTTCATTCATAAATAGAAAAAAAAATACCTGAAAATAAATTATCCCTTTTCAGAAACTCTGGTTTTTCACGCATTACTTTATTTATTAGGCTATCAATAGTCACATTCTGTAAGAAAAACTTATAATTATATCTTTATTAAAAATATTTTTGATTAACAATAATTAGATATTTTCCCAAAACTCATTAAAGATTAAGTTATAAAATGCAAAAAGTTCCGATTATTTCTGATACGTGTTTGTAAAGATAATAAATGCTAAATAAAAGTAGTTGAGAGAGAGCTACGTCATGAGAGGGAAGACATGTTAACGTCAGCGGCTCTTAGCTCTCTTGTTCATACCATTGCATATCTATCTAAATATACAGGGCTAAAATACTGCTGGTTGTTAATTAATAGATTCTGAATTGAGCTTTAAAATTAGTTTTGCCACTCTCGAGAGTTCATGAACTTTTTTCAACAGGCTATTTTTTAATTAGAATTGTGAGATCCTAAATTTGATTATGTTTCCAAAACAATCCTCTAATATTTTAATGGGTTGAAATGTTCTACTGTTTTCATATTTAGAATAAATGATTTGGTATATTTCTTGGAAATAGAATATTTTTACTTTCCAACTACAACTAGGACAGGAAAGTATGGTAATCAGATCAATTTTTTTTTATGTAGGGTTTCAAACAGATCTTTATGTTTCAGAACCTTCAGACCAGTGTCCAAAAAATGTATATTTTCACGCAATGGTCAGTATGTTTATGAATGTCTATACCATGATTCTCTTTTGAACAGGTGGATTGATTTTTTTTTGCTTCTTTTCATGCTATCTAGGATTTTAGTCCCTGATGTCGGTATACCGAATCAAGCAACTTGTGAACGATAGGAGCTGTGAAGTAGGACAAATTAAATACTGATTTGAAATGTTTTTTTTTTTTTTTTTTTTGTTAGATGTCTGAAAGAAACATTTTTATTCATAACAATAATTCTTGTCAATAGCTACTAAACAAAAAAAAAAAAAAAAAAGAAAGAAGATTGGTTGAGAAACAGAGGAGAAAAACATACTGAACTGTTTTGTCTCTATCTATTTATAAAATAATAATCAATAATATTATTTTTTTAACACATAAAAAATAAGAAAATTTGACATTTTGCAAATACCAGTGATTGAAATAGGAAGATTTACTGCTTCAGATAAGCTTTAAATTTAATACACTACTATAATTAATAGATAAAATTTATTTCTTATAGTATAATATATATTAACTAATATAATATGTATTAATATATCTACCTGATCATCTTTTTTTTTTTTTTTAGATCTATCAAATAATGGATATTCAAACTTTTCTTCTTGATATAAGTCTTCAGCATCCGGCATTTTTAGGATCCGTTTTTTTTCTTGAATAATTTCAAAAAGCCTTATTTGCTGAAAAAATGTAATAATAATTAAAAATAAAAACCGGGGAAAGAGAGGTGAAATGTGAGATGAGAGGCCAATCCATTACTAATACAATTGAGTATTACGATATAAACACAATTTCAATTTTATAAATTGGGCTTCAACTTCTTTCATAAAATAACTACTCATTAGTGCTCAAAAACCTCTATATAACCATAACAGTCTAACTTATTTAAAACATATCACGGAGGTTCCAGAAATCCATATAACCAGAAATCTATATAACATCAAATCCATCTATAACATCAGATCAATATAACATCAGAAATCTATAAACAATATAATCATAAGAGTCTAATTTATTTAAAACATATTACGGAGATCCCAGAAATCCAATATATTGCAAGAGTCAAGACCATGTGCATAAAAAGAAAGCAAGATGCGGAAAAAGGCAAGTTTCTCCAAATGAAAGAGGAGTATGGGGAGAGAAATAGAAGGAAGTTCTTCGGTATCCTCAAAGAACAAAAGGGAGAGTTCAAGCCAAGGGCAGGCTTTAAAAAGAACGATAATAGCGAACTGCTGGGAGGACATTAATAGATGTTGCTGGATGTTCGGAAAAGTACATAGGTCAAAGGTGTTGCCCTGGCAGTTAAAAAAGGCCTTATATTCAGCGTTATTAGACCAGTGGTGAGATAGGGAAGTGAGACATGGATCCTCACCAGGAGGTCAGAACAAGTGCTGAACATGTGGGAGGGGAAAGTCCTGAGAAGAATTTTTGGCTCCTTGAGAGAGGGAGATCGGTGGAGGCAGAGAAACAATCAGGAGCTCGGTGACCTATACAAGGCCCCGGATATTGTCACCTGCATCAAGAAGAGTAGAATGAGGTGACTGGAAAATTTGTAGAGGATGGAGGAGCGGCGTATCCCAAAGAAGCTTTTGAGAGGGTCATTCTGGTGGAGGACGAAGAAGAGAGTGTCTCAGATTGCGGTGGCTGGAGGACGTGGAGGACCTGAGGACACTTGGACTCCAAAGGTGGAGAAGAGCGGCTTTGGACAGGAACAAATGGCAAGGAATTGTGGAGGAGCCCAGGGTTCTGCAAGGACCGTAGTGCCATCGAAATTAAGTAAGTATTATATTATCAATATATATATATATATATATGTGTTTAAAATATACAAAGGTGCTTTTTAATTATTTTCTTGAAGGAAAATAATTTTTTGAAAATACAGGAGCTTTCAAAAAGTATCATTACTTTTGTTTTGGCATGTTTTTCCGTTTGGCTAGTTTCCCTACTTATTTAAGCTCAAAATGTAATTAATCTATAAACTCTGAAACACATTTTAGCATTAAACATAGAACAAGAGGCTGAGTCTAATTTAAATAACTGCACAAGAACACATAGCTAGCAAGAAAGCCACTAGAGATTGCTAGAAAAACAGACAGCTGGGTCTACACAGAGACACTCCTATATCAATCTATTCCGGAATTTCTTAAACAATGACTTGGTGTTCAAGAGACTTTTTTTTAAAGTTGTGTTAATGTCAAAGCAAAGCAGTAATTCATCCATATTATGTTTATAAGTATTTTTTAGTAAGTAACAATATTTTTGGTATATTTTTTTTTATAATGTATTTTTTCTTATTAAAAATAAGAAAGCCGAGTATATTTTTGTTAATAATTTACTTCAAATTTATTTCATTATTTTCACATTTTTTAAACTTCATTGGCAGTTAATTAATTTAAAAACCATAGGCATAGAAATAAGCAGAAATAACAGAAACATAAGTTGTTGATATATTAAGGATAAAAATGAAGTGTCTAACTGTTTAAAGCTACATATATTAATTTAATGCATTAATGAAATTTGTAAAATGTATTCATCATAAAATGTTGATTTTTGATTGATTGTTTCTTGTTCATTTTTTGGGACCAATAATCTTCAAGCATTATGCAACAAACTACTCGTAGTTTACAATATTGGCTTATTATTCTCATAAACAATTATTATATTACATAAATTAATGAAATGCATAAATCAATTTTCTTGTTTTGTTTAATTATGAGAATAATTGACAGTATTTTAATTTAAATTAGTACTATTAATTTATCATTATAACATTTGTCTTAAAAGAAAGATGAATTTATAATAATCATAGATAATCTTTTTTACCAATTAATATTTTTAAAAATGAACATCATGATTTTATAATAGATTTGTTCCAACATGAGTTTTAACAATAATCAAACTTTCAATTGCGTATGCAGTAGCTATTTCCCGTTTAAAAACCTGTGTCCCACATGCAACTGGAATGGAAAAACCTCATGCACCTGACAATAAGATGGTTTAAATTCCTGTCGGAACTTAACTATTATTAATAGTGACTTCAATTAAGAAAGAGACCTTTGTTTGTAGGAGAAATTCAGTTGATACAGTAGCTAAATCGTAATCTTTTGTATCATGCTTGCCTTTCTTCATATTTTTTTCTAACTTATGAATCTGCATTTTCCACAGATTTTCAATGTGCTCGTCAAACTGATTTGATGTTGGAAAACTGTTAAATACTTTTTCTTCATCAAAAACATCATCCTCGTCAGAATTCTCATTAAGATCACCAACTTTGGCAATATGCTCTCTTCCATAAGAAACAGCTACTATGCCTGCAATAGATCATAATTTTAAACTAAAACACTACAATAAATTAATAAAACTAATTTTTAGCAGATAATCAAACAACTTATGGACTGTGAAATTTATTCATAATTATTACTCAACATAATTAAGTGAAAAAATAATGAGCTATTGGAACAACAATTTTTTTATAATTACTTACCATCAACTTTAGAAAAAAAAAAAGACAGACAATCTAAATAATTCAGTAACAATCTAAGTAACCTAAACCCAAATATTCAGTAATAAATTAACTTGGCTATCTGTTCTTCATTAAAATTTTGACTAATCATACATAACAGGCTTACAGATAGTGAGGACTTAGTGTGCACAGAACCAATCATTGTTATCCACCTACCTCCATCCACTGACACCACTCAAAAAATAATGCTGCAAAGTCTGATGTTATCCATTTGTTCATTAAGTCTTCATGTTGTTTAACCTAAAAATTCTCCCAGGATAATCCCATTCTCCAATTATCCATTAGAATAAGCTCAATAATAGTATGATGTAACAAAAACATATTTTAAAAGATATTTTTCTCTTTATGTTTTCTTGTTTGGAGAAATATGAGGTTCTTTTTGATAACCAAGTTAAAGCTATGTATCCTAATGAAAACAAACTAGTTCTGATAGTAGCTGATGGCAATTATCATAAACATACTCTAACTGTTGAGTAAGAGTTTCATCAGCATGGTCAGTCCTGAATATCAGAGTAAGTATCCTTAAAATATCAGAGCTTTTAAGACCTGTATGTTACAACCTCTAGTATTTGGCAAAGAATAATAACCAGTCCGGGGTACAAGTATCCTTGAATCATCAGAACTTCTAAGACCATTAAGTTAACTCAAAATCATTTACAACTTTATTTTGGAGAATCTCCTAATTTCCAAAACAACTGCTGGAGTCTGTGAATTTTACGAATAAGTTTGAGGATAATATACATTAATTTAGAATTCTTCCAAAATCTTGAACAAAAAGGAGTACATTATCATATCCTCTATCCACTGCCTTAATGTCCTAATTCCTATCATGCTGTTCAATAGAAATCCTCCAAAAGTATGCAATAGCAACAGAACTCAGGTGAAGACTGCATAAACACGCCATAAGTATAAATTTCTTATCATGCATTATACTGATATCATCAGATTACCACTTAGGTCATCAGATACAAATAATAGGAATGTTAAAGGAAGAAGATGGTCCGGGGTTGCGGTCACAAATAGGCTAAATAGTGACAGCACTATTTAAATAGGTCGTAAATAGGCACTATTTAGCCTATTTGTGATCGCAACTCCGGATCATCTCCTTCCTTTATAATGCAACGGTCAACTATTAAATATTCAATAGGAATGTTACTTCAAGAAAGATCTTAACACTCCGAAGGTCGCACCAGTTCTGAAAGATCGAGCGATATATTTGATGTATTTTTATAAAGCTTGGGAGAGGAGGACCCTCCCTCCACTTATTCTCTTGCTTCTTGGAATATTACAATCCAGTAGTGGGGTGACCTGGGTGGAACCAAAACTTTTTAATGAAAGGCCAGCCACCAGAAGCAGAGCTGGGCTGAGCACAGTTGAGCAGCGTTGCAAGGAGCAGCTCCACTCAGCTTTGCCTCGACGAAGGTTCGGTTTTGAAACTACGCTCAGCTTCCCTCAACACACCTACACACCACTGCCTCAGAACTGTGTGGCTTCGTTCCTTAGTGTCATCCTTTCTTTCCGCTTATTTTGACAACACAACCTCTCAAATTATATTATTTTGGTTCAGTGTAAAATATGCAATGGATGTGGAAGAATTCTTAATGTGTAAAGGAATATATTCAATTTTATATACAAATATTTGATTTTTCTTTTCAACTCTGACATGATCAACTTTGCTATTTTTTTTTAAATTTTATATATGGTATATATATATATATATATATATATATATATATATATATATATATATATATATATATTTATTTACAATATACGGAATATGAGAAAGATACCGATCCAAGACAAGATGCTGACTGAGCTGAGATACACTACGTAATTGGTTGCGTAGTGCTACGCTCAGCTCACATCATCTATGCTTTCGGTGGCCGGTCAGCTTAAAACTAGTGGGAAAACGGTGCCTGTCTACCCCTTCCAGATCATTCTGCCCCAGGGTCATTCCATGTCCAGCTTAAAAGTCTCAGAAATCAATGATTTTTGCACATACATAATACTATCAGTTAGGATAAAAAATAAAAATTTTCAGATTGCTTCCATTTTTAATTTTTGAGTAAAGATTTTTTAAAACATCAAAAAGTTATTTTTGAGTGAGAGTTAAAAAATTCCAAAATTTAACCATTGAATGACGAGATGGCAATATTTCCATAAATAATGACTGTTTGATGGATTTAAGACACCATCAATGAGTTTAGAAATTAACCCATGATTTGCAACAAAAATGTTTACAATTCAGTAAAAGAATCTGAGCGATAAAGTTTAATGTTTTATTTCAAACAACTTTTATTGAAATGAAGGGAAATCTTTATAAGGCTAGAAAAAAATATTTATACAATCAAAAATTTTATATTTTACTTGGGGTTTCTTTAAAATAGTAATAGATTTTAATATTAATAAGATACCAGCTTGACTTGGATGCCATGAAGTAGCAGTAATAACTTTGTCTTTGGTACCGATAAATGTTATCATTGTCGCATAGTGTTCATATGGAATATTTGGGTACATAGAGATTTCTTCTCCTTTTTCAGCCAATATTTTATAATCATCTCTATAGAGGTCATATTCTTCATTGTAAGTTAGAAGATTATCTATTCTGAAATCATTATTATCAATTTTAAAATATTGATGTGATAACATATTAGTAGAATAGAGCAATTACAAATAATACAGAAAGTCTGTCCATAATCAATATGCATTTTAAGAATATCTATAGTATATTTATAATAATTGTAATTGAATTTTAATTGTTTGTAATAAGAAATTGAAGTATATACCTATATCAATATTATAATGTTGATATTTAGAAATATAAATATAATATTGGAAGTATCCTAACATCCCTTTTCCCCATTGTTTCTTTATAAAATGACATCAGAGAAAGTAAGCATGATAATGAAATATATGCATAAAATATGTATTTTTCTCCATGATTTGAAAACAGAATGACAATTAAGTGTCACTTCAACTTTAAAACAAGCCAAAGGATCTTGCCTTTAAGGTAGGTTTCGTGGCGACTGGTTAAGTTCCAAGTACTGAAATATGTTATATTAATTTATCATGGCTAAACTATTTGGGCTAATGTACCATTACTTTATTGCTTATTGTGATGGAACATTAAAGTTTAAGAATTTATTTTAGTCATAATTTTACTTAAAAATATATTAGAGATATTATTTGAAATGCCCATAAAAAAGAAGATTTTTTTTTTTATCACGCTAAGAAAGAATTTTTATAAGAAGTTAAATTTTAAAAATACAGAGGGAGATTAATGATTTAATTCTTAATTCTGTATTAAAAACTCCACAATACCCAACACCATGAAAGAATGAGGTTAATTTTTAATTAGTTAATTTAGAAATGGTTCTATCAGAATTCAGACTCAGGTAAAGTAATTATTTTGTAATTTCACGGATATTTTTATGAATAAATTTATCATTGAAAATCTTTAAAATCAACTTGTATGAATATAATGTAAGCCTGATATGGACCTGAAGATCATATTCTTTGTGCAATATTGAAGTTTTACATTTTTAAAAGAAAAAGATTAGTTGTTCAACTCAAGATGATCCTTGATAACTTATATAGAACTATAAATATTTCAGATTTTTTTTTTTACCAATATGCAAATAATACTAAAATCAGCCCTATTATTTCAAAATAGTTTTCAATGAGATCGAGAAAATAGAAAGAATAAATTTTCTATCAAGAATAACTTTTCATTTAATTTTTAAGCATTTGCAAATTAATTTTGGCTTAGTGATAATTAGTGAAGGTATTGAATGAAAAGAAACATTTCAATGGTTCTTAAGCTTTAAGTTCCTTCTCAAGAATTTTTGTTTTATAGGTGATTAAGAGAACTTTTCTCAAATTTAAACACCAAGTAACAAACATAATCGTTGATATTAATTGAACACATACTTGTAAAAAAAACCTTTCAACTTCTCATTCAGCAATTCATAATTTAAGTCTAGTTCTTCGAGCCGTTGCTTATATTCTTCTACCCTCATTTCTGTGGTGAATTGTGTTGCTGCATTCACTGGGATTTCTGGTACTGTTTGAGCATAAGATTCCCGAGTGAGAGGGCATCCCTACGGATCAAACGAACAATAAGTAATCATATTTAATAATTAAACTTACTTGTAAAAATAGAATCGGCTAGATGTATGTGAGGAAATAGGGAGAAAGAAGGAATCAATTAAACCAAGGGCAAGGTCACACAAGACTAAAATTAATTTAAGATTGTATTAGATGAGAGGAAGTTTTGATTGGTACAACAAATAATCTAACAGAGAAATAGGTTATTCCTTCCTAATCATTGCACCATCAACATAAAGTGTTATTAATATCATATACTTTAAAAAATATATTAATATGATGTAACACCTTGGAAACCGCAGGTATTGGAAGTGATTAGCATATTATTTCTTTAGCAATAATCTATTTGTGATTATTAATAATATTCATCAAAAAAACAGGAATCACAAATGAAGATTTCTACATTTCATTATCATATGAAATCAATATTTTATATTTCAATTGGTAATGATATACTTTTCCATTACCTGGGTTTGTTTGTCAAAAACAACTCCTTCAATATTTTCTATCATCAGAAGATCTTCTTCTCTCAGTTCAGTATAGTAATCTACAACATCAAATCCTTCAGAGAAGAGTTTTTCATGATGATCCTTTTTTATATAGCAGTCGAAACTTATCTGAAAATAAAATGTTAAAATTTGTTTAAAAGTTTTAGTAGTTAAATGTGTTGATAGCCTATTTAGCTTTGGGGTGAAAATACAGTGTTAAAATCTGTCACTGATTCATTGCCATTTTTTTTTTTTTTTACTGAAAACTTAATTTTAAGTAATAAGATAAAAATAGTTGCTACAAATTGTTAGAGTTTGGTATAATAATATTAAAATCAACCTCAAGAAATTTACAGAGGTAACTTTACTTACAGAAGGTCTTGTATGCTTAATTCCAGCAGTATCCATTTCCTCTTCTGTGCCAAGACTTTTCCAGGTTTTAATTGGATGATTAAACCTCATCATCACTTTTTCCCATCTCTTTAAATGAGTATTTTTTATATCTTCTAAAAGTAAATTTCTTCCATATAAAGTAACTGCTACTAAAAACGAGTCACATTCTAGTAATGTAGCTCGTCCAACAAGAACCTCCTCTTCTGGATAATTCTGTAATAAATTATAAAGCAAGCTATTGAATTTCTTTAAGTTATTAAAAATAATTAAGACAATACAACTCGTTCATTATTATCATCTTTACAATTTCAATAGGTAATACTGACTCAATACAACAATTGACAGGAGGAAGGGGGAGGGTGACTTCAATATATTGTCTTCAATTATATTGACCTTGTAAGTGGTCCTTAAGTACATATATAAGACGCAACAATTCATTACTGTATCCAGGGGTTTCCAGAAGGGGATTTCATGATGCAAGTTGTGCTATCAATATTTTTGAGAGGAAAACATTTTGAAGAGAATTTGAATTTTTGAGGGGTGTACATTTCGACAGCGTTATGAATTTTCTGAGTGAAAGTTTCAAAACAGAGATCTAGGGGTAAAACATGGGACAGACAGCAAGTGTAATTATATATGATCTGCGATTTTTCTAATTCTACTTCAGCTTGCACTGTAGTTAGGAAGATTGTAATAAGTTTTTTGAGTAGGGGGAAAGGCTCATGTGCTATAGAACTAGGGAGGGATGGGCACCCCTGACTGAATCAGGGCCCTCTCCAAATGTTTTCACTGTTGCATCCCTATTCTGCGCAGCAGCCATGCAGTCCGCTATTCCAAGAATATTTCTGGCATCTGCATGGACGCTATCCAGCCATCTTGTTTTGGATCGCCTCATTCTTCTACCTTGATAAAGAGTTTCTGCAGCTTATTTTCTGGTATTTCCTTCTCATCCATCCTGGCGAGATGTCCTGTCCATCCGAGCCGCCTCACACTGAATCATCGAGCAACATCTTCGTTCTTGAAGAAAGTGTAGATCTCCCGACTTTTCCTTCTTCTCCATACATTATCTGCCTGTGTCGGACCAGAATTTCTTCTCAATACCGTCCTTTCAAAAACCAGCAGCTTATTTTCATCAGCCTTATTCCACGCCCATGCATTAGAACTATACGCGAGGATCAGACGAATAAGGACTTTGTAAAGCCTCACTTTAGTCCCATTGGTAATAAACCTACTTTTAAATTATCTGGAGTGACCAAAATAGCACCTGTTTGCTGCTGCGACGTTTAATATCTTGAGATGTATCACTACCCGAATTCATCTTTAACCTCCATTTGATTCATGGACACCAATCCAAACGTCATAGCAGCTTTTTTTAGTTGAAGGAATGCTTCATTCAGTGCAGTTGGAGATCTTTTTTTTTTTTTCCCCTACCTCGCCTTTTAGGCTATACGGGATTTTCCCGGGCCGGGGGGTGAGGGCGGGGAATTTAAAATCCCCTCCGGCACCGGGACGCGAACTCGTACTTTTTAAATCTTCTCCAAATCTGTAATCCGGTTGCCAGGCAACTCGCGGTGCTGTGCACACGCTTTAGCCCATTCGGCCACCCCGTCCCCTACAGTGCAGTTTGAGATCTGGCAACAATATCGAAATCACCGGCGTATTCGAATATCTGGACTGTTCTGTTGAATAAATGTGCCCGTCGTTTGTATTCCAGATTCCCTTACTGCTCTTTCTTCTGCCTAATTTAAAAGAAGGCAAGCTAGTGAATCTCCTGTACTGGAATCAAATTCTTTAGACATGTCTGATCCAATCTGCACTACGTATTTTTTCTCTATCATCGTCATTTTGGCGAATCGTGTTAGTTTTGAGGGAATATTGAGATAATACAAAGCCTGATTTATGATTCAAGCATAAATATTATTTTCTAAAATAAATTTTTAAAAACCCGTGTTAAATCGGAGGAATAGGCTGAAGCTTCTCTAACTATTCTCTACGCTCTTCCCAAGCTGTTTACTGCAACAATGAAATAACTGAAATGGATAATTTACAAAGTAACTCACAAGGTTACAAATATAAGTAAGTATTGAAGAAGTTAAATAATTTCTACATGAAAATCACATATTGAAGAAGGCAATCAAAACATTTGAACCTCTTTTTTTTTTTGGTTAGTATGTAAAAATACAACTGCGTGTATTTGAATTGTAGAATCGAAGTTTTAGAGTTGATTTAATTGCTATTGCTCTCCCTCTATAGAGCGAATTATTTATTTGATCTACTCTTTTTACAAAATGTTGAAATGACAATTTCTGTCAATAAAACAACGTATTTGTCAAATAAACTAATATACCGAGAAAAAAAAATCCATGAAACGCAAAAACCTGCAAAAAGTGACAATAATTAAAAGAAATAGTTTACCAGGAAACTTGAAGTGTATTCGTAAAATGGAGATTGTTTGTCGTCTCGATTTATTGATTTCAAAATACTATCTTTTGATACTATCTTCCAAGGCATCTCCATGAAAATATCTACTCCAACTTCACATTTCAATTCTTTTTGAAGGTCTTTGTTAATAGCCACATTTACAATATGAATTATTTCCTCTGATGAATGAGAACCCTCACCTGCCAAATCATTATATAAGATCATTATAAGTTAGATCAGCTAAAAAAAAATTAATAATACTTGGACGGATTGCAGAGGATGATTTCCACGATAAAGAGGTAAATAAATCATAGTTGGTCAAAATGTAGAATTAGAGAACCTTAGGTATAAGTTGTAGGTATAACGTCTAGTACCATTTGTAAATAGACTTATAAACGTTAAATAAAATAAAACTTAATGGATAAGTTCCTATTATGCTTCCAAATACTTTAATTGCTTACATAGAAATTATTAAACATACTTATTATTGATAGGAGATAAATTGTCAGTACTCGCCCACAGTACCGTACCAATGTTCAGTGTACCAACGGTATCGACAACTGGGGCGAACAATGGGAAGAAAATTGCTACTGTTGTAATTGTGTTTATCATTTTACAGTATCAAATATAACCTTCAGTAGCTCAGATTTAGTCAGTAGAAAACGTGTGTGGCTCAGGGATATTTACGTCATGGAGAACCATTAACTAAAGATAAATAAAAAAAAAATCCATCTACCATTCCATCGTAGAAAGTCGTCTAAGTTCTCAATACGCAGCCTACCTATACCTAGTCTCACGGGCGGATCTACGGGGGGGGGGCTTTCGGTCTGAAGCCCCCCCCCCCAAAATAGTAAAACATAACCTCGTTTTATGGAAAAAAAAGTTAAAAAAATACCTCTTAAAGTATTATTGTTGGCGTAATTACATTTAAAAGGACTTAAGGAATCACTTAAACACCATTTCATATAGGTAGTTAGTTTCTTTCTGTTTTTCCAAAGTAAATATAGTTATTTTTATGAAAAAAAAAGCTTCCGGGCTGAAGCCCCCCCCCCCCCAAAATTAAATCCTGGATCCGCTAGTGCCTAGTCTATATTCGCACGGGCGGATCTACGGAGGAGGAGGGGGCTTTTGGGCTGAAGTCCCCCCCCCCCCAAAATGGTAAAACATAACCATGTTTTATCGAAAAATATATTTAAAAAGTATCTCTTAAAGTATTATTGTTTGTGTAATTACATTTAAAAGGGTTTTAGGAATCACTTAAACGCCATTTCATACAGGTAGTTAGTTTCTTTCTTTTTTCCAAAGTAATTATCGTTATTTTTATGGAAAAAAAACTTTCGGGCTGAAGCCCCCCTCCAAAATCAAATCCTGGATCCTCTAGTATATATTCGTGATGACTGATGGAAAGAAAAATAACTTTTATCTTATTCTATTACTAGATAACAAAGTTATTATACACAATGATGCTCAGAAGGAAATTGCACCGTTAGTTGCGACATGCAAACAGTTTTAGAGGGGTAAATTTTTAAGAAGTTTTGAATTTTTTTGACGGGATAAAAAGGAATTTACCCACTGATCACAATTAAGAGAGACTTTCAAACCAGAAAAGTAGGGAGAAAACAGTAATATAAGACCTACATTTTTTCTCATTTCATGTTCGCTTGCTTTGTTTTTAAGAATAGCAGAACGGCCAAATTTCTTGGTGAAGGAGACATGCAACATCGATCTTGAGGGAGGGGCACCTACCTCCTAATTCCAAAACTTTTACATTCCCTTACTCCTGTTTTACAAGTACTAATGATAATGAAAACCGAACAAAAATCCCAATGGTCCTTTTCCTACAGACCCATTAGTCTAGTTCAGGTATGCTCTACAATGTTTGAAAAATTATTTTACAGACGCATAATCAACAACGCATACAAGAAAACCAATTCGGATTTCGTTCAATACATTTCAATTGGACCAGAAAATAGATTAGATAGGACTTTTTAGTCCCCATTCGACAAGCAGGAGAGGAGGACTACTATCAGTTGGGTGATTACCATTTTTATATATTAATTAATTAAGATGTGATTTTAAATTGTTACATTTTAAATTAGTTTCATCGTTGTTGTTAATTTTATTATTTTTATTTTATCTAGCCCGATGAAGGTGTGATAAAAGACCGAAACCGGTTGTGCAAAAAGAGAAAAATAAAAGGAATACACAGGAAGACAACGTATTTTTTTGTAAAATTAACAATTCTCATTTAAGAGGTTTAAAGGGCGCTAAAAATAAATCTAATCTGCTTTTTCATAACAAAAATCTATTTGGCCTAGTTTACTGGAAGCACATTTTGATTTTTGTAATTTATGATACATAATAACTCATTTAATACAATGATAAATATTCGTTTATTATTCTTCGCAAAGAAAAAACGATTGATACTTGGTAACCTAAAAATCCAGGCAAAGAAAAGGCAAAAATAAATAACATAAATTTCGTTTGAAATTATATTTTTTTTTTCTCTACTCATATGCATCATTGGAAAGAAGGCCGTGACACGTGTCCAATATTGATGATGAAGTATCACAAAAAAAAAAATTGATTGATTTTCTAGTCACATCCTTCGGGTTTGGTGCCATTTTCTCATAATTTAACATATGTCTATTTTAGGCCATAGGTCACCAAAAAAACACACGGCTCCTGAAGCCGAAACGTTGAATAAACATACAGGAAATAAATAAAAAAACTGTGTTTTTTTGGTGACCTATGGCCTAAAATAGACATATGTTAAAAAATTGATTGAAATCAAAAATAGTTTCCGTCGAGCTAAACTTTTATAATAATTAATAACGTACAATTATTCAAATATTTTTTTTAAAATTAAAGTATTACAAAACCAATCCTGATTAAGACATGCACCACAAATAAATATATAATTTTTTAATCCTTTTTTTTATTCGGCAAAGTTTTTCAGTAAAGATATTTATGCACTATGTCCCCAAGGCTTTGCATCCCAAAAGTTGAAAAGTTGGTCTTTTCAACTTGCTGAAAAGACCAAAGTTTAAGTGTTGCTTTATTAGAGTAATGCTTTAAAACATATAAATAAATAAGAATTGTATACATACTCGATCCGATCATTTTACTTTTCCTCGAGTTGCTGGCCTGACTTGACCGCGTAATCTGGCTAGCTCTAGATGCTACTTTACTTTCCCTGGAACTGTGTTTTTTCAAATTTATGCTAGCATTACTTGATTTTGGCATGCTAGAAGCTCTCGGGGGTTTTGTTGGTCTCGCTGAACGTCGAGATAATTTTCGCAGTTTGGAGATTTGCTCAGTTTGTTCAATTGCTTTTTCTTCATCAATCACTGGTTCATTTTGCTTCTTTATTTCATCACCTATAGTTAGCTCACGAACTATATCAGCTATTGGATGTGTAAAAATACTTGGTTTGTCAGCTAGTTCTACGACATTCAATAAGGTCTGCACTTCTTCATCTTCTCTCAGTGATTTCAGCTCTGAGACAGTTTCATTTAAAATTTTATTAACCTCCTTCAACTGAAATATACAAAAAGTATATATTAGAAGGACATTGCTCTACATATACCTTCTCATAAACATCTTTATATATAATTGTATTTAAATGATAATAGCCCAGTCAAACCCACGGGACAAATACGTGAGAACTATTTGATTTGTTTTATTTTTATCCTGAACTTCTTGTCTTATTATCAACTGTTTTTTTAAAGCGAATCATAAGTTTCGCAATGATGACTTCGGTGACGCATCTACAACTTACTGATGTCATCCGTAGCGAAAGATTTATTCCCAATTTATGTGGTGTCTACAAATTCAACAAAAGTTATTTCCCATTATTGGTATGCATTTCATGACCATCCGATCTTTCGTTTCGAAATGGCGGCCAAAAAACGTGTTTTAATAATACACTATAAAAACAAAACGGCTGCAACGATTTTAATGGAACTTAGATAAAATTTTCTCCTTGGAGCCCTTTTAATTTATGTATATAAAATAATTCCTCGAAAAGGGGATGAAAGAAATTTTGAATTTTATGGGTGAATAACTCAAATGGTGCTGAGCTTTTTTTGTATTGTAAGTACATATAAAACTGAATGTATGAATGTAATGTATATGATTATATATATATTTGTTAACACCACCACATTCCATTTTTAGCTAATTAGCCAAAGGAAGAGACTATGAAGGAGAGCATTACAGAAGTATTTCCTAAGAACAACCACCACAGATGTGATTATATTCAGAATTGTTGGGAAAACGAAAAGAGACTAACGGAGTGAAGACATTGGGGAACAGTTAGGTATAGTCATCAACCCAGGTGGTTAGAGCATGGAAATGAAGGATGCAAGGCCAGGCCTGAAGGAGATGATTGGAAAAGAGGTCATAGAAGGGGCGGTCAAATAAGCTTGTTCACACTAAAAACAAATCCTAGTTTAAGACTAACATGTATGCAAAATTCCAGGCACCTAGGGCATGAAATAGTGAATGGACAAAGCAAATTCAGGGCAAAGACCTGTGGGAAGGCACAGGCTTAGATATAGGGAACATTTAACGTCCGAAATTAGGGCCAGATGGGCCTAGTGGTCTAAGATAGGAATGAGTTGCAGAAGTGGACTGAGGTTCGAGCTTGACGAGTGATGGAGTAAATCATGTCAGAGAACTGGAGGTCCAAAAAACAATAACACAAAGGTAATGCTTCACATGAAGTGGTTTGCAAACTGCCTATAAGAAATACCAAGAAAGATTCGATGCTACCACTAGTGACAAAAACTTCTTTCATGTATTCCCTTAATTGATGGGATTTCAAAATTGTTTTGCTCAGAGAAATGGGCTAAAATCATCGGTCATACGTCATTCTGAATTTACATGGCTCAAAATGACAACTACAAAAGTATCTCTTAAACATGATTAGACATTGATGATAAATCTTCGAAGAAATAATTAATCCTGTAATTCAATCTGTTTTTAGCTGCTCCTGTTGATACAAGTTAGGCAATAATATAGTACCTGGGGTCTAGTAAATCATTTAACTAAAAATATATTCATAGATTTATTTAGCTACTACAGTACTTCTCAAGGGCGCTCAATGTTCTTATATATGGTGTCTTCAAAGAATACATAAGCTCTTATACTATCAAATTTTTTATTGTACTTCCGACATTTCGAGCTGATTAGCTCATTATCAAGTCATCAACAAATTTTTATCTACTAAAATGTATTTCTATATTATAATTTCATTGAACAAATATTTGTAGTACACCAAACATAACCATATTCCTCACCTCCTTGTTTGCACATTAATTGATGCTTGTCATTCCTGTACGGTACGACCTCTTCTCTCTAACGTTTAAAATTGACAATTCATAAAAATGTAGAACCTTTTTCAAAAGGTTATTTAATAAATTCTACATCATATAATAAACCCAAGATTATTATTTTCTGGGCCATGGAGACCTTATATTATAAAGTTGTAGTAATGATAAAACTAGTTTAAAATTTGTTATATTATACAATTATTTATTTTACAACAACCTACCTAAGCAGGATTATTTGAGAAAGGAATATAAGACCAATAAAACATTAGATCACATTAAAACATTAAGGAGATAAAAACCTGAGAATATCTAAAATACACTAAGTAATATAAAAGTTCAATTATTATTTTGAAATTGGTATTCATTCCATTAAAAGCAATAAAAAATAGTAAATGCCAGATTAAAATACATTTTTAATATTCATAAGACTAAAGGACACAGAAAACAATGTCAAAAGCACAACAAATTAATTTTCGAATATCTAGTGAGAACATAATAAATATGAAGGAGGATGATTGGTATAATAAAGCAAAAAATTAATAAAAAAAGTAGAACCAATGGACAATAAGAAATATTTTAATTAAAAATGGGTGTATGAACATAATAATAAAAAACAAATTTATATTTTACATTTCAAAGAATTATATTATAAACTAAATGAAAGTAAATTCACAATAAAAAAACAAACAAAAAAACAAGAAAGTAACTTAGTTAAATAGTCACAAATGTATAAGGAAGAAAACTTCAAAACAGTATATTATAGGTATGTAATATATTTGGCCTATCATGATAATAGACCAATAAAATAATCTTATTAATATGAATGATGAGTATCTTCGGATAGCAACAAGTTACTGAGTGGGGACTCCAGCCATAGGAAACATTTAGAAACCTTTACAGAAATCCTTTATTTAAATAGTTACATTAAAATATTAAGTTAAATTAACATTATAATTTTGTGTTTATTACCTAACTGGAAAAAATCATACATTTTGGAGGTCTATTAGACTGAATGTGGTATATGTGTGGATTTTTAAGGTTATCTAATAGGAATATAAAGTATTTGTGCACCAATTGTATCTTTGTTACTATTATAAAACATGTTATAATTTTAATTCTAACTTATTAATAATAAACACTCAAGTACTCTCTCTATTAATCTTAAAGGTAGCTGTCATCTTTCATAATATAAAGAATTGCTAATGGGATAAAATAATAGATATGCCACTATCCAAGGATTAATATAAATAATCAGAATAAACAATCTAAATATTATAGTTAGTTTATAATGTGGTTATGTAAAAAACTTTCATGAACACAGAAACATTTACTTAAAAGAACAGTATTATCATTTACTATTGATTTCACAAATACAATATATGTTTTACCTCCTCCATAATATTCTAGTATGGGAACTACAGGAAGGGATTTGGGCAAAACTTGAGATATTCACAACAAATAAATTCTTCAGCAGTGTGCTACATGACAAAATAAAGAGTGATTAAAAATTCTTTTGAAGTGCACTTTTAAATAAAATTATAAAATATAAACTCACTTCACTTAATTAATAACGACACAATACTAAAAATCATTATTGAATCCTTAAGTATAAATTTAAGTCCAGCAACTGTCAACCTATTCACCTAAACAAGTCAGTTGCTATGGTAATTTATGTAAGTACAATGTTTATTGATATATGTATAAAATGAATCATATGCTTCAAAATCACACAGAATTTATTGAAGAAAAAATTGGCATAAATATACATGACAAAAAACTTATAGCTAATCACAGCTCCTTTTCTACTTTTTTAAGCTTCTTTGTGAATCCCTTTTGTTTAAGTAGATCATTGCATTGTTCTCTGGAGAGATCTTTCAAAGAAATTCTTTCTTTTTCCTACAAAAATATAACAATTATATAAATCTTATTCATTAATAGATAAATATAAAAAGAAATGTTTATAAGGATAATAGCTTTCTTTATTATTCAGATATATCCAATTTTATTATCTTATTAAATATCGTATGTAATTTGAGATTAGAGATCGACCAATATCGAAATTTTGGCCGATACTGATATATCCACCCTTTTTGTCAAGATTTGTACAGTTTCACATGGAATATCTTACTTATTGCTAGCTAAAAGAATAAATAGACCATCTATGCATCTCCCTGTAAGCAAATTTTGAGCGATAAAACAGACATAAACCTATATTTCAGCAAATCGGCCTTTCCTTCCTATATGTTTGATTCCAAACGTTGTATACAAAATTCTCGTAATTACTGAATGAAAGCATTAATCTATCATCTAGGGCTAGATCTATATACACATTTCAGCCGATATCTATATTAAAAAAACCGATATACAAACACTTTTTTTTTAATCAGTCTTTTGACCTTATTTTATCATGATTCATAAAGTTTCACTTGGAATCTTATTTATGGTAATAACAAATGGGCCAACTAATCACCATGGAATCGATATAAACATAAATGTGAGTAAAGACCGATATACTGGCCTTAACATTTAATTTTATTGAGATTGGTATAGTTTGATAATTTTTATTTTGTGCTTGTCTTCTACCAAATTTTTTTCGGTCCGTCCCATGGACCGATATATCAGTCCTATTGACCTTATTATAACTTGATTCATAAAGTTTCACTTGGAATATTATTTGTGCTAATAATAAATGAGTCAACTAATCGATATAAACATAAATGTGAGAAAAGACTGATATAGCGGCCTTAATATTTAACTTTATCGAGACAGGTAGAGTTTGATAATTTTTATTTGTCTTCTTTTAAATTTAATTTGGTCCATCATATGGACCGATATATCGACTTTTTGATCTTATTATATATTTTTGATCTTGATTCATGTAGTTTTACTTTGAATATTATTTACACTGATAATAAATGGGTCAATTAATTGCTATTGAATCGATTCAAATGACCAATATTATATTAATATAAACTATAAATATTAGTGTTACTGCACATTTTTATTTTTAATATAAATGTATATTTTCTATAGTTTTAACTCCTATAAATGATAATACTGTCGTATTTACAGATGTGAATAGCAACACTGTAAGATTCATAAGTAACGAATTTAGGAATTACAATTGAGGAAGATTATTTAAAAAAAAAATTAATAATGGTAATTACTCTGGAGGAAAATAAAGGACTAAGAAAGGAAAAGCAGGAACAATTATGCTTTCAGGGATAAAATATCTATATATTTTTTCTTGCTTACATTTTGTAGCTTTACATACATTATAGTTTTAAAATAATAAATATTGTAATTTTGTATGTACTTTGAACAGATGACACACAGAAATAAATATGGATATAAGAAAAAGAAAAATTATTTTTCTATATTAGAGGGCTGTATCACTAAACTATTATTCCCCAGTAATTGTATTTAAATTTGTGATTAAGAATATTGTTATATTTACATAAATAATGGATAAATATTCTTCTTTATTTACAAAATATTGATTTTCTCTCAAATTTACTAATCTAAATACATATATTTGCTATTGTATTCACTTCTGTAAATGCGATGATGGTTGTATTTACAGGTGTGGTAAAGAATATTGTTATATTCACATGAAAGTATGTATAAATTTTCTCAATTACTAAGCACATAATAATAAAACTTAATATAGATGTTATAAAGAATATTGTTCCATTCACATAATCTTAAGAATAAATATTTTTATTAATTATTAAACAGCGTTTGAACAGTCTAATTATGTTTTTCCTTTGAAATCATTAACGTTATTTGGTTTTTTCATGATGAAAATACCATCTATTTCTAAGGAAGTCCAGACGAGGTAACAGATATAGGATACTTGATGGAATAGGATTCATTATTGAACATGGATATGTTCATGGTTTTCAGAAATTATTAATTTTTGGAAATTTAATATCTATTATTAATTTGCAAAAACAGAAATATTTGATAAAGAAAAAAATCTTATCATAACTTTATGTGAATATAAGTGTTCATTATCATTCATGTAAATATTAGTGTATGCATTTATAAAGGCATGTATCTTGATGCAAAAATGTTTATTCAGAACAGTAAATTTGCCATAATATTAATACTTAATTAAGTCTATTTATACATACTTATATGTGAATACAACAATATTCTTTACCATACCTGTAATTCCTACTGCAATACTATAATACATATATTCGTATTTAAAGAATTGAATATGATAGCAAATATATGTATTTAGACTTATAAATTATAAAGAAAATGAATATTTTTTAAATAATAATGAATTTTTATCCATATTTTTTTGTGAATATAACAATATTCTATACCACATATGTCAATACAATTACTGGAGAATGAGGAGACAAGCAATCCCAACTCTGATGTGTAAGAATCAATTTTATTTGGTCTACCGTTTGTATCGGGCAGATCGAAAGGAAACTAAAAAAACATTTCCATGGGTCAGGCTGTGCATCCCATCCCATTTCAAGGATCATTTAGAAATTTCTTCCGACCCATACAAAAATAGTACCGTAAAACTCATACACGCTGTGTCTAAAGCGAAAAAAATGGACTATCTTAAAAATGAACATATGGCCGATATACCGGTTTTTCCTTAAATTTATGTTTATTTTGATCCCTTGATGAATGATTGACACATTTATCAGCAATGAAAATAATATTCAAAGGGAAAGAGGCCGATATATCAGTTCAAGGGGATGGGTAGAAAATTTGGAAAATGTTTACAAGAAAAAAACTTTACCAATCTCAATAAAATAAGGACATAAGGCCGATATACCATTTTTTGCTCCAATTCAATTTATTTCTATGCAGACCAGTTTGTGTTTGATTGAGACATTTATTAGCAATAAAAACAATATTCAATGTGAAAGAGGCTGATATATTGGTAAATATAGGATACAGGTGATAAAAAAAAAAAAATATTAATATTGGTATTGGTCGATCTCTATTTGAGATGTACTTATGGAATGTGGAAATTGTGCACAACTGATACCTCGTCGATAATTTCACAGAAAAAAAAGTGTTAGCAGTAGAACTCTGTGACTTGAGTATTTTTCTCTTATTTAAAAAAAAAGATATTTAAATGTATCATTAGTGATTACATGAGGAAATTTAATAGAATTAAAAAAAAAAAATTGAACATCTGAATTCCTTTTTCATATTTTGTTATTGAACATTTTGTAATTTGTTTCTGAATTTATCAAAATGATAGGGTGAGAAAAAAAAAAGAAGGAAATTCTTCAATATCAATTGAATTTGTATATAAATTTTCAGCCTTTTAACTTGATTAGAAGGGATTGTAGAGGAAAATAAAACCTTAAATAGTAGGACTGGGGGGAAAAGGTGAAACCTCCATAAGGCGCTTTTCTAACATCAACTGAATTAAAAATTTCCAGCTCTTTAACCCACTTTGGAGGTACTATACAGATGCAAGAAACCTGGTAAAATGGCACAAAAAAAGAGACCCTTAAAAGACACTTCTCTAGTCCTGACTTCATTTACATACAAAATTTTTAAGCCACTCATTGATAATAGCAATAAAATAAGGATAAATATGAACTATAAATTTGATAAATAATATTTACATTGATATTATTGAAAAGGAAATAAACTTAAAATTTATTTTCAGCTAAATAAATCAATCAAAGATATATAGTGCACAGAATGGTCATAATTCATATTTATTGAGGGAAAACTAGTGACTGACTTTAATCTATTAACCAGGGAATAAAACGTAAACAATATACTCCCATATAACCATGCTAGGATTTAATAGACATAAAGTATTCATAATTAAAGAATTATATTTTAAAGATTAATTCACTTTTTTAAAAATTAATTTCTTCTGAAAGTTGAATAGTAAGTGGAAGTTGTGTGATCACCGGATATTTTGATTAAATCCATTAATGTTTCAAAATTTAAATATTTATGACAGGATCTTAAAGAATTATAAAATAAATGTTTTTGCTTTCTCACCTTCATGTCCTCTGAATAAAGAACAAGTTCTGGCGGAGCACCATGAATAGCCTTAAAATCTATATTATCACTGTTCTTTATTAAGGAATATAATCAAATGTAACCTATATTAAAGTAACAAGGTAAGATAACACTCAATAATTCTTATAACACAAATTACAATTTATTCTCTACGAATATTTTTAGTTCAAATTGAATAATTCCTTCAATTTTGATTCACTCAAAGTGTTATTGTTGTAATCGTTTTACAAGTATTATAACAGATGAAAATTTGATAGAAGTAGTTTTGGCAAATATTTCTGTCTGTTAAACCATATTTGGTACACCCAACCATCAAGATGATGGTGGAATAATTATAATCCATGCACTAAAACTTTTCCGTTTTATCATATACTTTTTTTTTTAATTTCAAAAATAAACAGCATTCAAGAATGAAGATATACTCTTATATATACTTAACATCACCTATAGAAAAATACAACATTATTCCTTGAACAATAAAATATTTACAGGTTAACAGGATTGTTTGAGAGTGGGGTAGCTCCGTTGGTAAACAATGACTTCCAAAGATCAAGGTCCAAGGTTTGAATCCAGTTGATGACAAGTAATTTTTAATCAGCCGTGGATCGACCCTGGGGTCGCGAAACCCTGCTGGGGCATATTTAACCTCTATAAAGTTGGTACTCTCAATTAAATAATTAATTAAGAGGGAAAAACTAGTGGCCTAGCATGATCATGGCCCGATCACCAGTCTGTTGACAACAGTTAGCCCTTAACCTATTAACCAGGGAATAAAACGTAAACAATATACTCGCATATAAGCATGCTAGGATTTAATAGACATAAAACTTAATGTGTTCAAAATATTATGGTAAGATTTCTATTTCCTAATATGTTTAGTTGGATCATTGGCATTATTCAGGGGAAAAAAGCAGACTTGTTTCCAAATTATGATTGTCCAGTAAATACTTAAAGATAAGACAGAAGACTTTAAGAGCAACAAAAAATGTAGAAATAAACTATGGTCCAATTCCCAGTAGAAAATTTAAGTTTTGTGAGTTTTTTGTGTAGGAAGCAATAAATATAAACATGTTTAATTTAGGATATTAACAATGGCTTCAAAGTAAACTAGACTAGATATAAGTAAAATCTGAATTTGTTAAAATCATTTTAAAGAAGCTTTTATAAAGGGTTATTATTTAGATGAAAACCGCAGGGGTTACACGTGGTTCACAATCATTTCAGCCACACTTGTTCATGAAACGGCAAAAACAGTTTTTCGCTTAAAACTCGGATGCATTCGGCCCTCTATAAACAAGTGTGACTGAAGTGATTGTAATTATGCACAGGTTACGTGTGGTTATATATAAAAATTACGTTTATATGAAAATAATTCAAGCAATTAATAGATTGATTTTTTTTTTTTTTATTGTGTATTATTGGGGACATATCACAAAATTTGTTTTATATGAACTTCATAAAACAATTTCATAATTTAAATTGGTTTTTTTTGTAAGCTGTTACAATTTTCGCCTATAGTACTGGAAGCAGACCATTGTTCTATAGACATGCTACTATGTAAGTAATAAAATGAGACCAAAATTTAACGAAATGTCTGATACTTAACCAATAAATTTGACCAGATTAAATGAGTTCATAAATAAGATTAATAAGAAATATTAAATATAATAGAGGTAGAAGGATACTAATTTGGAAGATCCTCATAAATAAAGGCCTTCACTTCTTTAAGTCTATTAAGTGAACATCCCCTGCAGCTCTGAAACCAGACAATTATATATACACACTAAATATTAAAATGCATGGAAATAGATTTTAAGCTAAAGCATTTAGAAATTATGTGTAAGAAAATAATGGAATATATATTAAGTTCTGACTTCCAAATTCAAACATAACTTGTTTTGTATAATTCTGACTTTAAATGTAAAACATATTTCCTGTAAACTGAAATATCTATAATGGGTGTGATAACAATAGAATATTATCAGAACAAACAGTAACTGATAAGAAAACAAAAAACTTAAATAATTCATATTCTATAATTAAAATATATTGAAATCCTTTGAGAAATTAAAAAAATAATAAGATATTTTTCAAAGAAACTTACTTTTACTAAATGAAATAAAATAAATATCTGAGCTAGTAAAGTTAGTAGTTAAAATTGTGACATATGTAAAGTATTACTCAAATAATAAATGTTTCCTAATGATTCAAAAACATAAAACTCAAAAACCAACTGCTGATAGTTCGGAAGGAACACAATGAAAGTAATTCTTCAGTAATCAATGAATTCTTTTAAGATATTTATATTTTGTGCACTCTCTACAACTCAATAAAACTAGAATTTTCAACAATGTGTATAACTAATAAATTAAAATCATTCCAGAAATAAAGAATCCAAAAAACTAAGCTCTATCTAAATTGTAAATGTTTTGGGAATTTATTCAGAGTACTAACATAACACTATTAATCACATAACTTCAAGTAGTGAACAAATATAATAGAAATAAATTCAATCTGGTCTTAATTTAATTACTTTATGTTTGTAATGATCATCCATTAGAGTATTAAAAATATAATTGCATCTTTTTGGAAAGCAATCTGAGCAATCAACAATATATTTTACTGGAAATGGCTACTGTAAAGTTTTAGGCTTATCAAATTTTAATTATTATCAAAGGTTATTAAGTTATTTTTAGTTAAAAATAGGAATATAAACAAAATATTCTATTAAATAATACTTAATTAATAAAATCTAAGAAACTACAGTATTGAAGTTACCTGTATTTCAGCTTTAGAAAAACTTCGATCTAGTTCAGGTTCACTGCTGATTGCTAAATGTAATAAAATACATAAGAGAACAATAACTAGAGGTGATCCACCAGAGGAAGTCGCGATATTACCCATTTCAATTAATGGACAGCGACAACTAACTACTCACACTCAGATACCGGTTCAATCTTATCAAGCCAAGTTTGAGTTGACAGCTAAAAGAACGAGCTCAGATAACAAAGAGGTGGGACGCTTAACATACTTCTACCAGCGAGTATGACGTCAGATTCTGGTCTTCAATGATTTGAACTGAACTTTAATGATTAAAAAATAATATCCGGATAATGATCTTGTATAATTCCTTCAGCTTTAAATTACAATATCTATTTTTCTGGCTTTATCATAGCAACGTACACCCTTAATTACATTTGAAACGGAGTTCAACATCCCGTATACTTCCAAGCAATGATTATGATAACATTAAATGTTATACACAAATTATAAAAATTATGTTTGATGTTATTATCTATTTATAACCGTGTCCTACATGTTAGACAATGTATCTCAAAGGCATCAAGGATTCAGGCCATCAGTCTGGTCCATCTCCCCGCCTCATCGTATTATTGATCCTCTAATTTTCCCTGTAGCGCTGAACGGAAGGCACTCAAATTTTCTCTTCGGTTTATGTACCATGGTAAAATGGTAAAAATAGACATCAAACCTTGGGATACCTCTTCAAGGGATATTAGAAAAGAAGAAATTATCATGACAAGATTAAGAAATTGTCACTCTTATTACACATAAATACCTGATGAGTGGCCTGTGACTAACCTTCTGTGTTACACGACTAACAATAAAACACTTTATAACATAATGTACACTCTACTTAAAGAAGAAACAAGACATAGTATACGTGTCAGAATAACATAAGCATTAGGTGACAACGAAGAAAAAGCAACTTCAGGCTCTCACACACAGAACGCGATATATCACGGAGACATGATATTACTGTCCTCGCCGATTTGGCGAAATAGTTTTGTTATTTTCTATTTCACTATTAAAGTCATAGAGTGGGATAATCAGCAGTGATACAGACAAAGGGGTCGCAGATCGCGTTCTGTGTACATGAACCATAAGCGTTTCAAGTTTTTAAGCGACATTGAAATTTTGGGTTTAATGGAACTTTGTAAATTATGGCCCATAAATGATCAGACAGTGTAAGCGCATTTAAACAGTTTACAAACAAATAAATAATAGCTTTCGAGATACTCCTTTGCGCCATAAAACACCATATTTCTTCTAAATGTGCTATTTCCAACAGCTGGACTCAATAAACATAAAGCACCTAATTCATATTGATTGCATTCCTTGCCAATGATGAAACGTTGGCCGTATATAGTCATTAGTAACTAGGATCGAGACTAACTTCTCGGTTAATCTTCTTCACAAAACTCTCAGTTGCACCGCTGAGTTTTCCTTGTACTCTTCTTCCACAGGGATAGTTTCGCCTATGTAGCTTTTTCGCAGAGAGACTTCTGACCATTAACTTTAGCGGTATAGAAACTTTCGTCTTTTGAAACGAACCTATCTTGATACCTATTTCCGCTGGAGTTGGGGTTCCTTCCCAATACGTAAGCAGAACCATATCCCGGCATCAAGTATTGGTTCTACTTTAATATTTTACTTCGACTTCATTCGACTGGAGAGATTCCGTCTTAGCCTTTCTTATAAACTTTGTATCCGTCATATCGGGATTTCGGATTTTTCCCGTTGAGTTGTGATAATTTTTTCCATCAGTTAAATAGCACAACTTTTTAATCTAAAGGGATTATATTAAAGGTATCTCTAGACAAATAGCCGAATAACAAAGTTTTTATTATGAATATTGACTTCCATAAGCCCTGCCCCATAAAAAAATTCACCCCCCCCCAAAAAAAAACCCTCCGCCCAATTTTATGAAATTAAATAAGGATCCCCCCCCATATTACAAAATCCATCTCTATAAAAGATTCTCACATTTTAACTTTACACCCGTCAACGACGGGTACAACAGCTAGTGGTAAAATGTTCAAAATATTACTGGGATTAAGAAAAAAAAAATATTTTTGTTATATAATTGAAAAAATTTTTTTTTTATTATGTTATAATTTAAAAAAAATAGTTTTGTTCTTATAATTGATCAGTTGAATAGTACAACTTTTAAATATGGCTCGCGGTAGAGTAACTTAAGAATTCATAACTTTGGTTCTACTCAATATTTTGTTTTCATTTAAAGCCTTGTTTTAAGTCAAGCAAACCTAAATATAATATCAAAATTTCAAAAGTCTACCATTAGCCATTGCTGATCTTACCCCTGACAAAATTTCATTGGACAATGTGGACACCAAGACAGACAAACATTAAAAAAAAAATAGATTTGTTGTCTGTAATGTATGAAACGGAAAGATATCATGTAACGGGTTGATTCTATTCAATGAACAGACAAAACCTTTATTTTATTTATATAGATAAACTTCCAATTTTCCTAATATAATTTTTTTTTCTCCACTTAATCTGTTATGATACAACATCTAAGATTGGTTACTTTTCATTTAATGGTGTACTGTTTTTTTAAAAAATGAATAAATCATAATGAGTTGTATAGGGGCTCAATTCGTTTGAATAGTTGAGCCCACTTCTTGAACGAGATGTGATTAACTTTGACCACTTTTTAATATTTAGTGATAATATGGACGTACAGATCGATTAATAATGGAATAAAGATGCTGAGTGGGAGAGTAATGAACAACATACCATGCTGTATCTTATAATATATTAGTTTGTCGGTAATTGTTTGAAATTTCAATGAAAGAAGGCGATTTGCACAATTCATTTATTTAGTCATTTTTTTTTCTTTTCTGATTAAGCGTCGGTTTGAACTTGATGGTGCATCCCTTGCGGGGCTGGAGTGTGGGGATAGACCCAAGGATCCCTGGCAGAGACGTAAACGAGCCTGATGTTGTTGGTAAACCCAGACCCTTGTCTCCAGCCGTTGACCAGTACCAGAGGGTCACCCGGAAAGATGGTTCCCTTTATCTTGCCTATTTCTATAGCATACTGAATGCGGAGGTCCACATCTCTGGCGTAGCAGGGATTAGGTGCAGCTAAAAAAATCCAACAATGTAACTAAATGTGAACAGATAACTTTACAATAGTTAAAAAAAAGAAACATTTTAAACCAAATTAAGTTAATTTCTAATTAAATTGCTCAGGTGGAAAAAAAATGGAAATTCTTTAGTATATGTATCTTCCATGTGAATATTCATAAACACTCCTAAATGTCCGTCCATTTCGACTTCATTAAGAACCAATATTTGCAAATGATATTTTAATCAATGCTAGTAAATATATTCAATCGTAACAAGTGGCTAGGGAAGTTATCAAGAACAATACTCACCAACTACAAGTTAATATGTAGAAACAGTAATTTTCATTGTTACTGATTCGTTCAATAACGGCCAAGTGTCCCTTGATTTATAAATTTAATATCCATGAAGATTTATATTGATCAGAAACTGACATCGCATATACCATAGGATAATCTTTTTATCATTAGATACCGCAGTATGGTTAGGCAGTGTTAATTGAGGCCGCAACAATTTATTTATATTTTACTATTGCTATTTATATTGATCACAGAATACACACATCCACATATGTATGTATGTGGATGTGTGTGAATGTATGTGTATATGTGTATGTGTGTGTACGTATGTGTATATGTGTGTGTGTGTGTATGTATATATGTGTGTATATATATATATGTATATATGTAAATATATATGTGTATGTGTGTGTCTGTATGTATATATATATATATATATGTGTATGGGTGTGTATGTATGTATATGTGCTTGTATTTATAACTTACGTCAGTTCGAACAAGAAATAATAAAAAAAAGGGAAAAAGAATCCGAAATGAAGCACGTGGTTACTCAAAGAATACTGACTTTATTGCCTTAGTAATGCCATATATATAGTATTACACTTTGTTTACACTTCATAAATAGGATTAACTTAGGATTAACTGTTATACTGTCTTACCTCTAACCATAACTGCCCCCCCGCCAGTTTATGAACATTCCTCATAAACTAATGCAGGGTAACTGACGTAATACATAACCAAAATACAACATTTAAAGCCTCTCCACGTGAATGTGTCGATTTGCACATCTTTCAACGGCGTATCTCCTGTAGGGGTTTCTTCTTGTACTCCTTGAGGTGGTCGTCTGTCATACTTAGCGCGCGCGCACACTTTGCACATTCCAATGACTTCCGAGATCGTTTTCCGCATACCATCCCAATAATATCTCCTGCGTAATGCGTGGAATGTTTCCTGTACCCCCCGATGGTTCGTCTTGCCCTGGTGATGTGCCAGTGTTACCTCCCTTTGCTGCTCCTTGTCCATTAATGTTTCCACCAAGTATTTACATTTAATAAATGACCTGTCGACACCTATTTTCTCTGCCCTCCAGAGTTTCTTGATCTTTTCCCAAATGGTTGCATTGCCTACATACAGATGGTGAATTTTCCCCGGCTCCGAGGCGTCGTGCAAAGCCTTGCAAATCTGTTCCTCTTTCACCCCTGGTTGGGACCAAATGGTATTAATTTTCTCCTTCCCATATTTAGTGAAGTCGATCTTCATAAGCCCTGACGTTCTGATCTTCCAAATCACTTGTCGTCGCTTATCGTTAATGATCTCCTCACATTCTTCCATGTCGGTAGGCCTTTCATCCGCCGAGCTCTCTTCTCCTCTCGATTCCTCTGTTCTCGCATCCCCGGGTTCCCCTTCACCTTCCGGTGTCCATGCTCTCAAAAACTGCCTCACGTCCCGCGACGACTCCCCTTCTTCCTCTTCAATGGCATTTACCATTACGGCTCTGGACAACCAGTCCGCTACTATATTCTCCTTGCCTGGCTTATACCTGACCTCCATGTTATATTGACTTAGGAACTGCTTCCATCGTGTGACCCTTGCCGATGATTCCTTCAGGTTGCCCATCCACTGCAACGGTTTGTGATCGGTATGCACTTTAAACTTCCGACCAAAAATATACGGTCTAAAATGGCCGACCGCCCATAATATTCCCAAGAGTTCCCTTTCTAGGACGCTATACCTTGTTTCCGCTTCTGTGAGTCGCCGACTCGCATACGCTATTGGCTGTTCCCCGTCCGTTCCTTCCTGCGCAAGTACTGCTCCCAACGCATACTCACTTGCGTCAGTGGTGATAATAAAACCCTTGTTAAAATCGGGAAAAGCAAGTACCGGCTTTTCTTGCAATCTTGCCATGCACTTCCGCACGTTGTTCTCTATCGCTGGTGTTATTGCGATCTTCCGGCCTTTCTTTAGGAGATTATTAAGAGGTGCTAGATATTCCGCCATCTCCGGGACAAACCGACGATAATAATTCAACGTCCCCAATAATCTCCGGATCCCCTTGACATCTCTGGGCATCGCCATCTTTTGTATCGCCTCTACCTTCTGCTTATCAGGCTTGATCCCTTCCCTCGAAATCGAATGTCCCAGAAAATTGATCTCATCCTGCCCCAGAATCGACTTTTCAGCAGACAATTTTAACCCCAACTGCTTCACTCTGTCAAATGATCAATGTGTTCCGTTTCATTTTTACTGAAGACCAGGAGATCATCCATATATACCTGGCAGAATGCTTCATCCAGTCCCCTCAAAAATTCGTCCATAAACCTCTGGAAGGTTATAGGAGCGTTTTTCAACCCGAACGGCATGCGAGTAAACTCATAATGCCCCCTTTCGAATGAAAAAGCTGTCTTATGTTGATCCCTGGGATGCATACGTATCTGGTGATAACCTGCCTTTAGATCGAGAGTGCTGAAGATTGTGGCTCCGCTCAGTCTGTCAATGATGTCCTCAAATCGTGGGAGCGGGTATTTCTCATCCAAGGTATTGTCGTTGAGCTTCCTGAAGTCTACCACTACCCTATACTTCTCCTCCCCTGTCGTGGTCTTCTTCTTCACTGCCCATAGGGGACTGTTGTACGGTGACGTGCTATCCACGATTATGCCTTGCTTCTTCAAGCTCTCTATCTCATCCTTGATGTGTCTCCGTAGCGCTTGCGGATAACGTCGTTCCTTAACGTATGTCACTTTCTCCTGTTTTAAAGGAATTTCATGGACCGTTTTCCCTGTCGCAGTCAACACTTCCCCGTCTTTAAAAAAAATATCCGCGTACTCCCTCTTTATCCTCTGTACCCAATGTTCCGCTTGTTCTATTGCCCCGACATTCCCTGTCCCGTCCACCCTCAATCGCTTACACCGTTACTTCTTTCCTCCCATTCGAACAACCCAACCTGTACTCCTGTAATCTATCCTCGGCCTTACCTTACTTAATAAGTCACACCCTATTATGCCTCCGTACTCTCTCGGCATATTCTCCACCACATGAACCCTCAATTTCCCGATTCCGGCCACCCATCGATCCAGATCTAATTCTACCTCCCCCTCGACTCTACAAGGACCACCCAAAGTAATTAACTTACACTTACAATTTTTTATTTCTGGTATCCTCTCTCCTTTACACAATTCCTCCAGCATCTTTTTACATAATATTGTACTAGAGCTCTCCGTATCTATCAAACACTTCCCCCTCCCCACAACACTTATAATTGGCAAACCAACGCACTCACCTCCAATATTATTGACTACCGCGTGGCTGCGTCTCCTCTGCTCCTCTCCTCATTCGTCTGATCTTCCTCTCCTGTCCGCAACGGCTCCTCCTTCTCCACTTCTCCTGCTACTTCTTCCTCCTCGAGCTCTTCTTATCTCCGTCTCCTCTTCCTCGGTTCCCGATGTTCCTGATGACTCATCTGACTCCGATACTGCTCCTCTCTTTCTCCACAATCTCTGGGCGTTCACTTCCATTGGTTCATCCCGGCCCACGTCTCCCCGTCTACTCATATACGGGCATTGTCTGGCAATGTGTCCCTCGGTTCCGCATTCGAAACACCTGGTTCGCGGGCAATTCGCCACTAGGTGGCCTATCTTTCCGCACCCGTGACATCTCCTGTCTTCCTTTGTCCATTTCTTCCTTTCTTTGCCTGGCTTTCTCTCTCTCATTGCCGGCCTTTCTCTTGTACTAAACTCTCCTCCTCTTTTCTTCCATCCCTCCTGTCTTGCTTTGAACCTCCCGGTTTCCGCCCTCCTATACGAAACCCTGTTCCATCCATACTCGTTCCCTTCATCCCCACGGGCTGCTTCTTCATCCCGAGCACTTGCATCTATCATCTCTTGAGCACACTCCACAAAGCTCTTGTCTCTCGGTAGTCCATCCTTCTTTCCAGTATCTCTCCCTAACTGAACTTTAACGATGGTTGACAAAAATGCCATCCTGGCTCCCGTTTCCACCGCATCAGCCACTTCCCTCGTCTTCTCTGTTACGTGGTTAAATCGTGCCAGCAGATTTGCAGCATATTGCCCGTTGGTCTGATGAGGCTGTTTCCTTTCCCGGAACATCTGCAAGATGTCCTCCTCGGGCGCCCATCGACCTCCTCCAAACGCCTTCTTCAGCCGATCCTTCACAACATTCCATGGAGTGTCTTCATCCGCCTGAATCATATTCAGCACGCTCCTCTTAACCCGGCATAACAGGGCTGCCCTTAATGCATTGGCGTCCATCGGGTCTATCAGGTTTTCCTCCGCCTTAGCCAATATACGCGATATCACCCGATCGCCACCTTTTAGGAAGTGATTCAACTCACCTACTCCTCCATCGAATCTTTCCAAGTCGGATATCGCTCTCCTAAGATCCTGCGACGTCGCCGTTCTCACCTTCAACCACTCTAACGTAGTTGCATGTGCTGATGCCAACGTTTCCGTAGGTAGTGGAGGAAAATCCCTCGCTAACGCCTCTGACAGCGGAGGGAACGCCGGCGGTGGAGCCAACGGTGCTGCTGGTGGTGCCGTCGGCGGTGTCGCCTGTGCTACCTGCTGTGCTACCTGTTGTGCGGTGGATGCTGGTGGTTGCCCTATTCCGTTCGGCATCCTTCCTCTTTTTTATTTCTTGTGACGTTAATAACAACAACGAAAAGAAAGAGAAAAAAAAACTACTTCCCCGACTGAATCTAAAGGTCCCGGGTTTCGGCACCACTTACGTCAGTTCGAATAAGAAATAATAAAAAAAAGGGAAAAAGGATCCGAAATGAAGCACGTGGTTACTCAAAGAATACTGACTTTATTGCCTTAGTAATGCCATATATATAGTATTACACTTTGTTTACACTTCATAAATAGGATTAACTTAGGATTAACTGTTATACTGTCTTACCTCTAACCATAACTTATATATATGTATTTATTTTTTGTTTATTTCTTAGTGGTTACATACTACTTTTTAAATAATATAGATTATGTTTGAATTTTTATAAGTTAGTTTTTGGCCAGATTGGTATTTTATTTTGTATTAATTCATCTTTGTTATTCTAAGGGGACTAAGTCCCAGAATAAAGTTCTATTTTCTATTCTATTCTATTGTACATTCCACTTAATTCTGTTAATTTCCAAATTTTTATTACTTGATTCTACTACTAGATTAATAAACATCTCATAAAAATGTTTGGAGGCTGCAACTATGTCACAGAGGCTACATGCGGCCTTCGAGGTCGCGGTTCTCCACCTATGGTATATGGTATTTACTATATGCTATATACCATACTTTAGCAATTAGTGGAACAAATCCACTGAATAATTATGAACAGATTTTACAAACATTAATAAATTGATTATTGCCTATCCAGTATATCTGAATCAAAATAATTGTAATTGTTATAACTTAGGAGCAATATTCATTATACTTAAGTCAGGTTAATAGAAAAAAAGCATTAACTTTTAATAGTTCCGATGGATAAAATACTTCATTAAGGTCCCTTATCAATAGGTGCAATATATGAAATAATAATAATAGCCGCCCGTTAAAGAATGTTAACTAAACACGTAGTTGCTGTTAAGAACTGAACTAATTTTTATCTTTAACGCTTCTTGAGTTTTGTATATTCAAACTCCCTTTTTTCAGTAGCAAATTTTATTTGTTCTTGTTAAAAGCCTTAAAAGTCTTTTTTGTTTTTATTTTGTCTCACATTATATTTTTTCGTATCCGTAGGCAGCTCTAATTTACATAATCATAGTTGTACCTTTTCTTCCTTGGAAAAAAAAATAACTTTATGAATTCACTCACCCTCTCTTCACCTAGGAAACCATTAACTGAAATTACCTCGAAATTATTTTCCCTCCTCAGTCATTATGCGTTCAAGTCATTACATACCGCCCTCTTCATCCTATGTTAGAATACTCCCTTTTTACTTATGTTCTTTTACATAATAATATGATAACTGCCGTTGACTTCAATACAAGTCTATCCTTTGACTCCGGATAAATCGTAACTTTCTGGAGTGCCCATCCCTCCTCCCCAAGGTCTATGGCGCAAGAACCTTCCTCTCCCCACCGAAATATTCTGTTGCTCTCCTTTTCTTAAAAACAGTGCAAGCTAAAGCAAAATTTAAAAAATCGTAGGTCATATAAAGTTATCCTTGCAGCGGTCTGTTACATGCTTTTTCCTTGTCCTCTGGTTTGAAACTTTCAAAATTCACGCCTTTCAAATTTTGATGGCGCAGTTTGGGTGAATCCCCTTCTGGGCACCCTTGGTAACTTGTAGAGCTATTCCTTTTCCAAAATCTTTTTTTCGTTTCCTTTGTAATGGACTCCTCGCAAAACTTACTATCCTTATCTCAGAATTCATTATTCTTCCTTTCATATTCATATGGGATCGTCCGAAAAAAAAAATTATTATTTATGCTTGCCTTTAATCTTTATTTTGTAATTATTGATTGATTGTATGCAAGATAAATGAAACTGTAAATAAATGAAAAAGAAAATAGAGGGTGGTAGAAGCATAGCCGTTTTTCAACGTACACTTGAACGTTCCGTCAAAAAGGAATGCTTTTGTGAGACTGAATGAAAAAGGACTCTTTTTAGCGAGTTTTATTGTACAGGAATTTCTATAAAGCATTACGCTATTGTAAATAGATGCAGTCCTGTTAATTTCTTTCATACAAACGCGTTATCTCGCCAATGTTTTTTTTTGTTCTTCCCTACCTCGCCTTTTAGGCTATACGGGATTTTCCCGGGCCGGGGGGTGAGGGCGGGGAATTTAAAATCCCCTCCGGCACCGGGACGCGAACTCGTACTTTTTATATCATCTCAAATCTCTGTTATCCGGTTGCCAGGCAACTAGCGGTGCTATTAACACACGCTTTAGCCTATTCGGCCACCCCGCCCCCCATCTCGCCAATGTTTGAGGGAAGAAGAAATATTTTGGCTGAAAGGTTTTTTCATTGAGTTCCATGAAAGTATTCCTTAGAGTTACTACTATTTATACCACCCTAAGTGTCGCCGAATGAAATTTACTTTCTTTCCTATTATTCCATCTGGTATTGGTTGAATGAAAATAACAAACCATCAAATAGACAGACTTTGTTTTATCTTATCTATTATCCTTTATCTTGTATTATCTTATCTGTTCTTAGTTTGTTACAGTTACTTGACGTATTGATAACTGGCTCCTACGTATTACTCACTGTTCCTGGTTTGTCTTACCTATGTAATGGACCGGGAAGACTCCCCTCCAGAGGCTGAGCTGCCTGGCCACGCTGCCGTACCTCGTGATGGCGAAGATGGGGCACCGGGGCTTGTAGCGGGCCACCAGCTGTGCGGACCTCCCAGAGGTCGAGACCACCATTATCCCCGCGGCGTGGCACTTCATTGCTGCCATCACTGCTGCGATGCAGATGGCATGTGCCGGGTCCAACGGTGGACAAGACTGTCAACCAGGCATCCAGGGATTAGACCGTTACAGGCCGGCATTTCGACAATCACGCTGCAAAAGCCTGTAAGAACAATTTTAATAGAAAGTGGTTTTTTTTATTTATTTCTGGTCAATTTTGATTACGTGGGTATTCAGCAATACATACCGAAATTCGTATTTAAAACACTACATTTTTTTTTAATATGCAATAAACATTCCGACAATAAAGTTCAAAATAAGAAATACGTGGTTTATTTTGTCTTATGGATAATTTCAGTTTTTGTACTTACAGGCTTTTGCAACATGACTGTAGATTTGTAATATTAGCAATAGTATTGATAGTGTAGTTTAATGAACAAACTAAACTAACGTAGTTTAATGAACTTAAATTTACAATATTTAACACTAATAAATGTCTTAGATTTAATACTTCATAAAGAAGCACTGTCTCTTGAACAATGGTTATACAAGGAGACACTAGCGGATCCAGGATTTAATTTTGGGGGGGGGACTTCAGCCCGAAGTTTTTTTTTTCGTAAAAATAACGATAATTACTTTGGAAAAAAATAAAGAAGCTGACTAACTGTATGATATGGTAAGTGATTCCTAAAGCCATTTTAAATGTAATTATATGAACAATAATATTTTAAGAGATACTTTTGTAATATATTTTTCGATAATAATCTCTCTGGTTATATTTTATCATTTTGGGGGGCTTCAGCCCGAAAGCCCCTCCCCCCCGTAGATCCGCCCGTGCAAGGAGACGATAAGGTCAGCACCTATGCTCAACCTATAGGTTTATTGTTCTTCAAAAATCACTTACACTCATAGTCTATTGAGGAGTCTAATTGTTGCTAAATTGCAGATAAAGTTGTAGTTGCTACACTTTCCAGGATTTCAGCTGAAATAATAATCGACTGAATACACTGCATTGTGAAACCGGTTATTCAGTGGTTGTTCGGACGTATTACTACGTTAAAAGTAAAAATCTCCTTTACTCTCACGAAGTAGCAAAATAATCGTTTGCTGCTTGTTATCTGAGATAAAATCAAACCTTCTTTCTTTCGAAAACCTTCATCAAATTTAACCAAGGCTTCTTTCGGAAATCTAAAAATGAACTTAAAGGGGGCCCTTCCTTTATCTTCTTAGAATGTAATTTTGCAATTTCCTTTTTCGATATGACTCCAACCGTTATTCAAAATTTTGGTGCTATACTTATTTGGCATTCCAAGATTTAGTTTTATGTCTGGTGAAGGAATATGAAAGTTTAAAAAAAAGGATATTGGCCGATGCAAATTGAAATGTAGTTTTAGAAGTTTGGCGGTCTAGTTGGATCGTTTGGACGTTCCTGTAAGCAAAATAGTTGGGAAGAAATCAGATAATTGCAGTTGATCGTTAGTTAGTAGAAATAGAATGGTAGAAATTATATATAGATATAAAAAAATGAATCCTAACAAAAGATCGCATACGAAATTATATTTAATTATAAAAAAGACTCTCTAATTCTATCACTTCATCCAGTTAGCAGTATGCAGTTTTGTTGCAACCCAATGTATTTGGTCTCCATACATTATAATGCTTTAAGGGATATTTTTATTCACTTGGTTGAAATTTTTAAGCTCCTAACTTATACCACTGGTTTTAGGTCTAAAAGTTTTTTCAATGTTTTGTTGTCACCAAATCCGCAAAGTTTTCCAGAAACCAGTTATTGACAACCTTTTTTGTTTTTAAAGAAAACTGATCTACAAAAAGCAATAAATTCTCTGATGGTCTTGGTTTAACATATCTAAGTCATTCTTACTCATTCTATTTACCCAACTTTCTAATCACTATTTTTTTTTTTTTTTTAGCTTTAATTTTTTATTCACACCTGTCATAATGGTAATGACAACTAGTAAATGTGAGGTCGATTGCAAAATATAATGTCATGAAAGGCATGAGGAGGATCAGTGACCAGCGGCACCTCACTAGGCGTGATATCTACATTAGGCGAGGATATCTACATAATAAAAATGTTTAAATTTAAAGTAAAATTAAAATTATATCAAGGTTACTGTTAATGTATTTTTATTAATTGCTAATATAGAATAAATATATCTAATAACTTATTTTTTGGAAACCATACAAGTATGTCCAAGGAACGGAACAGTTCCCACTGCCATAGCTGAGCTTCAGCCTCTCTCGCCAGGGTTGACAACGTTTTAACAACTATCACTGGGTCATCACCTTTAAAAATACGGTTTCAATTAAAACTTAAACTTTATTTAACTGGCTTATTTATTGTTTGTAATTACATCAATTGTTTTGTGCTTTCATAAATATTCAGGGGTGCTTATGCCACCAAGGTAGATAGTGCATGACTTTTTTTCCCTCCCATGAAATTTCATTGCTCTCCTCTTCTCCTGAAAAGCGCACGCGAAATAAGTATCAGAACAATCGTAGATCGTATACAATTACACTTGTTAAAGTCTGGTACAAATTTTCCCCTGTCCTTCTTCTCCTTCCTGCTGTTAAGCGTGGAGTAGACTCGATCCACCTTCTGTATGTGTCTCTATCCTCGGCCTTCCTTTCCATCTCCCCTAGGGCTCCTTTTCATCGACCCCCACTCTCGTTTTAGTCTATCCGTATAACTATTATATGTGATTCCCGGGGGTCCAACCGATCACTGCCCATTCGGTCTACCTCAATCAGCCACCTAGTTCTACGCTCGTCCCCCATCCTGAAGACATGTCTATAAGACTTCCCTAAGAAGACCTCTATGACATCCCTTACATGTCTAACTCCAAGGGTTTCTCTAATTGCCCTGTTCCTCACACGTAGTGTCGTCTCGTCTTTCCAGCAATTCTTCTGAGACATCTCATTTCTGCTAAGAGGCAATCTTGTCCAAGAGTACCCAGCTTTCAGCTATATAACAAATCATTGGTTTACGACTTTTCGCACTCATTTATCTAAAAATATTCCCAATAAACCGTATAGGAAATAATTATATAATATTTCGGATAATTTATCGCGTTCCATCCTTCTTCCTGCTTCCATGCATTGAACCCAGTTATCATGTAATCCTAACTATCCCTCATCCCAATATTTCTAAATTGTCGGCACCTATGGAATAGTATCAACGTAACCAAACAACATAAATTTATTTTTTTTATTTTTCTAGGAGGCATAAAAATTCTAATCACGATTCTCTTCTAAAATTTATTTTATATTTTAAAAATTAATTAGTTGAAGTAGAACTAAATTACCTTTAGATGTTTCATCAAGTAGTATAATACCATCAAGCCCATCGATGACCGAATTGACCACATCGGTAGACTCGGCTATAGTCGGGCAGTTTCGGTGGATCATTGAGTTTAGGTAATCAGTGTAAGAAAAGATAGGTTTACCATTCTGGAAATAATATTTTTATTTTTATTTCTAATATGTACCAATGTTATTATATTATCATTTTACTTATTCTATTCATAAAAGAGAAAGTTTTTTTTTTTTTCCTTTTCTACGCTTGGATTTTCAGGTCTCTTTCTTTCTATTCCTCTCTATATTCATATTTAAAAATTTACAACATAAAATGATTTTATTTATGTTTATGAATGCCTTGTCCATTTACTCAAACCAATTTGACTTGGTTTATAATCATGCTAATACATTTTATAAAATATATAGAAAAAATCCATAATTTTATGAAAATGAGGTAGTAGAAAATAATTTTTTTTTTTACCTTATTTATTGAAAAATATTACAATCTGTCTCTAGGACATTTATAATAGAGTTCACAGATCACATTCACACTCTATGTACAATAAATAAAATAAAGAGAAAGTAAAAGAAAATATTCTTTGTCCGTACCGACTGGCAAGCGTCCGAGGGGTAGACCAAAGCGAAGGTGGGGGGATTGCGTTTTAGCTGATCTGGTGGGGTTGGGTTTAGACGCCGCCCGATGGATGGAAGATTATGAATTATTTAATTTCTGAAAACTATTAGTTTTTACCGCTCATAAGAATTATAAAAACTGTTCAGTCAATATCTCATTATATGAATGTCTGGAGATTAAGATGGACGGGACAAGAAGTTTGCAGTAATCATTTTATAAACCTCTAGACGACAATGAATGCCTCAGGTGGAAGGAAAAAAGCATATGGATGGATAGATCGAATCAAAGCTGCATGCAGATAACTGGAAAGAAATAGCCCAAGACAGGCAGAGATGGAGCAGGCTTGTTAAGGCGGTAAAAGATCTACAAGATCAGTAATACCAATAGAAAAAAAAGTATACCAATTTTTAAAATCATTTGTATAAATTCGAAAATCTATAGTATATTTAATTTTGAAAAGTGATAGTCGTCATTTAATACGATTTTCTCATTTTTAGAAATTAGAGTACTAATATACATGCTTCACTAGAATGGGGCAGTACTATTTTTCCCTGTCTAAAGTTCAATAAATTATGTATAGTAAAACTGGTTAACGAAAGGGGAGAAGGAAGTTAAAAGGACAACAAAACTTTTGGAGGATACGAGGTGAACAACTCATATTATAAGTTTGCGTGATTCAGACGTAGAAACTTAGAACGTAGAAAAAGTGTGACAAATTTCCACTTAGCTAACAGTACTTAGGCACATCTTACAAGGATTTCTTAAGAAGGAAAGGAAACTCAAGACATTTATCATCAATTTCAGAAGTATAAGAAAACTTCTGTAATGGTAGTCTTTTGCACAGTCTGATTCACGAGAGAAGCTTTTATCCTCTCTCCAAAAATATATAAAAATAATTGTTTTTATTGTTCCATATTTGTTTCCGTGAGTGATACTTAAACAATCATAATACGTCATATCTTTAAATTATGACGCATATACAGCTATTAAATGCCAGTACGTGTAAGAAAAAAAACATCAAAAAATCTATTCGTAAATTTATGCTTATTATTGTTCTTATAATTACCGGCTTTCTCTTTGTTTTTTTAAAAATGTACTTCAAGTATCTATTGAACCTCATATCATGAGATGATATATACTACATTATAGTTTCTTTATTATGATCTATAAGTGGTTATTTTGAATATTTATGTTATAGGTAGGTAGAGTATAGGTTTTAGGGAGATAAATAGTTGGTTTATTATACGCCCATTTAGGTTATAGACAATGTCTTAACTGAATCAAAATCAAGATTGCCACTGAATTAAACTGACAGTGAGTGATGTCGACTATAGTACCATATCTTGCTGACATCCCCCTGCATATAAACGTCCTTTGAAGTCTCTTGTCATATTATACATTATCAAGGTGTCGTCTATGCTCTTGCAAGCCTTAATTATTACTCAGTGATATTTAAATAGAAATTAGATTTAAATAGAAAACATTTCTATAGAAATTACGTCAGATTTTCGCTGTGAAATGAAACATTTTCAAATATATTGTTAATTTAATTTAAAATATGAAAATAATTTTTGAATTATGTGACCTATGCCATATGCCAGTGGCGTACCAAGAAATACTGAGGCACTAGGCAAATATTGATCGATTGTAATCGATAATATTGTAATCGATGGGGCCCCTTCGTTTACATAGTAAACATTTTTGTTTCCTCTTTTTATTAAGTTATTATTATATTATTTTTTAAATTATCAGAAAAAACGGGATGGATTTATCTCCCTTTTTTTCCAAGTTCTAACGCCTCTATATATGATAAGATAAATTGTAATTTATCTGTAATTTTATTTAATAACAAGTCAGGAACTAGACCAGTTTCGTCCCAACAACTGCTTTAATCACTGGGTTAAATATAAAACATGATATTTATTTATTTAACCTCAATTTTCTCTCATTGCCCCTCCGCATAGCAACTGCTCTATGGGCCAGAGAAAATAAATACGATAAGAAAAATAATTTAAATTTAACAAGCTACCTAGGACTCCACCTGGACAAACGTCTAACTTGAAATCCTCAAACCAGACTGAAACGACAAGAAGCCGCTTGACGTTTCCGAGTACTTCAACACTGACTAGACAAACGCTCTAACCTTCCAATTAATTACAAAAGACTCATATACAGGCCTATTTGGACTTACGGAGCTACGGGGCTCCACAAAAATCTTCAAATTCGTATCCAATCCTTACAATCCAAAATCCTTCGTAAAATCCTCAATGCTCCTTACTTTATTACAAATAAAATCATCCACAATGAATTTAATATTCCTTATGTATCAGATTTGGCCCAATCGAGATATCTATCCTTCCATAATAAATTTCATAACCATCCCAACCCTCTTGTTTCTAACCTTGCTTCCTATTCAATTCCTGATAACCCTCCGAAGCGTCTGAAAGAAGATGGCCCCGTGATCTCCTAATGTAGACATATCATTAGAGTACTACCAATGGGTAGTTTCTCAACATGTGTTTCATGGCATTATATCCATGTACGAATTTACTAGATGTATTTTTTTACACAGTTGTAAATATCTTATAAATAATAACAAAACAATTTAACAAACAACAAATACCTAGTATTTACTAAATTAAAAAGAAATGGATATATAGATTATTAATATAAAAATTTATTTATCTAAATTTTTTGTTTTTCCTCATGATAGACACTTAATCGTCACATATTTAATTTGGTTATAAATAATTGTACTTTCATTATACTGACGTACCAATATTAAAACCTTAGCTCTGAATCAGAAATAAAATTTAGTCAGGAGGTAGAATGAGAGGGAGGGTTTCAATTGTGGCATCGACCTGGAATGACGGATGGCCTCCAGGCTAAGAACCAAGATCGCGAAGACCAAGGGTAGAATGCGAGAAGGAGGCCGTGGAAAGAGATTTATAGTTTGTGCTCCAGTGAATGGGCTCTTTCGTACCTACAGCCACCTTTTAAATGGCTATTGTTAAAATATTATATACTTCCCTTGCACCCAACACAATAACACTGAAATATTAAACATGGTGTTAAAATTATCTATTAAACATATTGCTTATGAAATAAAGGAACACGGGTAACATAACAGACGTTTATATCAAACTTACAAGACTGTAGTTTAAAATATATAACGGAGGATAGTCCAATAGAAATCAAGAACACTCTTGAATTATCTATGAAATAAGAGTATCTACCAATAGAAATTTGTTGAATGGGATGTAAAAAATGAATTATTACGTCCACGCAGTGTAGGATTTACGCAATGGCTGACTAAATACATCTCAGTTTTAAATTGTTGAGGAGCATTCACGGAATGAAATGTATTTTAAAATCAAACGACTTTGTAATATGAAATCTTTCTAAAAAAATTGTAAATGTAAAATCTATTTAGTATATATCTATCCCCCTGAGGTCATTTTATTTATTTATTTATTTACACCCTACCTTGTCTTACGGCTATAGTGATGGTAGCTTAAATAATAGACGTTAGTGTTTCAACTGAAGTTCAATTAAAGTCCACACTTTCATGGGCTTTCTCCATTATGGGTTATCATTTTTTAATCAAATAATTTCGTAACTAAAAAACAAATTTCGGTAGCCCAAATTTATGGAAAATTGGTTCCCCAAACGAATACAAAAATGTGACATGGTCTCCTTTACCACCTGGGTACATATTTAATAACAAAGAAACACATTTTTATAGCTCAAATTTATTGGAAATTGGCTCCCCTGAAAAAATACAAAAATGAACATGGTGTTATTTATCACCGGAGTACAGATATAAATATAAAAATCTGGTTCGCGCAACACACAACTTTCATTTACCGCTCTACTTTGAACAGAAATTATTTTTGGATAATATTGGGCAATTATAAAATTTTTGAGGCGCATTTTAAACGAACCTAAAGCTTAAAGCATACAGCTAACAAATCATTAAGACTATTAAAATAACAAAAACTTTATTTATTACATGGACATAATAGACATAGTAGATAATAAAAATCTCGTCACTCCATCTGTTTTTGTAAAGCACGTGATTTCAGTCTCTGAGCTATATGGGCCTTCCAGTTGACAGAATGACTAACTCCAATTTCAACATTTTTTATTAATGTCATTTTAATGGTATTTCTAGTTGAAAAAGTTATATCTATTCAGATAATGAGTAAGTTAAATCCAGAGTGGGTGAATGCAGTGACGAAATATAGAACTGTGAATATAGGACTAAATTTTCCCACTAGAAACATCAATAAATTAATAATAAATAATGTTGAAATTTGAGTTACTTATTCTGTCAACTGAAAGGCTCATATATGCCAAGAGAGATTTGAAATTACATCTCTATATTCAACCTATAAATGATTACGGATTGGTACGCCTATTAGTTATCAAACTGTTAGTTTTCCTAGTAAAGTTTACTAAAATGAAATTACGAGATTTTGCATTGCCTGCTATAGATTGGTCAAAAGTTTTCACACGAATTTTAAGTGGTTAATGTTTGGATTTCACGAAGGGAAAAATTCATCAAATTATTCACTAATTTAATTTTCTAAAAGGTTACAAGACGATTTTCTGTATAAACGGAGCATATATCTAATTATTTAAATATTATATGAGATGTAGAATTATTAAACTACTGTAAATTAAATTTAATAATTATTTTATAGTTTTTTAATAATTATTTCAGGTATTTAAGGTTATAAACATATGCTTTATACATCCATGAAATATTTTTATATTTCACATAGGTACTATGAAATAGTTTTTTAATCAATCCCATTGCCTTAATTAGTTGGCTTTGAAATAATTTTTTTTTTCAAACTAAAAAAGTTTACGTTTAGTTAGTAAATTTCATTTAATTTCCTTGAAATCATGTGATTTCCGTTAAATAATATTAGTTTTCACAAATTCAACGATTTTCTATATTATATATTGTGTTTTTTCTAAAATTCTCAGCTTCCAATGATATCTTATACGTATACTGTCTGACTAGCTTCTCGGAAATTCATTTTCTATTTTTCTCCATTTTTCAATTATCAAATTCATTCAAAAATTATATTTAGCATTTTTTCGTAACTCTATAATTAGTAAAAAATAATAATTAGTTTAAAATAAACCAAATTAAAAGGTATTTTAGAGGAAGACATGTTGAAAATTTTAAGCATTTAATCCCTGTAAAGTGACAGCAGTGGGGATAGGACCTCAATGATATTAAAGACCACTTAATTATACAATGATTCACCGAGTTTAAAAAAATCGTTTGAGCCATTTTTTAAAAAAAATGTAAAAATGTGAATAACCGTTGATATAGAGTGGCACTTCCGGTTAGCCGGTTTTGACGAAAATGTTGCTGTAACATCTGAGGTATTTATAAACACCAAATGCGCAATTTCACTTTCACACGACTTTTCATTTTTGAGCTATACTTACCACACACACACACACACACACAGACCACTAGCGGATCCAGGATTTGATTTTGGGAGGAGCTTCAGCCCGAAAGTTTTTTTTCATAAAAATAACGATAATTACTTTGGAAAAAAAGAAAGAAACTAACTACCTGTATGAAATGGTGTTTAAGTGATTCCTAAAGCCCTTTTAAATGTAATTACACGAACAATAATACTTTAAGAGATACTTTTTAAATATTTTTTTCGATAAAACATGGTTATATTTTACCATTTTGGGGGGGGGGGGGCTTCAGCCCGAAAGCCCCCTCCCCCCCCGTAGATCCGCCCGTGACACAGACCATTTTGCGGGACTTGGTTATTAGAACTCAGGACACCTCAAAATATGTATTTCCGTTGAAAACTCAGATTCGAAAATTTTCACAATCGCAATACTGTCCCTTACTATATATTTTATATATAGGTAAGTGAAAGCAAAAATTATTTTCACTTGGATTTTACCAGCAAAGCAATAATATTTTTTTGCGATAGGAGTGGCTCGAGAAGCCTATAGGCAGCAACAAAAAATCCCTAAACAAATTCGCTGCTCTATTAACATATATTTGTCTTGTTAATACCTAAATATTAATCGAATGTTGAAATTATAAGATTTTTTTTAAATATTTCTTTCTGCGTTTCAGGAGATATTTTTAGAATCTGTGTCACAAGTCTCCAAAGAAGTTTCCTGAAACGGAGCACGAAGTATTAGAAAAGAAAATTGACCCCCGCCAACCTCCGGAGAATAAATCATGAGAAAAGTTATAATGACATTCCTCAAGAAGTTTTAAACCCACATTGATTTATAATTACTTAAAAATCCATTTTCAAGAAATTGATTAATGAATTCAATTAGGAACTCTTTTATTCATGTAAAAATATTTGTTGAATCATCAGCGAGAACAGTTTGTCTAATGAAGCCATTGAAAACATTAATTATGATTCGTAAAATCGTTTGATATAAGTGATTTATGAAACTATATGAAAGCTATAAATACGCTGCAAATTATTACAGTATGGTTTATTATTTCTCCAAACAGTTATACATTCTACGTAATACTACTTTCCTTCTCAAATGAAGGAAAATAAATAAAAGGTGATTCCTATGATAGTGGACTAAACTATTTTTTTTTTCATGATTGGTAATTTTTCTAAGAAACATAGATAACAATATCGATTGCTTCATCTCATGTAAGAAATTCCAAAAATCAATAACCATAACGAATGATATCAGCTTTGCTCAAATCGAGTTCAATAATTTTATTTATTTATTTAGAAAGAAATAATCTGTCACATGGACAATAATTATAGTGATTATAGTGAACACATTCATACCATATATAAAATTAATGAAAGTAAAATAATAATCAAAAACTATGTACAATAAAAAATAAAATAATGTAAAGATAAGTAAATTAATAAAATAAAAACACAGTCATACCTATGTACAATTTATACAATCAGGCAGGGAACCCCAAGCCAGGCTTCTCCCTCCAACTATAGAAGGAAAAGCAGGACTCCAAGAGATCCCTGCGCTACTCTCTCAACCGCGTCACTGGTGCTAAAGCCTAATTATGTTTTTTTTATTTTTAGAGAACTTCGTAAACTTTTAAATGGTTATATCAACAAAAAGCTGTATTCTTTGTGAATTATTTGAAAATCTACTTTTACCATCCGTTGTAACTTTTATTCCAGCTTCTTTTCGGTGAAGTAGGTTCCATTGATAAATTTAAAGGGCTTCGAAGGGAAGACTTTAGGCAAGTTTTATTTAAATCGGTACATTCGTTTAGGCTCTACAGTCTATAGGATACAGGTTTTTAGGCACTATATAAATTTCCACTTAGCTAAAGTCCACTTATCCTTAAATCCCTTTTAATTTATGTATTTGACATACTTTCCCGAAAAGATGTTGAAAAAAAAATAACAATGGATTCAGAATTTTACTCACGAAAAACTAAAAAAAAATACAAAATTCTTTATTCATAAAACCTATGAATATTTGAAAGCTTTCTGAGTTCTCTAATAATGGAAAACGTAATCATCAAAATATAAAAAATTCATGTCCGGCAAGATTTTTTTTTTGCATTTCTTTTGGTTTATATTTTCTAGGAGAGTTCTATTATACCAAATTAATATTTGGAATATAGCTATCGTACGAGTGCAATGTTGTAACGAAACAATTTGTACCGACCGAATGAGAAAAGTGGGTTAAAATATATTTTTAAGAAGAAAGCAAATTGAGATGGGTATTTCGCACCTAGAAAATTTTTTAAATACTGATTTTCATGACAATCGAAAAATTAAAATTAAAATAACGATGGATTCACATTTTTGTTTGCCAATAACTCAAGAAGTACACAAATGATACTGCTCTACTCTTTTATTTTGTTTGTTGGAAACATTAAAATTCATTTATGTTTCCCTAAAATATTTAACAATGTAGCCTGTGGTACAGACCCATTTTTATCAAATTATTAACATCCCCCTGAAACTTCGTAAATAGCTTCATCTCATCATAACCTACAACTGTTTTATTTAGGAATATTCTTGGAATTGGAGCGTTTTCAATCTGGAGGGGGGTCAAACTTTGTCTATTTAATTAGGTACTAAAAACTCGTAAATAACCATGTGCTTTCCACTTGAATCGTAAGATAATTTGATCACAAAACGGCTTAAAAAAATATTGGACCGTTTTTCCTATATAACCTCGTTATTTTGAGAATTTGGGGGTGTAGATCACGCCAAACGGCTCAATATTTTTAAGGCCATTTTCTTTATCGATTTTGTGGTCAAATTATCTTAAGATTCAGGTGAAAAGCAAATGGTTATTTACGAGTTTTTTAGTACCTGATTAAATAGACAAAGTTTGCCCCCTCCAGATTGAAAACGCTTCAATTCCAAGAATTTGCGTAAATAAAATATTTATAGGTTACAATGAGATGAAACTATTAACGAAGTTTCAGTCGGATGTTAATAATTTGATAAAAATGGGTCTGTACCATCGACTAATTTTAGTCGAATTTCGACCACTTGGCGAATACTAGTATTAAATAAAAAAAGTTATATTGTGAAAATGATAATACACACAATACTAATTCCAAAGGGGATTTTTGAACTACTTACTTTCAACGCTTTGGCTATCATTGTTTTCTGAGCTTGTAGAACCCTTTCGGCAGACATCTCGATTCCTAATTTTCCTCTGTTCACGACTATCCCGTCAGTTTCTAGGATAATTTCATCAAAATTATCGAACGCCAACCTGCTTTCGATTTTCGTAAAGATTAGAACTCCTCTACCTTTTTCGCCTGGTACAATATGCAACAGAATAGACATGGTAAGATACATATTCTAGGATAATAGAGGAATGAATAGTAATAGAATTAGATTATACTGTAAGAGAGTTGATTATGTGAACCGACGAGACGCCAAAGTAGAGTTCCTTGTTTGAATTCCCAATGAAAAGTCATGAAATTTAAAGGAAGCCATTTTACTAGGACCTCGGAGGGATGAATAGTTAATGACAACTGTAGAGTGGGGAAGTAAAGCATATCATCAAGAATTGATATATTTTCCGGTACAGGTATAGAGTTCATATTTACTTTATCTACAACACTATATTGTTGGAGTTGAAATCAAGTTGAAATTATCTGATACCTCCGCAGCATATCCATTCGTTATAACGTTAGAAAAAGGGTCGTCGAGTATCCACATAATTAATAACCATTGTTACAGTTATCTTTTGTTTTATGTTTTCTCGACCCTATTTGATTTAGATGACCTTAATACGAACGAGAATGGTCTGAAAAGTTTCCGACCTAATAAAAATACAAGAGATTTTTTCTGATTTTTTAAAAATTTTTCAACGTAGTCTCTTTGTCACTCTAAACACTTCTCCCAGCGATGCTCCCATCTCTATAACCCGTCCAAAAAGTACTCGGCGTTTTTTTCAACAAAATAATTGTTCACGAATGTGATCGCGTCTTCATTTGATCAAAATATCGGTCCTCCGAGCGCAATTTTTAGGTAAGGGAACAAAAATAAATCGCTTGGAAATAGATCTGGTGAGTAAGGCGGATGGTTAAGCAGTTCGTCTAGCATCATTTGGTGAACTTCGGAGATGTTTTCGTCGGTAGTTGCAGTTTTTGGACGTCGCGAACGTTCATCGTCTCCCAAGCTCTTATAACCCGTCCAAAAAGTACTCGGCGTTTTTTTTTTCAGCAAAATAATTGTTCACAAAGGTGATTGCGTCTTCAATTGATCAAAATATCCGTCCTCCGAGCGCAATTTTCAGGTAAGGGAACAAAAATAAATCGCTTGGGAATAGATCTGGTGAGTAAGGCGGATGGTTATGCAGTTCGTCTAGCATCATTTGGTGAACTTTGGAGATGTTTTCGTCGGTAGTTTCAGTTTTTGGACGTCGCGAACGTTCATCGTCTCCCAAGCTCTTATAACCCGTCCAAAAAGTACTCGGCGTTTTTTTTCAGCAAAATAATTGTTCACGAAGGTGATTGCGTCTTCATTTGATCAAAATATCGGTCCTCCGAGCGCAATTTTTAGGTAAGGGAACAAAAATAAATCGCTTGGAAATAGATCTGGTGAGTAAGGCGGATGGTTAAGCAGTTTGTCTTATGAATCAAATTTTATCTTTATCAAATTTTCATCGATGAAAAAATTCTTTGAAATGGTGTGTTTTTCATTAAGTTAATTAATTTCACTTCAATCGTAACATAATTTGACCGCAAAATCGATAAAAAAAGTAGCCAATAAAAATAATCTAATCATTAGTTTAATTAATTTAATGTGAAAACATTCCATTTCTTAGAATTTTCTGTCATAAAAATGTTGTAGGCTACAATAAGATGAACTCATTCACAAAGTTTAGATGAGTTTTAATAATTTGATAATACGGTGTTTGTATTCCTGAAATATTTACTTATTGAAAACAAATGAATATAAATGAAATGTTCAAAGCACGTATTTTCTTAAATTCTATTTTATGTTGGTATATTTAACTTTTTTTCGATCTCATTTCTTTTATATATTTATTTTATGTACATGCCCTATTCAGATTTTTCTTCCCAACTTTGGCAAACTGAATTATGATCATTTTCTTGTAAACTATGAAATTTGAACTGTCAATATTATTTCATTAAAAACCATCAATATTATATGTCCGCAAACATAAGCTCTGTTGTGGATTACTGTAAGAATCTAATAAATAATTAAAACTTTATTAAATATTTCATAACAAACAACATCGAACAGAGATTTATTATGTATGTACAGCATTCTGTAGAATATAAATAAAGCTTTAACTTCGAATTCATTAATTATTACTGTCAGTTAATGACTAGTTTGATTAGGAAATTATTAATATTAGCTTATCCACGTTTATTAATTATTTAAAACTTAATTGATTTACTAATTAATATAAGTTATTGTAAAGGGCAGTTTATTAAGTGGTAAGAGTTATAAACTGATTATAATCAGTTAATAAAATAGAAATAATTATTTATATTTTATTAATATTAAATAGTGTATATAATAAAGGTTTCATTTTGTAGGATCTAATATTTTCTGTAGTTTGAATAATATTATATAATATATATATTATATATATATATATATATTATTCTAATATTATTATATAATATATATATACTAAAATATTTTTATTATTTTAGTTAAATGCAGTCATTGTTTCAGCTCTCCTTTAGCCATCAATCCCGGTTAATAACTAAATAGTAATTATATAATATAAATATTTTGCTGCTATTTCTTCGACGCTCCAATTAGATAAAGTTAGTTTGAATATCAGCTCTCCCCTTCAGAGAATATCATCTTTCAAGACAAATCGATGAATAGTATATAGATGATTTTAATTTATTAGAGAATTGATAATAATGAATGGATATAGCGTAGCAATATACATTAATTACATAAAACTAATGTTCAACTTTCTATTCATACTAATGAACAATTTTAAATGCAAGTTAATATTAAAATAAGAAGTAATAAAATGCTTTATATAAATTATAAATTACCTAAGGCTTTTCTTACATCCCTAACTCCGTGTTTATTTATTATTGAAGATGCAAATATGGCGTCTACCCCTTCTTCAATTAATAGGGAAATATCTTTTTTGTCTTTCTCCGTTATAGCGGGCAGCTCAAACGGAACATTTAGGACAAATACGTCACGATTTTCTCCAATGTCTCCATCGTTCTGGATCTCACAAACAATATCTGTGTCAACTAAAAATTAAAACAAAATAAGATAAATAATTTTGGCCAGTTTAATCGAAAAAATTAAAACAATTCATATGATTAGCAAGCAGAGAGATAATAGAATGTTCATTTTTTAAATATTTAATACAATACATTATTTTTTAATTATATAGAAAACCAACTTTCGTTTGTCTGTTTTGCACTGTTAATTGAAAAAAAATTTGCAATATCATTATTTCATATACATACAGTTCAAATATAAAAAAACGAGTTTTACATGCAATGTAAAATGTACAATGTTTTATAGTTAACTAAAATTAACAATTGTTCTCAATTCCTTTGGATGAAATTAATAGGAATATAATTAAATTTCATGTAAAATAATCTGAAGGAAATGTTGGTCTATAGTATGCTATTAAAATATATGGTAAACTATGAAAAATTGGATTGGTTTCTATGTAAAACAATATTTCGAAATTTGAGGTTTTTATATGAATTATATAATTATATAATGAGTAGTCATTATATATTCAAAATTAGGAAAATCTCCTTTTAAATAGAGAAATTAAATTATTGGATATATTAAATTAAATAGTTTGACAATAAAGGTGTGACAGAAAACAGGGCAATGTATAAAATTTATATTTTATCATAATTACAACCGAATGTCCTGATTATTAAATCTAACGATTTAATTTATTTTATTTCCTTAAAATTATTAAAATTTGAGCATATTAAAAAAAATTGTAATACTAAAATATTAAAAAAAAAACAATTTTTATACCTAGTTGTACTAATAATGATACTTAAATTAAATTTCATGAAGCTTAAATCATAAGTCTTGTATCTAACCTATTATCATTGTGCTTATGTTCCATTTAATTTATAATGTATATTGTGCGAATAAACTCCTGTATCGCTACTCGTATTTACGAATGTCTTTATTTGTGACAGAAAGTATTGTTATTCAATAAAGAAATGTTTTTATTAAAAAAAAAAAATAATGTATCGAACCAAATGTAACGTAATTTAATGGAACTGAAACATGTAATAGTTTAAGTAATTTTTAATAAAATCAGTTTACCTGTATTTAATAATACGGCCGAAATTCGCGAAAAATGGATCGCATGCCTTGAATGTAAAAAAAAAAGAATGAAAAAATTTGACCATCTTAATCTCTTAAAGAGGTTATATCAAAGCATTTTTTCAGAGATGCATTCAATTTCCTCTGAACAATTAAATAAATAAATCAAAATAAATAACTTATTATTTATATAAGGTGCGTTTATTGACAGTCTGTATAATCTGATAAAAATTAAATGAAATTTATTCCAATTCTAAGAAGTTTTAGAACGAGTGAGCAATTTGAGAATTTTACAACAAGCCAAAACTCATTTTGAATGTCAGATCTAAACCAGTCTAATTAAAGTTTTGTGACAGTCTTGGTTGTTTCGGCTTTTTCCTAAACAATTGTTGACGTCTTTTTCCTTTTCAGCATTTTTAACTCAGTTCCTCTATAACATTTCTGAGTCCAACCCAACTAACTTAAGTCTGAATAATTTTTTTCTTTTTAAATTTACATAATTGCGGGAGTGGACGAAATCAATCGGAAAAATTAGGTCGCTTCACACTCATTTTCCTCTCTAATATTTTTCGGTTCTGAGGTGAACCATTAAAGGGTATATATAAATATAAAAAAGATTAAAAAAAAATGGAAGAGCTCCATTAGGCAATACACGGCCATAATGGATTAATTTTATTGGAATGAATTGCAGACTATCCTTCATCAATCTTTGCTTATTATCACGATCGTTGTTGGTTATTTATACAATTGATATTGTAATAATTATCTATATTAAATATCTAGTGTGGTAGGTGCATCATATAACATTTACTTCCTCGAAGACTATCACAACTTGCAATTCACACCACTAGCGGATCCAGGATTTCATTTTTCAGCCCGAGAGAATTTTTTTTTTTAAATATTAAGATAATTACTTTAGAAAAAAAAAGGAAAGAAACTAACTACCTATACCAAAAGGTGTTTAAGTGATTCTTCAAGTTCTATTAAATGTAATTACACGAACAATTTTAGAGTAATTTTTAATACTTTTTTTTCTTAAGACACGATAATATTTTACAATTTTGGGAGGGGGCTTCAGCCCCAAAGCCCTCCACGTAGATCCATCTGTGATTCATACTATATATAATACGATAGTATCTCTATCGCAAATTCCTTTTCCGGATCTCAAGAGCGATAGATTTTGATACAGGAGGTGTATCAAACAAAAGTGACTTTCATGGAGAAATGACGACTGCCAATTGCAAATACATTGCTATACGGTTTTGTTTTATCTTATGCCTTCAATTGTTATTGTAAGAAGGAAAATTTGATATGATCTGTTTTATTTTACATGTTTTAAAATTAGTGGTTATGTGTAATCACTCTTTTGTGCTGTGTGCTTTTTCCATTAAAATTCTTCCCTTAGGTAGAGGCTTTTGTCAAATCTATTGATGTCAATAAAGCTTACTAGTTGGCCCGTGCGAATATTTCGCAGAAAATTTTGTTTAGTGGAGAAATAACAAAACAATATGGAAATCAGTTGCTCCTATGTATTATGTGAGAAAGGAATTAATATTTTTTCCTTGGTCGGTTACAATATACCATTTAACATAATAGACCAAAATATTTGTACAAATTGCTTTGCTAGGACCTATTTTTAAACGCTGACTGGAAAGATAATAAAAACAAAATAATCCCTCGATCATGAGATTTTCTAAATTATTAAAAAAAATAAAATGAAAGAACAAACTAATGCCTTTAAGAAATAATAAAGTTAATATATCTGCCAGGAAAAAATGTATAGTCAACTATTATACTCCTAAATGCAATATTTTTAAAGAGGAAGACATTATTAAGTATACCAAAACTTAATAGACTGTATCATTGTTAATAATTGCCCAATTTTTACTATTTTTTTTTTTGTTTTTCAGGTACAATTCAGAAAAATGCTTACTTTTTGAGTTATTCGCGAATAAGGTTTCTTTTCTTTCATAACTTTTTTCAGAAATTTCGGGGGAGTAGGACTATTTTTCGCATGTGAAGTAGAAGAATGACCTTCAAAATGAGTGGCCAATCATTGGATTTGATTAAGAATTGACGAAGTTATGGCATACTGACAAAAAACACCTTTTAGAAATAATATTTAGGATTATTATTATTTCAAATCATAAAACCTAACTATTCCAGCAGTCATTGAAAGAATTTAGAGGTTTCAACATTCTGATGGTTTCAAAAGTCAAAAATGGAGGTAGAATAAATTATCATATAATGATTTTGACGCAGACATCAAGACCCTAAATATTATAAACCGGCATTAAACATAAATCGGCCATTATGTTTAAAGGCCTAAAATATTCCGTTCTTGAGATAACCCGTGGTTATTCTCGAATATTGATTTCCGAAAGCCTCCTAGGTGCTATGATTGCCATGGATACTCATCATATGCTTAGGTATAAATATTCCTATTCATGAAAGTCTTCGACGAACTAAAAATCTTCTTGGAAGGTAAACAAGAGAATAGGGGTTTGATCCTTCATGCACTATTTGATATTTTCAATAAATAAAAAAATATCCAGTATGACTGCTATACTGTTTTTAATAAAAGTCTATACTCATAGTGAGACAACTATAAACCAAGCTTTTTCTGCACCAAACAAATACGCATAGAGCGAATAGAATAATGGATTAGTTTTACTTCAGGAATAATCGTGTCTTATTGCTCAACTATTAAACTGGAGGATATTTTCCTGTGGTACAAGCTTAACACTTATAAGTAAATTGTTACATTTACATTCGTGGTAAAAGTATGAAACCACCAATTTCATGAGTTGAATAGACTATCTTGATAATATTACATTGTATGTACCGATAGAGAGCGGGGTAGCTCACTGGTAGGGCACTGGTAGGGCACTGAGCTTCCAATGCAAAGGTCCCGAGTTCGAACCCCGGCTCATGGCAGAAAATTTATTTATCTGTTTCATTGGCCGTGGGGCGACCTTGGGTCAGAAGTCCCTCCTGGGGCACACCAGCCTCTATAAAGTGGGTACCCTTAATTAAATAATTAATTAAGGGGGAAAACCTGGCGGTCGAGCGTGATCTCGGTCAAATCACCTCCTTGCACAACCGTTGACCTAGAAACAGTGCTTCCCCTAAATAGTACTGAACCCCAGATCCTTCATGGGTTGTAGTGGTACAGGTTTTTTTTTTTTTTTTTATGTACCGATAAACTTTTATAATTCAAGCGTTCTCACACTAGTTCTGAGATTAGTTTTTGATAAATTTTAAGAAGATTACTTAACTATAAATATAACCGTACGCTTAGCTATTAATACAAAAATGTACGACAATTCTTCGCATTATTTTTGGTTTGTCAGTTGAAATTAAATTTTTCAAGGTTTGTTAATTTAGTTTCCATAGAAATATTATAGTCCGTGGTACAGACCCCTTCCCTTTTTATCGAATTATTAACATGCGCCTGAAATTTCGTAAATAGTTTCAGCTCATCGTAATCTAGAACTATTTTATTTTGGAAAACTCTAGGAATCGGGGCGTTTTCAATGTGGAGGGGACAAACTTTGTCTATTTAATTAAGTACTAAAAACTCGTAGATACCCATTTGCTTTCTACTTGTATCGTAAGATAATTTGAACACAAAATCAATAAAAAAGGTGGCCTACAAAAATATTGGGCAATTTGATCTATATAACAACGTTATTTTGAAAATTTGGGGGTGTAGGTCACGCCAACCGGCTCAATATTTTTTAAGGCCACCTTTTTTCTCAATATTCTGTTCAAATTATCTTACGATCCAAGTAGAAAGCAAAAGGGTGCATACGACTTTTTAGTACTGAATAAAATAGACAAAGTTTGCCTTCCTCCAGATTGAAAACGCCCCAATTACAAGAGTTTTCGTAAATAAAATTGTACCTATTTAAAAAGTTTCAGAAGGATGTTAATAATTCGA